ATGTATTATATTTAGAGAATAGTCATTGCGGATTTAATGGCTTTTGTATGCGGCCAGGTGCAAGCTCTTTTTATATTCTTTTCTGTTTTTAGGAACTAAATCACATTTATGTGATATAGTGATATGGTCTATCGATGTTCACGATACAGGCCTAGCCTAGTGTAGATATCGAAGTTTTTTGTAAACATGTAAATTGATAAATGAAAATAATTATATTATTATTATTGTATGGGAATGTTTTCTATGATAAAAAAAATAAAATCTATTATTGCATACATTATTTGCATAACAGTGTGCTTATTCTAGATTTGCATATTCATATTGTATACAAAGCGTTTCCCGTTTCTCATTCAATAGCCTATTTTAATGCAATAATTTGCGAAGACTTCTGATTGAAAGTCTGTTATCGCTCCGTATGTTTTTTCTTAACACAGTAAGTACTTAGTAATTGTATTATAAAAGCTTAAAAGTGAGTTGATATAAATGTAAAAGGAAAAAGAAAAGCCGAAGCCGGCAGCGGCCATCTACAATAAACATAAGTGTTGTTTAAAGGCACAAATTACAAAGTAAGTTCAACAGACAATTGTGACAACAAAACTACACAAGTAAAAATATTGAGTTATAATCATATTTTGAAAAGTTCATTTTAGTCGTTACGTGATTTTATTAAGACGTCACGTTAAATAATAAATTACGTAAGAAATAAAAGTAAATTTAATTTTATACAAACTGTTCTAAGTTCCTTATTACTTTTCTTTTTAATTTTTCTGATATTTCTTCACTTACGGATCACCCTGAAGTGATGACTTTTTATCCATATTACATCGGTATTTAATTATTGTAAAATGTACCTATATGAAAACGTTTTATCTAACTGCCATGTTTTAATTTTTCTTTTTCTTACCATATATGTAGTTACAAAATCAATCCTATTAGAAAAAATACAAAACTATGTACTGTTTTCTTCTTCCTGGCAATTTCCCAGCTTTAGCCAGGGTCTGCCTTACATGTTGTGAATAGTTTTGGCTATTTGTTTTTACGATCGGCCGCCTGCCTGACATCAACCCTCTTTTGGGAATGCATTAATCAGTGATGTCTAAATACTCTTAGAAAGTACATATGACTCGTAAAAATTACATTGGTACCTACTTGCCAGGGCCAGGATCGAACCCGCGCCCTCATGCATGAGAGGCGGGCCTTTTAACCACTAGGCCACCACTGACTTATTATTAAACTATTTACTGTATCATAGCGTTATTAGAGATAATATGTTTTAAATTATTGTATATATATCGTATTTCCTTAATATTGTTTATAGTTAATTAAATAAAAAAACATTATAATATATTGGAACATCCACTGCTATTTTCTGTAATACTGTACAGAAACCACATCGTCAGATTATCCTACGTATCAGCACACTCGGAAACCGCACTCAAAGGAGCTTAATAATTATGTACGTATATATTTAACAGCAAATAACATTAAAACCTCTTTTGAAGATTTATTCGGAGTTGTTTATTTTATAATTGAATTTTAAATTAAACTTCTCGAGATGTTAGTTTATTAAACAATAAGATGACTCAAATGCTATTCGTATGATTTAGGAAATAACTAAGTGTTTTTTTTCTCTTGAGGACTTCTTATATAATTAGCTTATTAACTATTAATCTTCAGGACATATTATTTATAAAATCATATTGTGAAAAATTTTTATCTACATTTTAGGGAAGCAAAAATGCTATATACATTTACATCTTCTTCTTCTACCTGGCAATTTCCCAGCTATAGCTAGGGTCTGCCTTACATGTTGTGAATAGTTTTTTTTGGCTATTTGTTTTTACGACCGGCCGCCTGCCTGACATCAACCCTCTTTTTGGGAATCAGGATTAATCAGTGATGTCTAAATACTCTTAGAAAGTACATATGATTCGGAAAAATCACATTGGTACTTGCCCGGGCCAGGATCGAACCCGCGTCCTCGGCGACGAGAGGCGGGCCCTTTAACCACTGAGCCACAACTGACTAGACTGACTACATATACACGGATATTCTTGTTTTCGACAGATGAAGAACCGTATGCTTACTCGAAAGTTCCGTCGTCATATCATATGGAGCGTTAGAGTTTTTTTTTATTTCTCTATTGTATGAATTGTGAGCGTGCAAACTTATAGTAACATGTAGACCTGGAGCTCACATAACCTTTATAGTGCTGATTAAAACACTGGTTCACATCTGTCTTCTGTTTATTAGCTACAAAGCAACTACTACATTAAAACTCGTATTTAATACAAAAAAAAATGATCTCTAATAACTTGACTAAAAAATAACACTAGGAAAATTTTATTGAAGTCAGTTAGTCCGTATAGATATTTAGTAGTTTTCTCGCAATGACCGAACATTGCACATTTAATCTCTTATTTATTTATATAGCCAACAAGTTACATTCTTGCATAGAAAGACACTTTGAAGAGATATCCCAAAATTATTCATGTTAAGATCGCCATTTTAATAAAGTCTTTATATAAGTACTTTCAAACCTGTCCATCAAGCATGAAAGCTACGTAATCATAGCGGTGAAACGATTTTTTTAAATTGTATCATGAATCATTTCAGTGCAGTTCAAAAAATCTTACATTAATTTCTATCTTTCTCGACAATATCACGATTCAAGAGCAATTCGATGTTGGCATTTAAGAAATATTAAAATTATATTCCTTTAATGACATTGAAGCATTGAAAGCCATCAAGTCAATTATCATTAACATAATATACACAGATGTTTGGATTATTATTTAACACCTTTTTTTGATGACGCAGGGAAACTCTTTTTACAAGCCGACCAACCGGCCTTGGTAAGGCCGGAAGGGATGTGTGAGGCTCGGCCTGGACAGGCCCCTACTCACTAAAACCACTGTGAAAGCCGTCGGCCACTATGTCGGTGTACCCCGGATCTGTCAGCGACAGGGCACACCAGCGACTGGCCGGTCCTGGCAAAGACCGGTCTTACTCCCACGGAGTATGGGAGCAATCCCGGCAATTAGGACCACCCCGACGACGCCGGGCTTTCACTGGAGCCGGGTTACCACGCCGACCCCGGATCATTATTATGGAACACCTGGTTACCGAGCTTTGCTCGGTATTTAGGGATTATTAGTTATTGTTTTGTTTTATTTTTTTAATTTCGTTACGCATTTTTAAGTGAATAGGTTAAGAAGACACAAAACGAAATAAAACAACAATTAATTTCTTAGTCTAACACTCGTTGACCTCCTGTTACTTAACAGCGCCATCTGCTGTTGTGTCGTTAAAGCAATTAGCAAAAAGTAGTATCATTATTCGCCAATAGAGTCATGTTTTAAACGCCTCCTTTTTGTCTTTTTTTTTTCATAAAATAATATTTTCTAAAAATGATTCCTAGCTTTGATTGAAATACCGCTTTCGTGATAGAATATTTTGGTATCAGCTTCATGTTCTGGACATGAAAACCATTCTACAACCTTTGTCACTATCTTAGTAGAATCATCAACATCAACGACAAAAGGATAATAATTGACAATGTTCGACAAGCATGGCGTTTGAAACTATGAAATGGGTCTGGTTAATGAGGAAGCATCATCTACTTATTACCCAAGTACTATACGTCATAGTCTGTCCATAAATACTGTTACAATTAAAAATAAACAAAATATTACATTTGAATCTGAAATGTCATTTTTATATAATTTTTCATTGTTTTCTTATTTTGGCGCACATACATTGTTCATTATTTTGCGATATTTAAATGGAGTGGGGTGAAAAGAGAACCGAATAGCTGTGATTATAGCTGGGTATGGAGCCAAAATGCAATTTTTAAAACTCTTCACACGCTTGGCATTAGTTAATAGTTTGTGTACCAGGCTATTTATAGGTACAATGAGACCTCCTCTGTTGTTACGAAAAAAGATCTGGCCGTCCACGTAGTGTTCGTACGGAAAAGGCGGTCAAAGCAGTAAGGGAAAGAATTCGAAGAAACCCTGTCCAAAAGAGAAAGATTTTTTTTTCTTTTTATCTTTCTCAATGATAATTCGCGCAACAAATAAAAACAGTGACATAGTCAAAACATTCCACGATTCTAGTGCGAATGAAGCCACAGTTTTAAATAAGTAAGAATATGCATACAATACGAATTCAGAAAGTTTTTATTGAAAACAGAATTATGTAAATACGAAATCAAACTTTGTAAATTCTTTCAGCTTAAATTGTAGATAAACTTCAAAAATAATCACAAAAATGATGAGTAGATGACAGATATTTGGTAGTGTTATAAATAAAAAATAAAATCAAATTCATTTATTCAAAAAATACGTTATGTTGGAATACAGGAAACATTTAGTGGCTCTCAAACATAAGATCTACTCCTTACTTAAACTAAGTTACTTAAAAACAATATTAAATGCAAAGAATATTGGAATTTCAGTAATATTAAGTAGTAACACAGATAGTGATTTTATAATAACAGATTAGACATCAAAAGCTTTGGCATTTTACAATAAGTCTTAGCTAATCTAAATATTATTAATATAAGTAAATAATTTCACAAGTTAAAGAGATTCCCTATTAACATTTTAGTATGAGTTAATGTATTATTATATAAAACTAAAACTACAGACATCTTTATATGGCTCAGATAAAATATATATATAATGCGAAACATAAAAATAAAGATGCCATAAAAATATTTTAATTTCAAGCTAACAACACTGAGCTAGTTTTTATTTGAAGCGCCTAGCAACACTGTTTCAAAGAATAAAAAATTGTAAATAAATGGTGATAATATTAATGTAACATATCAGAATTAATCTAAACGATTTTTAATTTGTACGACATCATTATACAAATTTGTACCAAAGTTAAATGTTACACCAGAAATTTGTGATTCGAGTTGTAAATTAATATAAATTTTGTTGAGTCGCCAAAATCTCATATCGAGAACAAATATTCACCAATAAAATTCTAATCTAGAACTCGTCGTGCCTGGCCAGAGCCTCGCCAAAGTCGGTCGCCTGTGATCCGACGAACAGGTCGTACTTGTCTAATATCTCGTCTTTGGTCAACTTCTCGTCAGCATCTGAGTCTGCCTCGAACACGAGATGCCTCGCCTCGGCCTCGGCGTGGTCGAACTCGGGCGGCGCGATCCATTCCTTCACCTCACGCTCGTCCATGTAACCATCTTTGTTTGTATCTCTGAAATATGCAATTATATTAAAGAGCTTTCAAATTAAAACTATCTGTAAATTAAAACTTTGTATTTTGTTATTAACTAAGTAGTAATACTTGCAACAGACACATCTTAAGTGAAAAATATCATATCTCTGCCATATGATCTGCTCTTATCTACTTGTCCAACAACTTTCATTCAAATCCGTACAGCCGTTTTTGAGTTATAAAAGTGCAACTGTCTTTACTATTGTACTGTAAGCACATACAGTCGACTCTCATTAATTCGAAACTCGAGGGACTCTTAAAATATTTCGAATTATCGAATGTTTGAAACATGAAATGGTTCGAGTTTGTAAGAGAAAACAATAAACTTCGAACTACTAAGTATTGATAAATAATTATGTTTTAACTGCTATTTTATACATGCTAATTATACACGTACATTCGTGTTCATATATAAAACTATTCATAATATGAATTGATTAATGTTTCGAAAGAACTCTGTTATACCGGTTTGGTTCTGAACACATTGCTGTTGCTCAGACTGTTCAAAAACTTTTTTTAAAGAGAAAAAGTAACAAATGTTTTTTCATCACTTTTGTTTTGTAGACAGCAGCGTTCTAAGGTATCGAAGGAGGATCGTGCTTCCTTAATTGACTTCTGTTAAAGGTTTGTTCAAGTTTGAACTTACATTACAATCATTCGACCTCTTTCTCTCTCAAACTTTGAAGGCTCGACGCAAATGAGCCACTGACAACAGTAGAGTTACAGTACACAGTTACAGTAGTGTAAAAGTATGTTAAGTCGCCGTCGCTGGCCACCGGTGGCTGTCTACGGTGACAAATTTTCGCCGAGCCGAATTATCGAATGTTTGACGCCAATAAGTTCGAATTAAGGCATCATTTTATTATATAGCAATGATTTTTTCATTGGAATTATCAAGTGCATAAATGTACCTACTGATTTAGTTTAGAAGAAATATAAAGAGATTTTGTAGGGAACTCGTGATAACTTTGAATTATAGAGAGGTTCGAATTTTCGCAGGTTGGTATTAACGAGAGTCTACTGTATATACAGGGTGACTGGTGAATTACTATCAATATTTAAGGAGAATACTCGGTACATGATTCTCATTCGAATTATGTTAAAAAAATAGGTACTTAATTTTTGACCAAATTTCCGTATAAATAAATAAAGTGTGGACTCGTTCCAAGTGTTCCAAGTGTGGACGCGTGCGGCGGCGTGCTGATACAACACCACGCCCCTGCGCGCGCGCGTTTGTGTGTGTGTATACCTAATCTGTAGGGTGTTCACACGATGCGTAATTAATTACATAACTTTTGGTTAACTTTACTTAGAAGTTTATTAATATTTATGTTATATTAATTTTTATTTTGTCATATATGATCATCAAATACCACGTCCTCAAATATCGATAGTAATTCACCAGTCACCCTGTATATTAATGTTTGTATATATACCTGTATCCCGTGAACTGTTCCCTCTCCTGCTTGACCCAGTCCGGCTCGTCTTCAGCCACGTCTCCCTCCTCCGGCCTGTACATGTCACCGATGTATTCCTCCAAGGACACCTTACCGTCCTGAAAAACCAAAATTCATTGATTCACAGCCTAGGATTAATTTTGTTGTGTGTTATATCGTTTATGTTTGTCAAATATCAGAAAACGAATGTTTATTATGAGATCTTTGAGCAAAGATTAAGAATGCAAGATTTCAGTGTAGACAACAAGTTCAAAGTGTCTACATGGATCTGTATCTCAGTGTCATTTCATTCAATTACCTACAGTTAAAATTAAGTAATTGAGTTTGACGTGACCTCTCCTATTGTACACTACCCACTATACGCTACAAAATTATAGACTAAGATCACATATTATAACCAATTGAAATATTAATCCCTACTCTTCATTACATTGGCAGAATATTATGTACAAGTTTTCGCCAAAATTAAAATTGAAAAAAAAAAACAATAATTGTATAGGTAACCTAACCTAATTTTTTATAATCTGTGGTCTTTTGATGTAATGTTTTTAGGGTGTATTGTATTATACCTTATCTTTGTCTATGTCTTCCATAGTCTCCAGTACGACCACGTCTCTCATGCCGGAGTGGTCCTCGGGGTGAAGGAACCAGCCGAATTCAGTGCGATTCAAAGCATCGTCTTGATCACCGTCTGAAAATATCGGCATACAAATTTTATAAGGATTTAATTCTGATGTTTATGTTAACCATTAATTATGTGATATCAAAATTGACATCAAGTTAAAACTCTAAATGAAGCCAATATTAATAAATTTAACTAACCGTGATCACAAATATAAAGCAACCGAAACGTCGGGAGAACGTAGTTTAAACTAATAACACGTATGTACTAATCCGAAAATATTAGTTTTATTTAAATGAATACTGGCGAAAGTATAAGATCTCATTGAGTTTAACGTCTTTACAAGGGTGTATTTGAGAAATCTTTTGATAGTTTTTGTATTGGCAGTATAATAAATACATATAAAAAGATGTTTCAACTTTTAAAATATAAATCAAACCGATTATTACCAAGGGAGTAAGAGGATGTCAAAATTCTGGAAAATAAACTCATTGCATCATAAAGAAAGGGAAAATATGACAAGTCTATACTCAATGGTTAGTCATAATATACTAAATTGTTGTTGATCAAGACAACTTAGAAATAGCTATGTATATTTTAATGCACTTTTCAGTATTACATTGTACTCTACTCCAGTAAAGATGAACAGTTTGTTTATGAAAAATATTATATTATTTACATTTTCAAAAAATAATTAATTATTGCAATTCAAGGAATCACGAATGAGTTATTTGAAATACCTTTAATGTCAGCATGGATAATTTAAACGTGGAGCCTTAGTGTCAGCACCGATGATTTAAATATGGACCATAATAAATAGGTTTTATGTCAAAAAGAATTATATTATAAGAGTTTCTTCAAATTAAAAGTCTCTTTAACTATTAATTTAGATAGATTTATATATACAGGGTGACTGGTGAATTACTATCGATACTTGAGGACGTGATATTTGACGATCATATATGACAAAATAAAAATTAATATATGTAACATAAATACTTTTTTTTACATAATTCAAATGAGAATCATGTACCGAGTATTCTCCTTAAATATTGATAGTAATTCACCAGTCACCCTGTATATATAAATTGTTATGATTTTTTAAATATAGATATTTTCAATAATGTGAAAGTAACTTCGAGTTCGTCACTAGAAGCGCAGCAGGTGTGATGACGCTATCGAGTCTCATCGTGTTATACCAGTGGGTACAAACATTTGGTCACTCTACATATAATAATCATTTAATATTTAATTTTATTATTTTATGATAACGCAGTTAAGAGGGTTTACACAGTTTTTAGTACACCCTGTATGTACATAGATTTTTATATTTAAAAGAATATATTGTATTACCAGCATAATGCCACCTGCGCCTGTCCCTCTTCATCAAGTTGGTGTAAGTCGCACCCTCGGCATTCCTCAATTCATTATTTGTCATGTCTTCCATGAAACCATACACATTCTTCTTGTATGTCTTAGAAATAGAGAAAATTACATTTATATACATGATATACATAATTGATTTTCCACAAACCAAACAATTCGGTTAATATAATCTCTTTACATACATGTGTTGATAAAGTATATCATCTAATTGCTTAAATATTTATACTATATTTAAAAAATTATATGTATGACTAATGAGCTAATTATTAACGAATCCACAGCAAAACCTTTTTAAAAGGCTGTTCTATTTTTCCTTATTTATTACCACAGAAAACCTTAATTTATATGCACACAATGAGGGTATACAAGATATATACATAGATACATCTGTATTATACTATAAAAATATCTTGATAAAAACTTTACAAACAGAAATTTCTTAAATCTTTTACCTATACAGTACATGCGTCAGATGTATGTTATGAGTCATTATTTAATTTAAATTCTAAAGAAATTGTAGCCGCGATGTATGAACAGTGTTAAATAAAAATAGTTCTTACCTCCCAGGAAATAAGGTCGTCATGATTAGGGCTGTGCTGCTTCCAGTGTCTTTCCACGTCCTCCTCGATGTACCTTTTCTGCGTGTAACGAATCCAATCCTTCAACTCAACAAGCGAAACAAATCCATCATTGTCAGAATCTATCTTGTCGACGATGATTCTGGAAAGAATATTATCAAATATGATAACGAGGTCGGTGAACCCTAGATATGGAGTGGGCGAGTTAATTTCGGTGCATACCATCACATCTACAAATCAAATACGTACGAATGTACGTATCATTAAAATTTTATATAAAAAAAAACTCAAACAAAAATTTGATTGTCAGTTGTATCTATAAAGATATTTATATGGTTTAAGTTAATATAACATCGCATGTTTAAATAGCTGAGTACATATTTGAGGTGTTGTGCACAGTTTATGTAACCCACATACCGAGTGGGAGGCAGTAATGGTGGGACTTATAAATCCATCAAAACTGTTTACTTCTAAATAATTTACAAATCTAATATAATTAATACTGCAATACTTTTTATCTGTGAGCTGTGACATTGTCCATACAGACTTTGATTAAGGCTCAGAGAGATTATTATTGTCAGCGACACATATGCTGTGTCACATGATGTCATACCACATACAACTATTATTTGCTTCTGCTTGAACTAAACTGAATTAAGATATAAATTATACCATACTCTAATGTCTAAGATACATTTATATAAACACAATTTTATTATGAAAATATGTTACACAGATTTGTATGGCAGGACAACAAAAATAAAAAGTTTAATAGATAAATAAAAATATTCATAAATACATGTATGTATATATGCACAAATTTTTACATTTTTAAATAGGATATTATAACCAGATTAACCAGTTTAGTCATTTTAACTAAACCTGAAATTTTATTTTGCTTGTTTAATATCTTATCCTACTAATATTATAATTGCAAAAGTTTGTGAGTGTGTGTGTATATTTGTTACTTCTTCATGCTCAAATGGCTGAATCGATTTTGATAAAATTTTGTATACAGGAAGCTGACATCCAGTTATATAATAACACATAGGCTACTTTACATCCCTGAAATCCACAGGTAACACCGCAGGGTGCAGCTAGTATAAAGTATAAACACAAAAATATTTCACCAAAAATTCCCCTTTTCTTATCCAATTCAGTGACCAAAATTGCTATAGTAGTGTTCACATTATTGTAACATATAAACATGGCATTTCAAAAACTACAAGATAACTATTGAAATCAAGTCACATTTTTCCATATATACATTTTTTTAAAACAAAAAATTTAACACATAAAAATATCATACCTACAGAACACTATATAATTAAGTATTAAATATTATTCAGATTATAACAAATGATTTCATTGACATAATAGTTGGATATAAACAATTACTTTACAATGTTGTTTTCAAAAATTTGGAATACTTTGAATAAGAATTGACCTTTACATTTTAAACTTAAAGCAGAAAGTTCTAGACAATTTGGATGCTTGTTGCATATAAGTAAAATAATATAAGTCAAAATGTAGACCTACCCTAGTCGTCTCTTGCTTTCTTCAGGCGACAATTGATCAAATGTTTTAGCTTGATCTTCCCCGAGGAACGCGTCATGGTCAAATTGCTTGTTGTGATGTTCATTCCTATAATGTTCAGCATCCGACAAGTGGTCCATCATCCTCTTAGACTCATCTTGATTGGGAACACCAGCAAATACCGCTGTTATGGCAAGAACTGTGTACAATGTTATTAACATTCTGGAAAAACGCAAAAACTTTAATGAGTCGTACATACTTGTGTAATCTTACAAAGTAATTTAGTGTGCCATAAAAGATATATTTAATTACTTAACACTTATAAGCGGCCATTTTTATTGAGGAAAATATAAACTCGAAATAATTTAAAAAAATATTCGTATTTGAAAAAGCGCAGTAAATTTGAACCATCATGAGTTGCTATAGTAAAGTATTAAGAATTAATTAAAAATGTACATAATAACATTGTTTAAACATTTAATTAAAAAAAAAAAATGTACTTTACAAAACTGTAATGATTTTCTAATATTATCTATTGCCGGTAATTTCATAAGCCGGCTTGAAAATTTGAAAATAGTTTCGCTAAACAATATTTTATAGGAAAAAATACTTACATGTCGCAGAATATTAACGTAATTTCAGTCTAATAAAATTTTTCAGTCACAGAACCATACAAATCCCAACTTTATAGTTTACAACGCCACGTCAACAACGTACACGTAAATCCGGCACAGATTTTTAATTATGTTGCGTTCCCTATTCCTGTTTCGATAAGGGAACTCGCGAGTCGCGACTCGCAAGATAATAGAGTCGATGAAATTTGCAGTATATGAAACATGACATTGTGTAAAGCTAGCATAGAGTATAGAATAAATTAAAATATTTTCATGAAACTGATTATTCTAACAGACTTCTATACTACAATCGATTTTAAGAAATTACAAAATGCCAATTCTTTTGTTATAAAGTATTAAACTCCTTAAAGTTACAAATGAAGGAATAAGGATTTTAGAATTTAGAATGAAGAGTGCGTTTGATGCATCTTACAGGAATATTTAAAGACTATATAATTTAAGTATTACGTATAGTTTATTTCTATAGGACTAATAAAAAGTATATTATGATTTTTATTATTCCTAAAGTTCTCAAGTATAAACGTAAAAATATTATTTTTCAGTGGGAACTAATTTCTTTGAGTTGTGCCGTGTGTGCTGAAAAAGTAAGAATTAAATATTATTTTATAAAAACACGTTTTAATGAGTGTAATATAAATTATTTATTAAGTATCTCTATTTTTAACATCGATAAATTTTAATTTCATATCATACCGATTGGAAGTCGATTAAGTTCTACGTATAATGTGACACAGTGGCAAACCTGAAATTAAATGTCAACGAATTGATTGATTGTCATAGATTTAAGTTGACTGAATGTTATGCTTATTTTGCATAAGCTATACGGGTTCATAATTATGCTACTAAAACGACCGCTGAATTAATGTAAATTAAATTAATTGTCTAAAGTAACACTTGTTTTATCATAAAGTTATTTATACAGGATTGCAAATGTCAATATGTCAGGATCTCGGCCTTAACTTCCAACAGAGAATGGTAAGTTAAAATAAAATAGCAGACGTTGCTGAACACGTTTAAAGGGATTAATATTTAAATTTCGTCTGTGGATTATCGTGAAAAAATTTAATAACATTGTAACTGAATAATGTCTTGAATGTCTAATCAGAGTCTTACTTAAGATGAGTGGTGCAACATATTTTTGCAGGGCGCAAATATATCGCAGCTAGAAAGAGATATTGGGTCAGAGCAGTTTCCACCGAACGAGCATTATTTTGGTTTAGTTAATGTGAGTAACCAACTAACCTTTGTATAGATAGCTTCATAACATTGACTTGCTGAATACACAACATACTTATTTAATACAAATTATCTGTTATTATTTTAAATGGGTAGTAGAAAAAAATCATTTATATTTCTCTAAATACCCTAAGAATATCTATACTAAATATACTAATAATAAAATGTATTATGTAAGTGGTAGCGCTACTTCAGACATAATTATTTATCTATTTCATTATCTCCTATGACAGAAAATATATATTTTAATAAATTCTTCAAAATTATCAGTTTTATATATTCATTTTATTTAATTGAATTCAACATGAAAATTATCTTTTCAGTTTGGTAACACATGCTACAGTAATTCTGTTTTACAAGCCCTGTACTTCTGTAGACCATTTAGAGACAGAGTACTAGAATACAAAGCTAAGAACAAGAGAACCAAGGAGACTCTACTAACATGCTTAGCGGATTTGTTTTATAGCATCGCAACACAGAAGAAGAAAGTAGGATCAATTGCACCTAAAAAATTTATAGCTAGATTAAGAAAAGAAAAAGGTAAGATAAGATAATAAACTCATACAAATATAAAAATAATAATAATATGAATTAGTTACAACAGTATAATTTTGTTTACAGAAGAATTTGATAATTATATGCAACAGGATGCACATGAATTTCTTAATTTTCTTATAAACCACATCAATGAAATAATATTGGGTGAGTTTAGTGACATTATAACGATTTATTAAAGAAAAATTACATTTTATATGATTAAATTTTATTATATTAACTTATTATATGTTGCATGTTATCCAACTTACAAAATTAATTTGAATTTTATCATATCTATATTGAATACAGTTTATAGAGTTTATGAAGATTTTCTATAAATTATGACTTAGAATATATATTTATACAGGGTGACTGGTGAATTACTATCAATATTTAAGGAGCATACTCGGTACATGATTCTCATTCGAATTGTGTAAAAAAAATAGGTACTTAATTTTTGACCAAATTTCCGTATAAATAAATAAAGTGTGTACACGTTCCAAGTGTTCCAAGTGTGGACGCGTGCGGCGGCGTGCTGATACAACACACGCCGCCGCGCGCGAGTGTGTGTGTGTGTGTATACCTAATCTGTAGGGTGTTCATACGATGCGTAATTAATTACATAACTTTTGGTTAATTTTACTTAGAAGTTTATTAATATTTATGTTATATTAATTTTTATTTTGTCATATATGATCGTCAAATATCACGTCCTCAAATATCGATAGTAATTCACCAGTCACCCTGTACATATGTATAAATTTTGTGCAACTTCATAACAATTTATATATAGGTTGTAATTTTTTTGTAAAAGAATTATTTATACTCAAACATTCTGTAATTTAAGTATCTTATTTAAATTATTAAAAAATTATATTTTAAGTATATTGTAATCTTGATATATTTCTTCAGCTGAAAGAAATCAAAGCTCATTGAAATTACAAAAACCTGATGGTGTGAAAGAGAATGTCACCTGTAATGGAAGTATACCACAGAACACTGAGCCGACGTGGGTTCATGAGATATTCCAGGGAACCCTAACTAGCGAGACGAGGTGTCTGAACTGTGAAACTGTCAGCAGTAAGGACGAACACTTCTTTGATTTACAGGTATTCATAGCAAAATATTAAGACGCCACATAAATAAATACCCTTCATTATAAAGTAATTTTTTTTCTAACAAGCTGTTTTTATAATGCAGCATATAGATTTTAGAGGAATATCACTCAATTTATCTATTATAATCTGGACTTCATAGATCCCATTGCTTACTTCCAGGTAGATGTTGACCAGAATACAAGTATAACACACTGTCTCAAGTGCTTCAGTGATACCGAAACCCTTTGTAACGACAACAAATTCAAATGTGACAACTGCAGCAGCTATCAAGAGGCACAGAAACGTATGAGGGTGAAAAAATTGCCTCTGATACTAGCATTACATTTGAAGAGATTCAAATATATGGAACAATATAATAGGCATATCAAAGTGTCACATAGAGTGGTGTTCCCGCTTGAGTTGCGACTTTTTAACACGGTTAGTATTTATATTTTATATGTAATAATTAGTCCAGGATCCATGGCTCTTTTTTGCACTTGATCACTAACAAGCTAATTTTCCGTGAGTAGCTTCGTTTCATTGAAACTCTTCCTTTGCGATAATTCTCGATTGTGGTAGGAAACTTATCTAGCAGAGATAAAATATGTTGATTTGATATTTTTCCAAAATTTATTGCTAACTGGATTTTTTATGTTAAATCTGATGATAATTATCTAAATTATTCGAAAAAAAAATTGTCCTACAAAATGAATGGTTTGATTAAAGAGTTCTCCTCCTTTCAACATGTATAGATAACGAGGTCGTCGCAAGTATATTTATATAATTTAACATTAACATTGTCCTACAAGTTGCGTGGTACGCTATCCCGGTCCTACGCTTAAAAGTGGTTGATACCACAAGACCACTTTTCTCATTAATAACTGTAGTAGTACGAAAATACCCTATGATCTCTGCCCAAATGAAGAATTGTGATTTTTTTTGTTCTCTTACTTGTGAAATATTTTTTTAATAAAAAAAGAATAAATTTTTGTACTCAACTCACTAAAACAAAAAACAGTGTATTTACATAAACAAAAAATAATCTTCATCTGATTAATCTTCGCTGCTTACATCGCTGCTATCTTCCTTTATATCATCGTCTTCATTTGTGATATCTGACTCTATAATATCATGACAAAAGTTAGAAAATTATATAATAGTGTGTAATGAATCAGTAATTAACAATAATATTAATTGGGTACCTTGTATGTCAGAAGATAATTCCTTAAAGGATAGACTTTGGGGACCATCAAACCAATAATATTTATAATTGCCATCAATAATGGTCCATCAGAAATTTTCTGGAAATTTTTCTGTGGGGCACCGCATGTAAGCATTACACCATACTCGTATATTGCAGATGAATGCTGTTCTTTTAAATTGTTGCAATAATTCTGGTTTTGTTCGTGGCAAACTCAAAGGATCATATCCTACGATTTTTTGTTTTAAAATTTCTTCATTTTCTTTTTTTGATTTATACCCTTTTTCAAATAACTCATACTGCATTTTTTATATCATTTTTTGTTTTTAGTGATTACATTTTACATACATACTCTTTAATAATTTGAACTACCTTAATCGATGTTATTAGTGTCGTGTTTTCCATTCGTAAGAATTGAATAAAGGCCTCTTGAAAAAAATTTTTTTTTTTTTTCAAATACTAAAAGGTCTCTTTTTTCCCTTAAGAAAGAATGGAGGTTTATAATCATTCCTTGTAAAAATATGACAATTGGCGAAGGGTCAAGATAATTGATCTCCAAGCTTGGCATAAATTTCGATGATGTTTTTGATGTTTTCGAATAATTTAGATAATTATAATAAGATTTAATATAAAAAAATCCAGTTAGTAAGAAATTTTGAAAAATTATCTAATCAACATATTTTATCTCTGCTAGCTAAGTTACCTACCACAATCGAGAATTATCGCAAAAGGAAAAAGTTGGGCGTCTCAATGAAACGAAGCTACTCCCGGAAAACTAGCTTGTTACTGATCAAGTGCAAAAAAAAACCATGGATCCTGAACTAAATAGTTTAAGTCCATTACTCAATCTTAGTCAACATGAATTGGCTTCAGGGAGAAATGAGTAATTTTTGACCAACACCTTTCTTGTGAATTAGCTTAACCACCACATAATAGCCACACATATTTTGCTTTTGAAATATATAATGAGTTTATTTCTTGCAACTATTTACAAATTTTAACCACATACTACAATTACCATAGTACTTCTCTCATGCTTCTTACTTATATACACTTCTTTTGTGGTAAGACCTATGCCTATGTAATACTAATGTTGCAGTCAGATGATGCTGTAAACCCTGACCGTTTGTACGACTTGGTGGCTGTTGTGGTTCACTGTGGCTCGGGACCAAACCGTGGACATTACATCAGCATTGTCAAGAGTCATGGGTTCTGGCTACTGTTTGATGATGATATGGTTGATGTATGTATGAACACATCAGTAATGGCTTTCCCATCAATGCAATATATGAAGACAATATACACAACATTATATATCCAAGAATTATCCATAGTGAACAAAGCTATATCTACACAATATAGAAAAATGGCTTGTATAAAGTTTGCATTATCAATAAATTCTTTTATAAAGGAATTCTGTTAGTTACAGATATTTTATGATAGTATTTACATTGTCACTTTTCAACATTACATACAAATTAGAAGATAGAAGTTTACAAATTTCATACAATGGATTTAAATTATAAGTAAAACATTACACAGTATTAACAGTAAAATATATTGCTTGCAGAAAATTGATGCATCAGCTATAGAAGACTTCTACGGCCTAACTTCTGATATACAAAAGTCATCGGAGACAGGATATATACTTTTCTACCAATCAAGAGATGCTAGTTGTTAAGTTTCACTAAGTATAATAATTTATATAATTAAGATAGACACCATAAATAATGTTAATATGCCGCATTGTTAAAGTTGAGGTGGCATATGTTTTTGAAATTTAATTTGGAACACTGATAAAAGAAAATTATATATTATTCTTCTTATTGAAATTCATTCATTTGTAAATAAAAATCATTTAAAATTATAACCTGTGATATTTATTAACTTCAAACTTTTATTATCTGTACATTTTAAAAATGTTAGACGGTTTAAATGACGCTTTCTAAAATTTTACTTAAATCTAACAGTAGGAATTATTAATTTTGATGGTATTTATCTACTCTAAGAATAAATTAATGAAAAGAAGCTGTTTCGTCAAATATGTCAATTTTAAAATATTTTAGGTTCTTAATTTTATTATTGTGTAATAATATTAAATGTTTATCAGCAGAAGTACTTAACCGATTTAATAATAAAAAAAAATCATTATTTCTCCTGTTTGAATGATCATGATCATTTTTAATTTCTTTTTTAATTGAAGAAATCCTGAATTCAATTTCATGGATGGTTATTGAAATGTGGTTGGAATTTATAAAGAATTAAACAAAAGATATTGTTGCAAGGAAAGAATCTCTTAATAAACTATTGCATTGTATTTAACGACTACAGAGCGTTCCGATATATGATTAAAGGCATTATAAGGAATCAATGTGATGTTTTAGTATGGAAAAAATAGAAGTATTTAATTATTTACTCTTTTATGAAATTTGGTTGTTTTAACAAAATATTTTTAAATTTTGAGTCAAGTAATGAACTTGTAAAAAGTACCATTAGAAAGGTAACTAAATATTAGGCACGGGAACTATCCTTTCGTGTAGGTATGCCTTTCTAGTATCCAGACGAAATGAAACGATGGGGGCATTGTCTGCATTTACGTTTCCCCCCACTCACAGTGTGGTGGTCTTCATGGAAAAAGTTAATCAGATAGTGTACTGACCAACAATTGGAAATAATAATAATAATATACTTTATTGTACTCCACAATAAGAGACGAAACTACTCAGCATTCCATGGATTCACCGTGTGGGTGCCGGGTAATAGAAATTTAACAATAAAAATGAAATATAATATACAAAATAAAAGTAGATGCACAATAAGGCGGTCTTATCGCTAGGTAGCGATTTCTACCAGACAACCTTATGGGCTTAGAAACACAGTCGTGATTTCAGAGAAGGGTGGTGCCACATGTTATACAGGGTGACTGGTGAATTACTATCAATATTTAAGGAGAATACTCGGTACATGATTCTCATTCTAATTATGTAAAAAAAATAGGCACTTAATTTTTGACAAAATTTCCGTATAAATAAATAAAGTGTTGACACGTTCCAAGTGTGGACGCGTGCGGCGGCGTGCTGATACAACACCACGCCGCCGCACGCGTGTGTGTGTGTGTGTATACCTAATCTGTAGGGTGTTCACACGATGCGTAATTAATTACATAACTTTTGGTTAACTTTACTTAGAAGTTTATTAATATTTATGTTATATTAATTTTTATTTTGTCATACATGATCGTCAAATATCACGTCCTCAAGTATCGATAGTAATTCACCAGTCACCCTGTATAAACAATATAAACCGTATGGCGACGTTTTGAAGTCTCTCAAGTATTACCCGGTATTACAAAAATACTTGATTGGGATGATAAAAAAATCGGTCACAGTTGATACAGTTTTAAAATTATTAGAGATAAATAATCGAAATAGTAGAATCAGATAAGGACTTAGAAGAAAATACTAATAAATATTACTTCAAGATGAACAATCATATCGCCTTAAATTTAAAATGGAATACACGAATTTCTTATTTATGGCTATATGACTTATATTGATGTGATGGAAAGTTAATTTATTTAAATAAATCTATTTTTCGGATTTACTACGTGACTTAATTTTGCAACATTTTGTCAGATGTTTCCACCTCTTCACAATAAACCTGAACGCATGAACACAAGATTTACTCAAAGTATAAAATGTCGTTTGATAAAATGGGTCAGTAAATACAATTATTTTTTCTTTAGAGTACAGTACTCGTGACACTTAGGTATTGTTATATTATGTTAATTCAACTGACTACAAAATTTAATCTTATTTTACCAAAGTTATTAATAAATTTAAGTCGGACTAAACATTCGGAATCTACAAAATATGCTCAACAAATTTCCTTAGAAATACTACTGAAATATAGAAAAAGTTTGTATAGGGGTTATAGCTCTTTCACCCAAAATATACCGAACGGATGTTGATATAACTTGCCTTTGACATAGTTTAGACAAAAAAATAATATAAAAAAGCTTTAACTTATACCTTCATTATGTGTAATTCAAGTGGGATCACATCGTAGCAGATTTATTGTGCGAAATTACGTGACATTACAGACCTCGCTGTCAGCAAAGGTACATTATCAGAAGAATCCTAGTTTTTTTTTGTCATAGATTTTTTAGAATCCTAATTTTTTTTTGTCATAGATTAGATAAACATTTACTAGAACTAGATTGCCTTTTTAAAATATTAATTTGGTTTGTTTGAAAATAACTAGGCATCTAATAAAAATAAGTTACACATTTAAGTGATAAGAATGTTCAATGCTGATTTAAAAAAAAAATGCTAATTGACATATTAAACATATTATTAATAAAACCTCTAAGAAATTCAACCAGGTTAAGGGGGATTACATTTTGAGTGAAGAATGTATATAGTTATTAAAATAAAACATTATGTCTTACAAATAATATATTTCACTTTAAGCTACAAACTCATATGGAATAGGAGCGAGCAGGACTGGTTTTTCTGTACCGCTGACGATGTGAGCGGCCCTGGGTGGCTGTGGTTGTCTCTTGAGGTTTACCACCTTACCGGCAGCCTTGGCTTCTTTCAGCAACCTCTCATTCTCCTTCACACGCTTGAGGAAGTCCTCCCTGCACTTGGAGTGCTTGACGTGTTCAACGCGGATATTGATCCTCTTGGGGATGATCCTTCCACCAACCTTCTTGTTCACGATGACTCCAAGAGCGTGTGCTGTGACATTATACACTCTACCGGTCTTTCCGTGGTAAACTTTGTGTGGCATACCCTTTTGGACTGCACCATTACCCTACAAAAATTCATAAGAAATAAGTTCAAGTTCGAAAGCTTTAATGGAATCATATACATATGCACTGACTAACTAGTACTCACCCTAATGTCGACGATGTCACCGACTTTGTATACTTTCATATAAGTAGATAGTGGGATGGTGCCATGGGTACGGAACCTGCGGGCGAACAAGTCCCTGGTTCCACGGCGATAACCTTTGGAGTTCGTCATTTTGATGCCTGCAAATTATAACAATATCGTCTGAAAACACGCACGTGGCCGAAACAACTTGATCAGATTACACTTCCAGGAACTTAAATTAAGCAAAGTATATTATTAAATTGATATTCTTTACTATTTATTATCTGCTTTTATTAGTTTATATTCAGAATCTGAAAAGTAAAATGATTTTTAAAACAATTTACTAAGTAATCACCTTAGCTTGACAGCGCTTGGCTATTCAGAAAGAAAAGGTTATGTTGTCTTTGAATAGACTAAGATTTTTTTATTGCCATAAAAGAAATTATCGGATTACAAAAAAGTATTTTTTGTAGTCTCATAAATAAATTCAATAGAAAGCAATGGAAAGGTTAAATTTAACATTTATGTTACATAAGTATTTTGTAAAATATCTATTTACTTTACTATGCAATGATGACGATTATTGTAAAATTTATGAACTACTATTTAACACTTAACAAATACATCCGATTAAAAAAAAATCTTTCACTGTATAGAATTCATTTAATAATATTCTTTTAGACAAAGTATTAGAGTTTTAGAAAATAAATAACTTATTTTGTATTTTTTTATATATATATCCTTAATAATATCACATTTATATTAAACTTAGCAATTTTCTAAACGACATTGGTAAAATCACTGTCATCAGTCATTAACACGTACGTCATAAATCGAAAAGCACAACAAGGAAGTGGTTTATAATTATTATTACAAGAGATTCAATTATAATCTATTTTGTTATGTAGAAATCTATATGTTGTATTATTTTTTATAATTTTTTATTTATAATGGATACAGATTACAGTATTATGAACTCCTGTCCGTACACGCCCGTGTATTTTATAGAAAGTCCAGGCGTTACACAGGTAGTATTTATTTGATTTTATAACTTGTATTGTTTGTTTACAAATACTAATTAATGATTATTTTAGTCAAAATCGTATGTTATAACACAGAATATGCAGAGCCCCCAAAAACCCATTAGCGAGAATTTGAAGCGGTTTTACGAAAATAGCGGCAAAATGGAAACTAACCTTAATCATACGGAAAATAATTCCAAACCAAGGATTCTAAAAAAACAAGAATGTAATGTGGTTGGGAACAATTTAAAATTGGCGAGTTTTCTTCTTCCAAAAAGTGAAGTTAAAACTCAGACTAAACAAAACAATACCACGACAGCAAACAATGTAATCTTAAAGCCAATATACATAGCTAATGGTGCAAGTGTAGCAGCTTCAGTACCCAAACTGGACATAAACAGTAGAATAGTGAAATTGAAGGATCTCCCAAACATAACCAGATCTCATAACGGAAGAATATTGCCAAAGATAAAACCAAAGGAGAAGTATGTTACAACCCAATAAACATTTGTTTTAATACAAAATATGTGTTTGTATTATATTATTAACTTTCCAGATGTAATAAATCCCGTCACACATCTGTTCAGTTGTTGAAGCTGGGTGAGACATACCACAGGTGAGGTGAACTTAAGAAAACAACAAAGGAATATTAAATATTGTCGGGGATAGTGAAAACCATGTAACTACGATTGGATAAATTAAACACTAAATAATTACTAATTGTGAAGAAATTAGCTTAAAAGTTATTAATTTAGAAATATTTCAGCTTAAACTTTCTTCTGGTAATTTGATGCCAATGCAGGTATGCAGAATTATCCAATGGTAGTTACACAGATTTGCACTAATGGCGACAATATATTACTATATACATATATAATTTTTCATGCTTTTAGTATCGGTAGCAATAGTTAAAATTTATGTGAATTCAAATTTCAGTCTAAACCGCCTCAGCGATGATCAGATGAAGATTGTGAATCATGCCTTACAAATATTCCATAATCCTCAAAACGCACCACCAGAACCTACTTATGATCCCGTTACAAATACTAAATATATATATAAGTAAGCTATGATATTTATTGTGATATGTTTCATATGTATAAACTATAATACAGTTTTATTAATAACATATAAAAAATTTATATCTTTACAGGGTTGTATCACCTAAAGATTTAGCAGTAGTAGGTAAAAATAAGGAATTATTATTAGAAAAAAAGCCAGAGATCAAAAAGGAGATTATTATTAATAATGAAATAGAAGCTGAAAGTGAAGATGATCACAAAATTAACCTTGAGGTAAAATTATTTATAAATAATCTATATGTGTTACTTAATATACTTATTTACTAGTTATAACAGAGTATTTCCTTTAATATTCAGACCAAAGTGACGAGGAGTGGGAGAATTGTTAAGTTACCCAAAAATATTCTGCTGGAGGAAGTACCAAATAAGACCAAAAAGAAAAATGTTACATCAGTTACCTGTCTTCAGTGTTCCTCTGTGAGTGCTCCTAGAATATTATTGTTTGTCAACTTTTATAAATTTATATACAACTGTATGAGAATCAACAATAAATACAAAATTTTACATGCTTTATGCTATATAATCCTTAGTTTTAAACACAAAAAGAATTATTTCATATCTATAGTAACTATCATTAAATTAAACAAAATTTTGTTCTATATAACATTGGAATAAAATAAGAATATTTTTTTGTATTTCAGAAGTTTGGTAGTCCGCAGCGTTTGAATCGACACTATGAATATCACCCGTCACACTTACCTTCGAGACTGCACAATGATTTATTTCAGTGTTTGCTTGCTATTGTACAAGGGAGTCCCGAAGAGAAAAGACCAGAAACCTTTTTACAACAATTAGAATATCTGATTGAGAAACTAAAACATTTGGCACCATGCTTAACAAAGACTGATGATAAATTGAATTTGAAATCAAATAAAATCAATGAAGATGTTAGCAGGTGAAGATAGTTTAATCATTCAAAGAGTAAATTGACTAAAATAATGAATTCTACTTTCATTAGATAAGGTTCATTGTTGCTCGAGATCTGAAGCTTTGAAAAAAAAATTGATGGAGTCCATTGTGTTGAGATAAACATGAAATTTCTTTCTTAAGATTCTTTTTATAAATAAATTTTGTGATTTTATTGCCTAGTTTTCAGCTACAGAAAGAAAAATTGAGGTCTAATTTGTATAATTTGTTACAGATTATTAGGAGTAAGTCCAGGTGACTACAAACTTAATATAGATGCACTTAATTGTAAGAGAGACAATAATGGCCACTGTGACCACAACCCACCACCGCAACAAACAAAACTTATACAAACTCATGTAGATATTGAAGACATTATAAAAGCTACTATACAACCCAATGAAGACAAAATATTGGACAAGTCTAAGATAGATACTGTGAAACTGATAGATAAAAGACAAGCCATGGTTAAAATTGAAAATAGAAAGCAGAAATACGAACAATCCAATCATGATAATGGTGGGAAAAAAGTTAAACTAACAAATGAACCACAAGTCGGAAACCTGTCTATGGATGAAATTGTTTCCCTCATCTCAGAAACAAAACCAGCAGATAATGTATTGATAAGTAACCAACAAGTCAGAAACGACCAAGTAAATAATTCCAAACCATCACATATACAATTCCACAGTGCACATTTTGACATCAGATCATCACCAATAAAATCATCATCAACGGTCTTCCGTAAATTCCAGATAAACCCCGAGAAAATGGCAAAGTATGAAGTACAAATAGTGCAACCATTAAAATTAAATCAGTTGGCTCAAGACTTGGAGCAGGCTATTCACAACCCAGTCAATGAAACTCCCACAGTATTCAATGGAAGATCTGAACAATCACAAGAAACAACAAAAAAATGGCCAGAGAATGAGTCTGATTTTATAAGAACAAATAGTTTAATAAGCAATCAATCTGATGACTTCATGAGGTCAAATGCTTCTATTGAACCTGCACTAATACATATTAAGGATACACAAACAGACAACACATTAATTGATAATAATGATCTCTGTATAAATGATGATTATTCATCAAGCAATGGACAAGCTTTAATCAATTTCCTAGAATCTCTGGGCAATGAATTGACCAGCACAGAACCTACAAGAAGCAATCCTAGTGATTTCCAAATGGATTTATTCTCATTTAATAATTCATAGTAATATATTATGTGTGTAGTTCAATAATTTACATATTTTTTGAATAAATATTTTGATTTTATAGAATAATAGTGCATTTGTTTTATTTTGACTCAGTTTTCAGTAACAGTAATTATTTTGAAATATATTTAGGAGGTAGGTGTAAATTCTAAGGTATGGGTGTGAGATATAAAATATCATTAAAACATCCAGTATTAGTAATAAGAATTTTATTACTATATACTAAGCTTGTAGAACTGGTCTTTCGTTTTTCCCCTCCAAGTTTTCATTGGTCAGAGCGTAACCTGTACCTCCTCTTTGGAGTGGGATGATGTCTTTTTCTTTTAACTTCTCGCCGGTGAGCGGATGAAGCCAGTCTTTCTTGATGATCTTTTCGACACATTCCATGGTCACAACATGACCACTTGTCCTACATAACAAACATTTAGTAAGCTTTTTAAAATGTTGCAGTTTGTAAAATAGGATTTGTAACAAGGCATGCAGTAATAAAATATGGGTTGAACAAATGAATCTAGATATCCTACATCTCTTGCAATTTTTGCGGTATTAATAGAAGAATGGTTTGTATACCCATATTTTAGAAATTTGTTTATATCACAAAAGATTTATGTCATTAACAGGCCTACCTTATGACAGCACATGGAACAGAATTACCCAAAATGTCATGTGTTACGGGACACATATATCTGTTTTCTCTAGCTATTAATGACTTTTTATCATCAGGGTCATTAACAAGGGTCCATTTGACATCTACCAGGTCCTTCATTTTCAAAGGTTTACCACTAATGGGGCAATATACAGTTGGATCAGGTTTCTCCAGTTTCGTGATCTTAGCATCCGGCAGCTGAGATGGGACCCAGAAGCTTGGAAGCTCCTTATGTTTCCCATTAGCCAAGTTTGAAACTGATGTTGACGCACCACTGTCTGAAGATTTTCTGTGTGAAATATTATTTTCTCTGTTCATAAATTTGATAAGATTTGCTTGTTTTTCAGCATCGGCCAGCTCTTTTTTCTCATTTTCTTCTTTCTTCATTTGTTTTTCATATTGCTTTAATTTCCGTGTGTATTCAGTCTTCTTGCTTATAATATATTCCAATATAGCTTCCTTATCAAATAAATAACCCTCTTTGGTTACCACTGGGTCTCTGCATGGTTGCAATCTTAAACAGCAACAATCAAAGCTCTTCACGGAATCTTTTCCCAGCCTTTCGTTTTGTGTACCGTATCCCGATGCTGCAGCGTCTTTTTTCTTTTCATGATAAGTATACACAGCCCCAGCTGTACAATTTCTTGCGTGACGAGTCATTTAAAAAAGAAGCCCTTACCTAAAAAGTCAAATCGTAGAAATAATTATTATTATTGAAAATGTTGATCCAAACATTCAGCTCCAGTCGTAAATATAAACAACCATAAGTTTATCATAAATTACTTTGACAATTTAGAAGAGCAAAATTTTCTACACATAATATACTTACTTGTCAGGAAATATATGAAAGATGGATTTTAAATTTTAATGGTTTATTAATTCAATATAAAGCTAATTACTTCGAGTAGATTCGATATTCAATAAAATACAAATGACACTTGATTATAATTTATAACTAATCTAAAATCTTGTTTTAATATTTAGTTCAGAAATAAACGAGCTTTCCAGTCAACCTACTGAAAATAACAATAAATACATGTCACGTGTTACATTTAAGTATTGTAATTTATTTTTATAAGATGATATAAAAATATGATATTTCTCAAAACCAAATAACAGTAAGTAATTAGATTGCATAGAAAGTACACAATATGTAATACTAGACTGTATCTAAACGTCTATGTCAAATGTGACATTTGCTGTTATCATATATGACGACGTATCTCGGATTTTTTGTTTATTTTTATTTCTAGTTTTCAACTTTTCACCATTAAGATCAGTGATTAGTAACGTACCAGACGTGTGGTCAATTAGAATCGCTATAAACATCGTCATTGTTTAATTCTTATAGCGGTAGTGACCAGATAAGATATAAAATATCAGCTGTCAGTGTTATTTCTTGTTTTATTTAGTGAAGTGGAGTGCAGTGAACTGAAGTAATTGCTTGAAAAAAATATTTGCTTGCATAATAATGAACTTATCTTTCGCCGGTTGTGGATTTCTTGGCATTTACCATGTTGGTGTTGCAGTGTGTCTTAAAAAATATGCACCTCACTTGCTTATAGGAAAAATTTCAGGAGCTTCTTTTGGGGCAGTATCAGCCTGCTGTTTGCTCTGTGATTTGCCTATTGGTGAGTTACAATAATTGTAATTGTTGGAAATATTTAATTAGGATTTAAAATAATATTCCAACTAAGAGCATTAATATTAAATTTACCCATGTTATTAAAATAAAATTAAGAGCAATAGTTCATTGATTTTGAAAATAAAATTTCATTAAAATAAAGCAAATATTTATATTAGCACTAGATGAATAATTCATTGTTAAATAAAGAGATCCTAATTTGAAAGGATTTCAATAATTTAATACATACGTAACTTAAAATTTTCATCTAATTTTAATTTCATGTAAGACAAGATTACTTAAAAGATAGGAAGCCACAGAACAAGTTATTTTCTAAAATGAATTAAACTTACATTACTTACCAAATTCACTTACAATGTCACCGGTGGAGAAAAAATAGTTGAGATTAATCTCAATAATAATTTCAAGTAAATATTTATAATATTTATCAAATTTTTACTGTAGCGTAGTAAATAGTAGTCACAGATACTCTCTGTTGATAAAAACTAAAATACTATTATAAACAAAGAGACAGCGTTTCCACAACATGATAATTAAAATATTTAAATTAAACTAATATTTTCGGATTTACTACGCGAATTTTATTTTTGATTATAAACTATTTGTGCGTCGGCCTCCAGACAGGATATATTTTTGTTTTCGCGAATTTTAAAGCGCGTAGTGATGATAGAGCTTACGGTCCCTTGGGAAACCAACATCCCCAAAGACCATACCATCAAGGTCAACAAATATTACGAGCTCACAAACGAACTCACTCAAAATAGGTTTGTAGTAGATTTGTACGCGGTAGAGGTGGGAGCGAGAGGTATAACAGCGAAATCTCTCTACAACCTACTAAAGGACTTGGGCTTGTCCAGAACTCACATTAATGCATTCTTGGAACATATATCGAAGGCAGCCCTAGTAGGTTCTTTTAAAATTTGGTTAGGTAGGGAGAGGAGCTTGGACAGTGGAGGTGAGCGTATAACGCGCGTTAGTTAAGGGGCCCCTTAAACCTACACTTGGGTTGCAAGTCCCAGGCACTGTTGAAGCTCCTCTCCCTGCAACGCGATGGACCCGGCACCCGCACGGTGAATCCATGGAATGCTGAGTAGTTTCGTCTCTTCATTTAAATGAATACTCGCAAAAATCTTAGATCTCATTAATTAAAATATTTGTTATTGGTTTTCTATTGCTTGATATTATATTATAAAGATATATAAATAAGTGATAAAAGCTTTGTACAAAGCATTTTTTATTTCATCAAATAATATTTTATACTTATCTTTCCTTTGTTAAAAGCTTTATTATAGTTCATATGCTGTATCTTTGGATATATAATTTTAAGCTGGAAGATATAAACAAAAATTACACAAAGTTTATTTTGTAAAATCTTTTTTTTTTTTTGTGGTTATTGTAATAACTTTACTTTTTGATGGTTATGATTATTTTTACCCATATCATTTGTTACTTTGCATTGATTCTTTTAATTTCTTGAATAAGTTTTGAAATATTTTTTTTATTAATTTCAATAATTTTACAATGCACTCTAATAAAATCTTCTGAAATGTTTCTTAATGAAATAAAAGAAGATTAAGATTAATCGAATATTATTTTGAATGTTTTAAAAATATTTTCACATTTGCAACATTGACTGGCCACAGAAAAATATCCAAATTATTCAATTGGAAGTTATTTTTTGGCAACTGCCATGTTTTAATATACATAACTTCTTTACTTCCTTTGTTATGGTTGAAATGCATTTTATATATACATATAATTCTATTTTTCATTTCCTCTTCTATTCTCGCTAAATTATTGCTCAAGCATTGCAGAAATTTATTATAAATTTAATTACCTGTTCTAGAATAATATCTTGTATAGGCATAGGTATCCTATAATCAAATATGATTGTTGTAGGCGAGATAACGAGCGATGTTTTGAGGGTGGTTAGTGAAGCGAGGGCAGGATCCCTTGGACCATTCAGTCCTTCATTTAGCATTCAAAATGTACTTCTGGACAGTATGCAGAAGTATCTTCCGCATGACGCTCATAAAATCGTCAGCGGGAAGCTCCATATATCGCTAACCAGGGTTTACGATGGCAAGAACGTAATTGTCACTGATTTTCCAACGAGAGAGGACCTGTTGCAAGTGAGTTTTACTAGTTTTATCATTTCTTTCATGTGTACCAAATTCTTCGTCATATCGCTCTTGATATGCTTCTAAAAACGTTGTTGTTTATTGATAAGAATTCAGTTCGTAATTCAAAATGATAAAATGTTACCACGTCTAATTTAGTTTCTATATATGTATGGAAGGTAAAGTTATTTATTTATGGTTTCGTAGGCTCTGTTAGCGTCATGTTTCGTGCCAGTTTTCTCCGGGATGTTGCCGCCCCGGTTTCACGGTATAAGGTACATGGACGGAGGATTCAGCGATAATTTGCCCGTTTTGGATGAAAATACGATCACCGTCAGTCCGTTCTGCGGCGAAAGTGATATCTGTCCTAGAGACCTTAGCTCACAATTATTCCATGTACGTTTTGAATGATCTGATAATATTGATTTACTTTACCTGTTGTTTCTTATTTTTATGTACCGTTCCTCACAGGTGAATTTAGCGAATACCAGCATAGAACTGTCCAAGCAAAACATAAACCGTCTTGCTAGGATTCTATTTCCACCAAAACCTGAAATTCTCAGCAATATGTGTAAGCAAGGTTTCGACGATGCTCTTCGTTTCCTACATAGAAACAACATGATAAGCTGTACTAGGTAAATTAATATTAGCTTAGAATTATTCCTGTTGTTTGATGATTTTAAAAGAACTTAAGAATTATATTGTAATATGAAATTTCGTCAGATGTCTTGCTGTACAATCAACCTACCAGTTACAAGATGTTCTGGATGATAAAACGTATGATTACGATCCCGAATGCGAGGAATGTAAAACACACAGGCAGGTACGTTGTTGGAAATCTTTTCTCTCAATAATTATGTTTTACAAGAATTTATTTAGACCAAAGCATTCAAAAACTATTAATCATCATCACCAAAACAAAGTGAGTCGGATACCTTTGATTATCCCTTACAGGATGTTCCCAAAGCCATTCTCTATCGTCCCCATAGTGGTTTCTCTTCATCCATCAGTTTTTCTGTACTGCAGCTTGTTTCCAGGATGCTCTAGTGGATGATCTCCCGGACACAGTGATGACAATCTTCCAGAATGCTATCGAGTCCGCCAACACCGGCCTCGTCAACTGGGTCATGAGACAGAGAGGGATGCGATGTGTTTCACTACTGACGCTACCATACAGGGTCCCAGTGGATGTTATGTACGCTACATTTACCAAGTGAGTTATTATTTGTGATAACTTTGTTCATACACTTTATCATTAAATTATTTCATTATATCGAAACTTCAATTTCATGATGACTTAGATGATTATCAATTCGATCTTCGCCAATATAATCTGTTGTTTCTGGTTATGAATGGTGTTTTGGTTAGCGAGAGTTAAGTTTGGTCATTTGAGATTGTACTGGTTGTTTCTCATTTATGATTCCTCTTCTAAACATAAACTTTTTTTTTGGGATGAAAATATCAAATGAATCACGTATTTTATATAAGTGTACAAATTAAAACTGCTAACCAATTATATGTAATCATTTATATAATATTTTATCCAATACGGTCATTTCTTCAGTTATGTAGACTGTGACCGTGTGATGGTCTTCTAGCTGACCTTGAACGTTTTTAATTCGTTGTTTCTATATTATTCATAATTTTATTAACGTGACATATGTAGGAATACCGTCTTTGGCTGATATTGCCTATGTTATCGTGAGCTAGTACGAGGAACATTTGACGACATCGTGCTTTGTTAATATGTACTGATACTTTGTATTGGAGCACATACGTTTGTCATAGCTATACATTGTTACAGTATAGGAGATTAATGAACATTTGCTATGAGTGTTTTCACAGATATCGTATGTCCTAACGCTTTAAATTTTAGTTATATCGGTGATAAAGTAGAGAGGCATGCCGCTCAGTTCGAGGTGATGGGGAATTTGCGTGTTCTTAGGAAGAGGTGTATCCGACACAACAATGTTATGACTAGGTTAGTGTCAATTTTGATACTTGGTGGAGGATTTTGCTACAGCTTGGTCTTTTTTTTGTAATGGGTATTGTCGTTATCTTTGTAGCTTTGACAGCGTCATCGAGATAGTGGGCGAGTATTAAGAACCTAGCTTGCTTATGTCATCATATTGAAGTGTATTGTTGATAGTTTGCTTCTTATTGTATTATGTTTGGGTGACTCATCGTCCTGTAACTAAGTCTTTGTGTTCTCCTGTCGCAGCTAATATTGTCAGTTTTTGATATATGTGACTATTAAGTTTTGATTCTGATGCAGTCTCATATATATTTTTTTGGGTTAAATATTTCTCTTATTTGGTGAAGGTTTCAATACCATAATATATTTTACATTCAACAGTAAATAATATAATTTGTTTAATTTTTAAAAGCAAAAGTCGGATGAAAAAAATACCTATTGTAAAAAAAATATATAAATATACATATTGTATGTAAATTATATTTTTTTATACAATGACGATAATCAAATGACCTCGAGGTTCGACTGATATCGAAGTAAAACCACAATAAAATCCTAGCTTTATTTGATAACACGTCGAACGACGTACAGTAATTTCCTGTTTTTTAGTTTTATTAACTTTTTTATGTTTAAAGACTTAACTTTTGTTAAAAATAACAAATATTTGATTATGCTTTAGTTATTGAAAAACGTTAAATAATTTGCGGGAAAGTCCTAGTGGTATAAAAAACATACCTATATTTTATAAAATTTTCATCGTTAAGAGAAATTATTGTTAAAACAAGTTCTACAGCTTTCTCTATGTTTATCGACCCGTTCTAAGCCTCGTTATTGTGTACAACTTCACTTATTTCATAATCTGCATTTTAAACGTAAAAAATATTTTTATTACTTAAACTATATTATATTTCGATTAAATGGAAAGTTTGTTAAATGGAAAGTCAGAAAAATACGAAATAAAGTAGATAAAGAAATACTGTTTGAATTTTTCGGTTCAGTGTTCATAGAGTTTTTCGTTTCTTAATTATAATATTAATACGAAACAGTGTCATGAGAAATGCTTGAAGTTTTTATGATAATATTTTTACAAAATGTTACATTAAAATTATATTGCCTTTTCGTCATCCATAGTAACAAATCGTGAATGTATAGTCCACAGAGAGCCAAAGAAGTAATTATGTGATTTTGTTGATCAGTTCAATTAACCAATTTATGCATACAACCATATCATTTGCATAGAACCTGATGAAAATATGAATATTCTGCAGATTCGTAGCATGCACACCAAAGATGAGCAAGACTCTGTGGAAAGTTAGCTGGCAGATAGCTCGTCAGTTACACGGGTTCCTGTACTCGGCTCCAGACCGTTCGGAGGCTGCGAGGATATACTACAAGCTGAGTCACGAACACCGAGACGAACATCGTCTGGATAGAAGGTATGTGAGACTGCCATCAACTGAAGACGTACCCAAATATATCTTTGATGAAATTTTTTGTGTGTGTTCAAGGGGATCTGGGAATGGTTTAGATTCACAATTTTGTCCGCTGTACAATGTTTTTTTAATTAATTTTTAATTTATTTTAGTAGTTGTTGATACAAACGTTTCTTTTTGACAACTAACTAATATGTCAATCATTCTGTCGCACTTCAAAACACGGAGATTTATTGGCTTTAATAGGTAAATTCCACAAAATATAAATAAAAAAACGTAACAGACATTTCTTGATTATAGAGCCATACGAAGTACGCCGGATCTTCTAGTATATACATAATTTACTATGGGGTTTTATCTAACAATCAATTTCAACTCATTCTTCCGATAGTTTTAATATTTTTATTTATCTTCTGATTAGAGACTTAGTTACTTAAAAAGAAGGATTTCCTTAATATTTTTTTCTCGTATTATTTTTACTTTGTTTTATGAAGTCGAATATACTTGATGTAAATCATACATATATACCTGTGAAGGAGACACATTTTTGCATTAATATTAAATCATTGCAGCTGTTCCTTTGTGTTCTTATGTAACAGAAATATATAACAGTATTTTAAAGGCAATAAGTCATTCTATTGAATCAAATCACGTCTAGAGTCCCTAGCAATAGGGCATACTTTTAAGATTGCCAATCACAGAACGAGCTAAGATATTATAAAAACCGTTTTGTCTGCATAATTCAAGTTCTAATCGCTACACTAAATATGGAGTAAACTATTTTTCATTGATAAATCTTAGCATTTTATAGTATAACGTAGGTTATTGAATTGAATAAACGGGGAACTCTTAGTATGTACTATGACGATGCAAACCCGGAATAAGTATGATAATCTAATTTCTATATCATAACTGATACATACAATTTTTATAACTCAGTTCAGAAGACGATATAAATATTATATTATCAAGAGTTGATAAACTTGATTAGGTTGACGTTGTTGTGATCAGTTTATTTTCACTTTACTATGTAGAATGGCACTAGACGATTTACTAGAATAGTAATTCTAGTTGTTTACACATAGATTTTAGTACCTATCAGGCCTAAAAATGTTTAAAATATAGAGTATCGTCTCCGTACTTTTGACATATTTTTATGACTGCTTACTGAGATTTCTAAGCGTATTTTGTATTGAAGATTTCAATATAAAAAAATACAAATCAATATGTGATGTGGCCTTTGTAATTTTTTATCTCAGAAAAAGTATGTTATATGTATATATACTAATAAAATATATTTTACAAAGAACCGATTTTTTTAAAAACTTAAACACCAAATAAGACTTAAAAGTGTAAAATATATAGTGTAACAAGCAAGCAAGACGGAGCAACCACTTTATCTTTTATCTAGATCGATTAGAAGTATCATTGTAGTTTTTAGAAGCGTATTAAAAACGTTATGATAAATTATATTACATAATATAAATGTTTAATATTAAAGAAAATATTCTATATGAGAGAAGATTATAATTAAAGAACACGTATCTTTATGTAAATGTAAAATTTATGTAGAAAGATAAGGAATGATTAATGATGTCTGAATCCATTCGTTATTTTATTTTGCATAATAATTTGTAAACAAATATTGTTTTTATTGTATTAAATTTCACATACAAGTAAAATATATGCATATATATTTAAAGTCTTATAAATTGCATGATGTTATCTTTTTTGACGAATATACAATATTATCGGTTTAAATTACTTTAAAAATCTAATCAATTGTGACCTTCAGCTGACAATAATTATCATAATCAGATCTACTTTGATATAAAAAGTGGCGTTGTTTAAAAAAAATAATGTCGTAATAGTAATTATTATAATTAATTCGATGTTATTCAAGCGTTGTAAATGTTAGATTTCTTTTCTTGACTGTTTTGTAAAACAGTTGCAATGCAGTCTGTTAAAATCATGATTACGTCTAGAACATATTATTGATGTTTCACAATGATATAATTTAGTTCGAAGTCCAATAATTCTTTCAACATGATTAACATTGAAATGTGTTATCGTTGTAACAAAGTTTATTGGCGTGTATCGGTTAATCCGTGAGTGTCAATAACTTTCGGAACTTACGACCTTATGTGCTGTCAATCGTATTTTATTTATCACGTGATTATCATTTTCATTGTATTTCGACCCAATTACGGTCTCAGAACGAAGGGTCGTGTAAATTTTTATTTAAATTGATGAACGCATATGTGAAATACTATATTTATTTCTTATTTTTTTGATCTAGCAATAATTGAAGATGCGTTCGTGTATTTGAAACACAAAAGCGGTAGGAATCTATCAAGTACATTTGGATGACGTTTAGTCGTTACCGAAAACATAGACTATATAAATATTTATTTATTTTTTAATACATCATAATATATCATATGGGTAATATTTATTGAATATAGAATATAACTTATGGCTAATAATTAAAATGTGGTATGTTTCTTCGTCTGTTGTCCAACAATTTCTGACTATAATCTATTACATATACTAATCTCTATTAATATTTATAAGAAAATGATTCAACGATTTATTAATACAACCATCACCTTTAAAGATATTAAAATGAAGAAAATATATGAGATTTATTCAATATATTTACAATTTAAAGAGAAATATATAAAAAAAATCGTACATAAAGTTCTATTAAATACAGTATTTATTGTAATTTGCAAAACCTTTATCTTTAGGCCATATGTATTATTTCCACGATGTTCTATTCTCCAGTTCTGGTTTTCTTAGGAATTCATATCTGTAATATAATTTTTAAATATACATAATTGCGAAGGATTTTATCATTATCTCGAAAAAATTGTCTCTAAAGTCTAATTATGAACTGAGTGTATTCAATAATTGATCAAAGAAGTTTAAAATGGTAAACGCTGTGTTATGAATGGTAAAATTAAATGATAAAGAGCTTAGTCAGCTTTCATTTCGTACTTCAGAGCAAATAAAATGCACTCTTGAAACAAAACATTCTAGCTACGTTATGTTTTCATTTGATGAAAATATTACACAACTTAAGTGTTGAAAGTATAATATTGATTAAATTTAAATTTTTTACGTATACCGATTAAAAACTCTTAAACTCTGGGTAACTGGTAACTATTAGCTGGAAATGTTTAAGTTCATATGCGTAGTTCAAGTCTTCATAAGCGTAGTAATCCGAATAATATTAGTTTATTAAATGATACTCGTGCTGTAAGAATATCTACAGACATTTATTCTATATTGAATAAAAAATTAAATAATCTAAAGATTACTAGATATGACGACTTTAGGAACTAATGTTACTATTTGAAAAAGAAACAGTACTAAATACTATTAATAGAGTATTATTAAACTTCGCCTCGCTCCGATAGGATCAAGAATGAACGAAAAATAATCTTTTAAATTTCGCTATCATGTGCTCAGGTCTAATGTCAATTGAAACTCATAACGTAGCTAAAATAACTAAGTAATTATAAACAAAAAAATTTTTATCTTCTAAGCACACCAATCAATATTGTTCTGTATTTTCGCACAAAAAACGTATGTACGGTCACCTAACATGAGTTTTGGCAAGGAAAGTAATGATAGTGTTATCAGTGGCGCACTTCCAGTGATAATGTGAATTGTGTCATTACAGCGACCCCGCTGTGAAGACGTCACACGATATCGGGGCTAAGGGTTCAGATCGGATGGAAGTTTAAGGATAAATACGGGGATTTTTAATATTGTCAATCTTTTTTTTATATGTAATTATATTTTTTTTACTTAGTACAAATTTATCGTCACTATAAAGTATAGACTAAGCGTTTCCTGTTTCTCGTTTAATCTATATATATAAAAATGAAATGCTGTTCCTTAGTCTCACTAAAACTCGAGAACGGCTGAACGGATTTATCTTATCTTAGTCTTGAAATATTCGTGCAGGTTCAGGGAAGGTTTAAAAGCTGAAAAAAAATTGATTCATTTCCGGGAAAGCCCTAAAAAAAGCCCTTTTCTATTTCCCATACAAACGTTTTTTTGACATTAGATTTGACGACTAACTAATATGTCAATCATAGTGTCGCACTTCAAAACACGGAGATTTATGGCTTAAAGGTAAAATCCAAAAAAATAAATAAGACATTATTTATTTCTTGATTGAGGCAGTACGAAGTGTGCCGGGTCAGCTAGTACATAATAAATATTAATAATGTAACGTATGTATAAAAAAATATTTAAACTAAGTATTTTATGTGACGAAAACATGGGGTAAGCATAAAGATTACATCCGAGCTCACTATGAAGTATTATTATTCAAGTTTTTAATAAAAAATACTAATTAAATTATATTAATTTTAATTTATTCCAAATATAGGCCAGGGTAGAAGGTCAGGGTAGTTCCAGGCCTGTAAAATTTATGAAAAGTGAAAAAAATAGTAGAATGAAACCCATTAGAAAAATAGGGCTATATTATAAAAATAAAAGGAAAAATAATTTACGGGCGATATGAGTTCGGGAAGGATATGCGGGTGGGTATTTAAGGATAAAGAAAACGATTTCCTACAAAACTAAAAGTCCTACAGAAAAAGTCATATTGCAAAGCTGTAGATAATAAAAAGATCTAAAATTTTTGTATTTACATTTTTTCACATAACCTCAAAATTTATGTAAAAAATTTAAAAAAACAAGTTTTTTTTTATTTTTTACAAAAAACAATATTTTTCACTTAATTTGGTGAAAACTTACCATTTATACTTAAAAAAATATGTATACTGTAATTTATTTGATTTGATTTATTTTTTTTCAGCTTATTTTGAATATATGTATATCGAAAAATAAGCTTCATTTTCAATCGAAAAATCACCCGTCAAAATATCAGATTTTTCCAAAAATTTGATATGTTCATTGAGATCTCTTTTTTCCAATCGTGAAGAAAAAATATAAGTTTCTTACTTGCAGTACCATTTTTGGATAAAATAACCAAGTCTCTTTTAATGAAATGACACTCGACATCGTTTTGAAAATCCTCTTTCAATTTATTTTTAATAATTGCGCACTATGGAAAATCTCCTGAAAATCCGTCTTTTATTTTATTTACATAAAATTGACATTAAACTACTAGAACTATTAAAACCCTAAAACTATTAACATCCTTCCCGATCTCAGATCGCCAGTAAATTATTTTTCCTTTCATTTCTATAATTTTTCCCTCCTTTTCTAATGGATTTCATCCTACTATAATATTTTTTTCTGTCTTAAAAGTTATCGACACCTATCTAATATTTATTATTTAAATTATTCATACGTCAAAATTCGTTGTTTTATGTCAATATAACAAGATATTATCTCGCGATAAAAATTAATATTATATTATTAATTGTAATAAAAAAGTATCACAAAATATTTAATAATCAAAATAAAAGCTTATATACCTTAACCTGTTTCTAATTTCTGTTTATAATTAATCACAAGTGACGTACGTCTATTGTTGTAACATGTTTAGGATTATGAAGATACATATTTGCATATTACAAGCACGTTTATCTTACTTATATTTTTTACATAACATGTACATAACTGTTATGTAATATTTGTAAAGAAATAGTCTTATATAAGAATCTTGTCAAACGACTATTGTTGCCATTATTCATAAATCATAAGAAAAACAAGAGCGGTAGCACAGAATACATTCTTTATAGGCTATGATAAATTTATAAAGAAATATTTATTAGTTTATATTTTATATTCAAGGTCGATAATAATTCTGTTTTTTTAAGATATATTTTAATTGATTGATCTATATCTGAATATTATTATTTAAAACCATTGTTTATTATACAATTCTAATTATTACGTCACATGTTAAGATATCGCTGACGGTATGAATTTGCGGTTCAAAAACAATTATTGTTTTATCAGTATCTACTATCATATAAATCATATTATGCATGTATTACAAATACTTTTGTCCTCATCCTCTATTACTCGATCTATCCACATTTAATTATAAAAAAAGAAAGCTATAAAATGATAGCAATAGTGCCAATCAGGGGTCAACTTATTTTGGTAATACAATATTTCGATCACAAAACAAAATAAATATTTATTATAACGTACCTACTCGTACAAGTTCTTATCAGAATTCCAAAAGTTCTAGCAAAACTGAAGCCAACTTATTTTCATATTGATGTTGATGGTTCAAACGCAAAGATATCCCATTAAAATTAGCATAAAATATAGTAATTATTAAATTAATTAAGAATATATTATATGTTCCAGGCGTGCCAGTGAGTTGCGCGTGACGTATGGCGACATGCCAGCGGAGGCGGACACGTTTGAGCACATCCTGAACGTGACATCTCATAATGATGCTCTACTCGCCTATTACTATCTGGACAGTGACAATAAGGTAACTAAACTACGAACTAAAATCATTGAAGGTATCGTATGTACACACAGAACATTATATAACAAATTCCAGCCTTTTTTACAGCTTTAAAATTAATTTTTCAATCTAACTTTGAGCACGTGTTGTATAAAACCCTGTAATTCACTTACCATACGTCTTATGTCAAAGTAAATACGGTTACATTACCTTTGACATATGACGTATGGTATTAATACACTTACTATACGTCATATGTCAAACTAAATACGGATACATTTCTAGTTCTTTATGTATGAATTGAAAATTTCAAACGCTCGTAACGTGATGATATAGTCAATTAAAACTAGGTTGTCATAGTACGATTATGACTTTTTGCCTCTGAATATGGTATAGACAAGGCAGAGGTATTAGAAAAAAAATGAATCTTATTTATTACGAAATTATAACATGCATGTATTTTGCACTTTTGGTTAAGCTTATGTTTACCTACAATAAAATGCCTTACTTTATTAGTAGACTTTGACCTTTGAATTTGACCTGAAATGGATTTTTAATATGTTTGAAATAGAATTTGTTCTATGCTCGAATTATCAGAAATTCAAAATAAATAAATTCTATACATATATATTATAAACCCATTGTTAATATCTACTTTTATCAAAAATAATTTGTTGTTCATTTGTAGTTTACATTATTTAAATATATATCAATATTTCTTTCTCTATTAAAATGACGTTACGATAGTGTTGTTCACACGCCACGCCCTCTGACACCGGTTATCGTTTGTTTGTTACGGTTTTTATTACAGACTAGTATTTGCCCGCGACTTCGTCCGCGTTAGTTTCCTCATTAGTAATATATGTATAGCTGACCGGGTGAACTCTATTCCGTCTTAGAGGCCATAAATAATCAGGTTTTTCCTGTTTCAATCAAACAGAATGATTGACATATTAGTTAGTTGTCAAATCTAATGTCAAAAAAAGCGTTTGTATGGGAAATAGAAAAGGGCTGTTTTTAGGGTTTTCCCGGCAATTATTCCAATTTTCTCACCTTTTATACCTTCCCTGAACCTCCACAAACATTTCAAGACTAAGATAAGATAAATCCGTTCAGCCGTTCTCGAGTTTTAGCGAGACTAAGGAACAGCAATCCATTTTTATATATATAGAAGAAGAAGATTATTATATTCATTCAATTACAAAAAAAAATCTAAGACGTCAGTAGGAAAAAGGTTATCCGTTTATCGTTATTTTAATGCAATACAAAGACATGACGCAAAATATATCAACAATCGCAAAAAAATCATAACTATTGTAAATACGTTGTGGGCATTAAAAGCTTGCATATGCACACGATCCATCATATAGTCATGGGTATGCATTAATGATTCATAGTTTAATTGCGTCGTAGATCAGAATGTTTATTTTTAAGCGTTCCGATGCGTTCGTTGCTTATTGTTGTGTTCAATTTAACCTTTCACTCCAGTCGATAGCTGATTCTTTGTTGTTGTTATTTGATGTTTACTAGTATTGCGCAGAAATTAGCACTTCGGATAGCAGATTTGTCATTGTACTTCGACATAAAAAATTACATACTTGACGTCTTCTAGCTAAAACTATTTTTGAGACAATTAATCTTAACAGATAATAAATATTCAATTACAAGTAATTACACACAAGTCTATCATGGTACGAAAAATTACTTTGTGACAAAAATTTCGATCCATTGAAGATTTTACGTATAATTATATTTATAATATTTTATCTAAATTAGATGAAGATGACGGAGATCTATGACGTCACTGATGCGGACACCGATGCGGTACAGTCTCCAACCGAGCGTGATGTCAACAAACAACTGGAGTTCGACAACGACTGGTCGGGAGAACTGATGGCCGAAGACGGTAAGGGTCTAACATATGATGCTAGCCGAATATAAAATCCTCTCGACCACTATAACCTGAACTTTTATCAATAAAATGCTTTAAAAAGGTTTTCAAATTTCCCAACTAGACCAAAATCAGCAGGATTTAAGCAAATTCTGACTAAGTAATTATGAAAAATATTTCTCTTTGTTAATAGAAAAAATACAATTTCGTCCGTATTTAAAGATAATACAGTAGCTTCATAAATAGATTCTATTTGATATATTGAAGAAGTGTAGGTACTATAAGGTTATCTCGGTCATACAAGTAATTATATTATCTATAATAATATCATTTAATACTAAGCTTATGTAGATATTGATAAATCAAAGTGCGATTCAAAGAACGCTGTTTTATAAATAATCTTTTGAATAAATCGATTCAATCTATCATTGAAAGAGAAATGGTTTCGATTACATTTTATTATTCATTTGACAATATTAATAATAAACGCACCAATCACTATGTTACATACGTTATCCACCAGTTTACCTTCAGAGAGAATTGCATATATATTTTTTATCTTACTATCGCATTACATGCATGCGCGGAGTAAGAATGAAGTAAAGATGTTTTGTATACCAGTCAAATCCAATATGGCGACGTCAATGCACGTTAAGTGACTGTAGATTTTATTTACAATTATTTATTTTTTTTAATAAAAAATGTTTTCCTTTTAAATTCTAAGATCCCTATAAAAGTTGGATTCGAATGTTGTTTTTTTAAATACCCTAGCACACATATTATATTATTATTACTTTTTTTTATGTGAAATCAAGGTTGTCCATGATGTCCATAGGCGACGGTAACCACCTTCCATCAAGTGGGAAGTCTTCTCGTTTGCCACCTTTCACATAAAAAAAAACACATGTTATATGTCTACGATTACACTTAATTACATGTCGTCCATATCAGGTATCCATTTTAAAATCATAGATAATTGCGTTGCTAGCTGGAAATCATTTCTGAAACCATCCAATCATAATGCACAGAAATAAACTTATGTTGTTTTTTTCTCTTTTTTACGATCCCAGATAGAAAAATCGTGTTCCTTACTTTTGCGTTTAGTAAAAGATTATAAAACATAAAGTTCCTTTATATCCTAATATTGTCAAAGTTATTTTCAAACTATTAAATTTTTACAGATGAATTGGACTTGGATGGTGTTGACGATGATTTAGAAGACAGAAACATATTCTCAGACCCAGAGAGCGAGTGGACCAGACGGCAGTCATTTTCAAACTCTTCCAGTGAAGGAGATCAACCGGAATCAGACAGACAATGTGTTACATACACTTATTCTGAATAACCTAACAAAGTTGTGATACCAGATATTATATGATAATGATATCATTATGATATGATAAAGGTAGTGACATCAATTCCTTCGTTTATGCAGTATGGAAGTGCTAGAATGATATGAGGAACAAGAAGTATAAATTAAATTATTGGGGGCAATACAATTATGTTATGTTATTACAAAGAGTAAAGATTTTTACATTCACTGTACAGTGATTTCGATGTGAATGATTTTATTATAAACTTAATATGATTTATGTATTATAAATTTAAACGAGGTTTTATGTGACTGAAGGTTTTTATAAAGGCTTAGGTTTTTGTTGAAGGGTTTTGGATTGTCCTTTAAAAAAAATTGTTTAAAAGTTTTGTGTACCTGAAGACTGTATGGACATTACAATGTTTTATTTATTAATTTAGCTAGTTTTATGTACTCTTTTTAACATAGTACCATTATATATAATTTATGTCTTTTTATATGAAATATTAAAATTTTACTGACAAAGATGAGATTAGGGGAATATACGTGATGGTTTTAGCTTTAAGCTGTATTGTTACCAAATAAAAACTTTTTTGTTGACATTCAAAATCATTTAAATATAATATATGTATATATTTGTTAAAAAATATAATATTATATTGTTATCTTATATCATATAAGGTTTATATGAATCATTTAAGGAGTTCTAGTTTTTTGTTACATAAGTTATTGGTGTGGGGACCATCAATTTTGTACATAAATATTTGATATTTGTATATTGCAATAGAAAATATTAGTGTAATCTTAGCATCTTTGTTACATTTCTATATAAAGAAGTATTTATCTTGTTATACAACATTGTAATTTGTACTGTGTATTTAAAAAACTCACAAGTATAAATAAAAATGTTAAAAAATTACGACTTTTATTCCTTCTAATTTTTAAAGAATTATTTGCAACATAACAATGAGGTACACATTTATAAACAGTTATTGTGTAATTTCGAGATTATTAATAATATTATATAAAGCCGAAATACAATGTCAGCATTACCTCAGACTCCATCATCCCTTCGTAAAAATATTGTAAGTGTTCAAAATATAAAGCTTTGATCCAGGCGTATTTACAACAACTAAACTCTAATACTTATTCGCTTTTTTTTAATCCAATACGTACTTATATCATGAAATCTTATTAATTTTGGTACATTATAATTATAACTAAATATAAACGTCAATGTCAAAACTGTTCTAATTTTAGAAAATCTTTCATTGCAATTTTTGAGCTCACTTACTTTAACACATTTGTATCCTTATAAAATTTAATTCTTCTAACCAATATTTAGGCGCCGATTAGCGCATGTACGGATGTTTTTAGATTGTTTTGTTATACTTTAAAGGATGGTAGGAAAAGGTGACGTCAAGGGAAGTCGTATATTTCATCAATGTTATTTGAAATGTTGCAAGTTACAAAACCTTACCCCCTTGACTAATGTTATACCGTCCAGTAACGGTAAGGTGTTAGACTTTTGTGTGGATAGAATCAAATACGCCGATTGGCCTCCTATTCTCAATGCCCTAAGTTGCGATCTAAGTCTACATACTGTTTCAATAAAATGTCGACAGCCTGTAAAAACTGGTGAGTCTTATATATGTTTAATACAGAAAGGGTAAAGATTTTGCAATTCTTATAATTAATTTTATTTGATAATGAATCAATGTACTACCTACATCTGAATAATCTCAGTAATGTTTGCAGTGTTGGAACACATAGACTGTGAACGTTTAGCGAAGACGGTAAACAAGCGAGCCGTCATTCTCACAAAATTTATGCTCAGCAACTTGATAGAGGCGATCGCACAGTTATTATCAAACACTACGCTTCTATCCTCGCTGCTAATCGAAGGTTTACCTTTGAGGGTTCCGTACCTCAATTCTATTTGTGAGGTAATTCTTAATCATAAAGATTCTTATTAATGAAATATTTAAATGTCTAATTGTGAGGTAAATGATTTCACTTAAAATCGTCAAAAAGAGTGATTTAGACTTTTTTATTTCTTATTACCATACTATATTCCATTAAAGGCGATACTGACAAACAATTCCCTGCAACACCTCTATCTTCCGAGATGTTCAATTGGCGACGCCGGATGTTTGGCAATCTGCAAGGCTGTCAGATGTCTGCCAAACATTCTAACCATGGACCTTAGCGGCTGCGAACTGACTGCGACAGGCGTTGGGTATATAGCGGACTTGATCAAGGTAGAATAATCGTCTTAGATACTGAGAACAAAGTATTCGATTGATGGCATTAATGTGGCCATTCCTAACAGTATCAAAAAATCCACCGGTACAGTGAAAATTGGGTGCACACTCTCCGCTACCGGCTACCAGACTTGGACACGATGGCTGGCCTGAGAAGGATCAGTCTGTGTGGGAACAATCTAGGAGACATTGGGAAACTGTTTGACGTTTTGGCGGACGATTTGTGGATCAAGGGTTTGTGGATTGTTTTAGCGATAATCACCTTTCCAATACTCAAATTTGTACTTTATGGCACCAAACTTTATTTGGTATATAAATTAGGTGGTTCCTACACGATAACCATTTATTTTCCGAGTTTTTAAACCTAAATATATTATTAGAAAGGAAAATTAATGTCATAATTATCTTTATAGCGGTCGATATCCAAAACTGTGGGTTAACCGAAGAGAGCTCGGAGGCTGCCTTACAAATGATGCGGTCGAACACTACTTTAGTAATACTAGACATGCGACACAACCCGCTCATACCAACCGAAACACTCTCAAAAATAAGATCGGCTTTGAGAGAGAACGAAAGAGGAATCGGTGGTCAGGTAGACTCTTAGAATCCCTACTAATATTATAAATGCGAAAGTAACTCTGTCTGTCTGTCTGTCTGTCTGTCTGTCTGCTACGCTTTCACGCCTAAACCACTGAACTGATTTTAATGAAATTCGGTACAGAGATAGAGTTGACCTTGAGAAAGAACATAGGATAGTTTTTATCCCAGACTTTTGAAAGGTTCTCTTGGAAACGCGATATAACCGAACTCCACGCGGCGAAGCTGCGGGCGGAAAGCTAGTATATATATATGTATAGAATATTAATTACTGTATTATATTTTTTGATCTGAAACCGACTTGAAAAATGTTTTTATTGTAGACCAATCACATGAATTATTTCTATTTCTCAGTACTCATGGCTTGGGAACATCAGCGGCTGTTCCAGTGATGGAAGGACAGTGAAATCTATACCGGCTAAGTTAGCAAACTACTTTTCATATGAAATTTCAATGAAACATTTAATTTTAAAGTGTTTTTCTTAACTTATAGAAACGGCGTTGTAAAAGATAGAGTAGCATCTAACGTCAGGAACGCGCCAAACAAATATCCAAAGACGAGTTCCGTTAAAAAGGAAAAGTGAGTGATGTATCAGAAAACAAATATCTTTTGTTCGTATAGTAATAACGTAGGAAATGTAGAGTTCCTAACTTTGATATATTACATTTTAGTAATTTTGACACCATTGTTTCGTAAGATGGCAATAAACGAGAAATAAAACAAAAATACAGTCAAAAACTTACTTTATTTATATAGGGATTACACGGAAGTTTTAGAGGAGCAATTGCAAGAAGAAATCTCACACAGGCAACAACTCGAGGAATTGAACCTTCAACTGGTGGAACAAATGAAGACGCTCAAGCAACAGCATCTACAGATATGGGCCAATGGAACACAGTCGCCGGGTATAATTTATACATTTTAATATGCAATTGTTTATTCGGAAAAACTAACAACCTGGTTATATATTTACCTAAGATTAGCTAACGAAATCTTAAAAGTAAATCTGCCGTTGGTAAAAGACATTACGGAAAGTTTTACCCTTTTTTTATGAATATTCCCAGATCATATTATACTTTATTCCCAGGAACTGAACAATCTTTCCAAGCCAGTTCCCGTTCTGGGGACTTATCGAGCAGTTCGGGGTCCACCTCGTCTGTTCCCATCGACCAGAACACACTGTCATACATACAACAAGCTTTCAAGGACATTTACGCCTTCATCAAGAACAATCAATGCCACGGGTAATAATATACTTGCCTGAATCACAGTTGTACATCCAGCTTTAGAAATTTAAGATTATTTGGTCGAAGGCAACTCGTGGTTGCTGTAACTCAACAGACTGACTTATGGCAACGAGAGTTTGACTCAATTTACTCTTTATTTAGTAGAACATTGTCCACAACTTACAAAAGTGAGATGTTATTTGAAAGGATATCATAACACTTTATTCTATATTTCACACCAAATTATTGTGGACCTTGTTGATTCCTTTTGTCATACATTTCTACATCTATCTACCTATATATAGCTATACAATCAAAATTTCTCTCGAATGGTACCAAAATCTTGCTTAAAGTTGATGCAAAATGATAAAAACAAAAAATGATAAAAACCAAATTAATACTTCGGTAGTATTTAAAACCAAATATATTATAGTGAATGCCTGTATGAGACAACGAAAGGTAGCGACGTAGAACAGGACGGAGTCCAAGAAACTGACGATACAGATGAAGTTGACGAATCAGAACTCCGCATCAATATGGCGCCGAAGAAAGCTAAGAGCACACACTTGAAGCTCGTCAAGAATGTTAACATGAACAAAACTACCAAATCCGCTCACATGTTGAGCGACACACAGAACGGAAGAGACGATATGGTAACTAACAGATTACCTAATTTACTTCCTATTGACGCGATCATCGTCGTTTACAAGAAATATTTCAGATAATTGTTCAGAATTTCTTTTTATTTAGTACTACCTTGATAATATGTTGATAATATTGTTATATTAGTGATCATATCATGAGAGAAAGGAACTTAATATTTTTACAGAAAATGGAGATGATTGAGCGACAAATGGGTGATTCCAAAAATGCTCACGGCGATGAGGCATTTGTAGAGGACATAATCACCCCCCTAACCAAGAAAGTAAGTTACTTTACAAGGATGTTAATACACCTATTGTAAATTAGAAAACATTTGTACGTCTTGTTTTAAAACTGAACCGATTTGGATGTAATTTGGTATCGAATTAAATAGACCAAGGGTGAAGAAATTTTACTTGTTAAGGAGAGTTATTTATATGTAGTTAATAATAAAGTCAATTAGTTACATATTTTGCTCGAAAGCTGGTACTACTTATAACTTTTTTATTTTGTATAGCATCTAAAACTTAAGTTTAGCATTAATTTGTTTACAAAATTTATCACGTCTCGTTGGAACGTAGATAGATAATGAAGGTTTTCACAGAACACAGAGCGCAGTCCGTGCAACAGTGCGGTCAGTGACTCGTCAGATACATTGGTGTACACGCCGTCGTCTCTCAACCCAAGGGACGCGCTGTACTCCTCCTCGGACGAGGAAGACTAGTGGAGTCATCAATCGTTACAAGATTAAAGTTCATTTATTTTTAAACCGTGTTTCCGTTCCTCCTACTTTTTCTGTACCTTCATCAACCACTCAAAGCAAACTGATGAATATATTGGTAATATTTTATAGCTCATTCATATAAGCGTTGGTATCCTTATCACAAATATGCATGGCCAAATTGTCCGGGAAAAAATTACTTAAGTCATTCACTTTAATGATATCTAAGACTTTCGCAAGTATTCATTTAAACATAACAATTGTTTGGATTACCAAAACATTTTTTATTATTTTAAACTTCATACCCTGACGTGATTTACTTTGAAGCAAATATTATCATGAGTAGATGAGATGGAATGACATAATTTCCATATCAAAACAGACATTTAAGGTTTCAACTTCTACTTTCGACTTTAGGTTTAAACCTTCCTGTAAGCCTGTTTCTGATGCAGATACATGGAATCGCACTATCTATGACAATATACTGCATACAGATATAATAGTTTTTAACTAATAAATCTAAGCACAATAATATAAAAGGTTCATAAATGTTAACCTGAAAATGCTGTGTACAATGTAACAATAAAAACTTGTGGCCAGCATAAAGATATATAAGAAAATAGGGAACTTTTCAAATAGGAAATTTAAAACACAAACTAGATTTCGTAACTAAGTGATAGTACTTCTAATTATTTATTTTAAACCTATTATATTACATCACAAGTTAACTCTTCTCATTGATTTCAATGTTCTGTTGTTGTAGTTTAGCGATCATATTCTTTTCTTTGGCCTCTCTCTTTGCTAATTTCTCTTGTTTCTTCTGTTCCTTCTCCCTCTTAGCCAACATTTCTTGGAACCTTTCATCTCTAGGATCCAATGTGAAACCAAAGTGTCTCCTCACCTCTTCCACAAGTCTTTCTTTCTTTTGCTAAAATTATTAAATGCAAGGTTGGTTACATACAAACATTATTAATCATATTTATTTATGCAAAATAACAAATTTCGTAAAATACCTTAGCTGCTTGAACCTCAGCAGCTTTCTTGGCTATTTTGGAATTTAATTCTTTCTTCCATTGATCTAACTTTGCAAATTTAGCAGCTACATCCTTTTCTCTTAGTTCAATTTTTAAATTTTGCTGTCTCCTATTCTCTGCTGCCGTCTCCATCATTTCTTTTATTGTGTAAGGAAAGGCAACTGATTCAAATTCTTTTTTATCAGCAATTTCTTGTTTCGTCGGCCAACAAATATCTAAAAGAGATTATTAGACACTTAATAAAATATAAATTACAATATGCAATTATTTTTAAACATAAATAATAAACATAATAAATGATTTGATTGCGGAGCAATTAAGTTTTCTCTTCAATATAGAAAATTTGTATCTAATTTTTACTTGGATTAACTCCACTCGCTATGCCGTATTTGCCATATATTTTGCGGTTATATTTCACGGTTAAGTGAGCTAAAGACTTGGGTTCCTCATATGGCTTTCTGTCATTAATAATATTATAATGGGCTGATGATAGTCGAGAAATGTTCCTTTTCATCTCAATCTCTGCCTCTCTAGCCTTTGCATCTTCTGTATCATCGATCAGAACGTTTTCATTTTGCTCTGCTTCTGCTACCGATGTAGAAAAACGATAAAGATTGCTAATTAAGTTTGTTCGAAAAAATTTACTTTTGACACAAATATTCATATTTGTTATTTGGGAAAAATAACTTTTTATTAATTATTAAAGGTTAGACTTGTTATTTTGAGACAATTTTAAAATACAAGTCAAGACGTCTGATGACAGTTTTGAAAAAGTTGTATGGCAATATAAATAAATGAACTTAGAAATACATAAACACAAACTGATAACGTAAAAGTATGGATCAAATTTTAAATTCATAGTAAAATTTGATTTAACAAAATTTATTCCTATCTAACAAAAAAAAATCAAAATTGAGAAGAACTTAGTAAATCTATAGTACATATGTTGTAGTAATTTATAAATGGGACGTTTAAATTCGTAGTATTTGATATTAAGTAAATAATTATAATAATCAAACATTTAACTGTTTTGAAGCCACAGGCCTAACGAAGAATAAGGAGAAAGTGTCTGTAAAGAATTATGATAATCGATGCTTTTTACCTAAGCTTTGGTCATGCCAAATAAAAATTGTTGAAAGGTTTTTTTACTATACCAACCCTAACATTATCTTTGCGTTATTTATTCAACGTCAACGTTTGTCATATATAATTATTACATTGCATTAAGTCCACTTAATTTTTTTTTATTTGACTAAAATGGATGATTTTGGAGACAACTTTGTACAAACTGAAGTAGACCCAGCAGCAGAATTCTTAGCTCGGGAACAAAACCAGCTAGCAGGGCTCGAAGATGAACTAGAAACTGGTGCTCCGCCCCCACTTGCTGTCTCATCGGGCAGCAATGGACTTGACGATTTCGTTGGTAATGTTTGTTTTCACTAATATAAAATACTTAATACTTCTACCTTTATTTAAAAACTAGGTCTAAGAAAATTATATACATTTAATGAACATGATAAAACTAAGAATACAAAAACTTGCAAGGTATAATCCATTAGAAAACTTGGGATTGTATATAGCCATTGTGAAATAGATTTTACACAAATGGATCATGGCATGACATGGTATTGTTATTCAATATGTAACAAATTATTATATATATAATATGAAATATGTTCAATAAGTGTGTAAGCCTGACAGTGATTTCGAATTTTCGATTTAACTTTATAATCTCTTAGTATTCATTAAATTCTTGTTTTTATCTTGGAAATTAATTTTTATAGAAATACCAAGTTCTGCAGTATTTGAAGCTAATGATTTGATGGATGACGAACCACCTGCACCCGCCGTGGCTCCTGTGACACCAGTGTTCCGTCAGGAAAGAGAAGAACCAGAAAAGATAAAACTATGGAGAGAAGAACAGAAAAAAAGGTTGGAAGAAAAAGGTAATATATATACCTCACTAAAATTCATTATAGTTACATTACACACAATAAAAATTAAATAAAAAAGTTATATAAATATTTTGCATAAAATAAACACATTTATTCAATTCAGATGCTGAAGAAGAAGAAAAGAAGCAAGAAATGTTAAAAGTAGCTAAAAAAGAGCTGGAAGATTGGTATAAAACTCATGAGGAACAAATATCGAAGACCAAAGCAGCTAACAGGCATGTATTACATAATAGATTATTAGACAACATATATTACAATACAAAAATATATATGTAATTAATATAACACTTTACATATAGTAAAACTAGAATTAAATGGAATATTTTTTTTTAAATTATAGACAATGCATGTAAAAACATTTTAGTAAATTGTTCTACAAATATTTCACTCCTTAAATTAATAATTAATCATTGTTTCAATGCAATTACCCTTGTAGACATTTTAGTTCTTATAAGCATGTTGAGATTGTACTAATAAATTATTTCCTTTTCAATGCTGGCAGGGAGTCTGCTAAGTGAGTATATATAGCATTAAACGGGCACTAACACGATTTTTGGTGCAGGATTTGTCGTTTCGTCACTTAATTTATATGTTTCTTAACAAATTTGTGAAGTTATTCATTCTGCATTAAATTAATATCCCAATGTAATGCAATCATCATCATTATGTTAAATTTAATGAAGGGAAGATTTTGGGTCAAATAAATAACTTCCATTTGTTACAGTTTAGCTAACACATATGTAACTGTTGTATTAAATAACACTTGTCCAAATAGAAATGCAGAGAAGGCTTTAGCAAGAGGTTCGGAAGATGGACTCGAGGATTCCAATGAATGGGCTCGTGTTTCTGAACTGTGTGACTTTGGGCCTAGACGTGGACGTGACGTAGCTCGTCTACGATCCATTGTACTGCAGTTGAAGCAGTCAGGAGTTCGTCCCAAATATCCACCACGCACCACCAAGGTGTAAGTATGTAAATATATCTCTATCATATTAGAATAATAATTTACTACATAATTTCAGTTATTTGATTGGTAATGCTCACATATTTGCATACACTGTAAGGAAAGATTGTTGATTTAGATGGTTATGTTATTAATCAAAGATTTAACATTGAACTAAGCAAAAATTTAACAGTTTATTTTTAATATACTTTATTTTCAATGAATTCATAAATTATTTGTAATGTATTCTGGGATATTTTAACATATAATATATAAATAAAAATGTAATCTTAACTTTATATGTTCACAGGGCCTGAATATAGCCACAAAATAAAGAAATAATTGTTACGGACCTGAACAATTCCCACAGGCCAGGTCTTGTGTTATATCACATTATAATGTAAATTTATTATATAAATAGAAAATGTTCTTATACTCATCGGAGCATGTTATATGTTATAAGTGTTCATCTACAAATAATAACAGCTTTGTGGTAAATGTTATTTATTGAAACTTTTTATTTTAAATTGTTCAGCTATATGGCTTTAATTTGTGAGGGTAACCTCTGTTTATTTCATAATAGTATTAAAGAGATGTCATTCCATAAACAATGGTTTTATTTTTATTGTTCCTTCATTTTGGGACTGTTTCTATTATAACCCTTGGGTGAGAAAAACATGTACAAGCCTTTATATGTTTACATATTTATTAATTTATAATTTTAAGTCTTTTGCTATGTCAATATTTTTCCTTTTATAAATTCTGTCAGCGAGTTGCAGTAATAAATACATTAAGCTTATCACTAGGAGAAAAGGCCAAACGCCACAACTAAGATAATTCTTTAATTGCATCCCCAATGGTTTATTTTTGTTAGACAATATCCTGTTATATACAATTTCAGTTCTTTTCGTTATATCCATCCAATTATACATGCTTCTGACCATTTTATTACATTTGTATGGACATAGGGAGTTTCCTTCCTTTAAGTCTTTCATTGCAGATTCTAATCCGCTGATTATACTTGGAACATTGGGTTCAGTTAGATAGATCATGCTCAGTGGCAATACTTCCGGTATACCTCCTACTTTAGTTGACACTACCTTTAGACCACATGAGGCAGCTTCAACAATAGCCATACAATATGCCTCAGTCAAAGAAGTATTTAAAAATATATCACCCTTGACTAGTACATTTCTAACTTCAGAATGTTTTAAACTACCAAGCAGTGTAACGCAATGTTGGAGTCCTTTTTGTTCCCTCACTTCTTGTAATAACCACATTTTGGGACCATCCCCTCCGATAATAAATCTTATGTTGGGATATCTTGGACATATTTCTGCTATCACAGATGCCATCAAATCAACACCTTTTCTATATACTAATCTTGATATAATCACAATTGTCACAACATTAGGGTCTCTTTGACTTGGATCAGGTGTAAATGTATATGCATCAACAGCATTCGGTATTACAGACACCTTAAAAGCCTTTACTTTTGCCCTTAATACTGTATTCTCTTTACCAGTATGTGAAACACATATGCAATGATCGCATTCACACAAACACATTTGTAGATATTTATTTGTCAAAACGGCAGACATATCGGCAAAACCAAATAAACTGTGGTCAGTAAAAACAGTTTTCAAGCCCATCAGTTTACCAATAATAGAGACCTCATGTGCTAAAACACTGAAAGCCGAATGTCCATGAACTATTTCAACTGCTTCTCTTATTAAAATATAACGGACAATAGCTATGTTGCAAATCATGGTTGGTAGAGCACATTGGGAATAAAATACAGTAATTGGTAAATAATAAACTTTTAGCCCTCTAGTGAGATATCTGACACCAACTCGTTTCCCATAACAGTGTGTTATTATGACTACTTTGTGACCCCGCTTTATCAGACACTGCGATAAATTATAAATGTGTTCTTCGACCCCACCTGTGTTTGGAAAGAAGAAATCGGAAGCCATGCATATTACATGTCTTTTTTTGGGTCGTAGCGTCTCCTACGTAAACAAAAAATTTAAATCAATGAATATTTTATTGAGGAGAATTCTATGCATAAAAAAATACGTACGATTTCCATACTTATAGTAAAAATTGGCACTATATATAAAATTTTTATTAGGTGCAGCTAAAAACTATACATTACGGCATCGATAGTTAAACATAAATCGTAATGAGATAAATAAAAGATATAAGAATTGAAGAAACTTTTTTAAGAAGATAAGTCATAATGATAATCTACGATCCAAAACATTTCAAAATCCACATGTGTCAAAGCCATTGACATAACTATTGGACATGCCGTAAGCGTATAATCTGCAGTAATTTTTTGTTTTGAAAAGAGTGAGAGAGATGACCTATGCTTTCGGTCTAGCACTATCTCTTTCCTCATAGATGATTGGCACTCAGTTTTCATGACAAGCACTGCATATAAATTTATTTCGCCCTTAACTATAAGCGCTGGCATCGTATCACTCCACAATTCTTTATGTTACTCTGTATTGTAGATAGCGTAAAACGTAAAGCTGTATATGACACTAAGAAATAATAAATTATCCAGACCCCTTCTGGATAATTTATTATTTCTTAGTGTCTCATAACGTCTTAAGTACGGTACTATTTTGAGAGAGATAAAGATAGACCGAAACTTCGAGTCCTCTCTTTCTTTCGGAGTGCCACAATTCTCATCTCTAAGGCATGTCCATTAGTTATGTCGATGGTCAAAGCTAATACAGAGATATGCAACAGATTAAGTTTTTTTAGATGGACCCTTTTTTAAACCACAACAACAAGATAAAGGTGTGATAATTTTGATAAATTTGGACGAGAATCCTTAAAATATGAGAAATAGTGTTACGATTATGAGGTAAAGAAAAGTGGTTCACTTAGAACTGAGATACAAAAGAAAGTTAGAAATTTAGAGAAGAATTTATGGTAGTGCTGTAATTTCCAAATTGGGCAATTATTATTTTATTTTTTTTTCAGTTTTTAAAATGAATTCAAATTCAAGTTCCAAGCATAGGTATACAATGTGGCTCTAGAAACTCTATAAATAAATATATTTATTACCTTTTCTAGCAGTAAAGTTAATTTTATATTTAGAGTCCAATAAAAAAATGTAAAAATAATATTTAGTTATTGTGGTCATGAATTAGCCTTCCAATAAAAATACAAATAGTATTTTTTTGCTTCAGCTTTATATATTTAATAACTAGGCAACCCTTATTTATGAAATAGAGGCTACATACTAATTATACTAATTAATTACGATAATAAATAATTGACGTTTGGAATTATACACTTGTCAATTGTCATACTAAGTACCAAACGACAGCTGTCAGTAAATAGGTTATTAAAAACTTTAAAATTGTAACTTTTAAGTATATTAAAAGATAAGTGTTTGTTATTACCAGAATGGATGAATTGCGAAAAATAGAACGTAAAAAGAAGCGATTTGCTGTAAGACTTAAAAATTCTAAGAAAATTATATGTACCGACGTTCCCGGATTGGTAAGTATAGTTCGGATTTTAACTAGTTTTCATTTTAATGTTTTATATAATTAAGTAATGCAAATGTTTTTAGAATATAGTGCTCTGTAACGTAGGCCAGGCTACTGGCTTTAAGAAAAACGATTTATTATTAATGTTAGAGAAGATAACACCCGAACCGAAAGTTTTAAAATTCATAGCTGAAAAAGGTGATTCACATTGTTTTATTGTGTTCAATAGAATTGAAGAGGCGAAAATCTTTTACGATACATATGACGGTACTTTAAACAGCAATAGTGATGTGCCTTTATATATGAGTTTTGTTGAAAGTGGTAAGTGAATGTTATAAAAATTATTCTCACCTTTCCATCACTTAATTACGACTCATACTAGTATATCTTAATTTTCAGTTCCAAACAACGAGGTAATTTGCTCCTCAAGAAATCCTGAAGGTTTAACATTAATTGAGGGTTTTATCACTGAAGATGAAGAGACGCAATTATACCAACTTTTTGACTGGATTGATGAATCAAACTTGAAGAATAGACAGGTGAAACATTATGGTTATGAATTTAGATATGGCTCTAATGATGTAGACTTAGACAAACCCCTCGATGAGAAAATACCACAGAAATGTGAAATTATTTGGAAGAGACTTAAAGAGTATGGTATTAATTTTAGCATACCAGATCAATTAACTGTCAATAAGTATAGTCCAGGACAAGGTAAGAAAATAATGTACATTTCTTATGTGTTAAGTAATGATAGATATATATAAATTTTAAATTAATATTACAATTTGTAAACATTTGTTCAGGTATACCAAGTCATGTGGACAAACACAGTCCATTTGGAGATACAATTTTGTCCCTATCATTAAATTCATCGGTTGTAATGGACTGGAAACATCACAACAATAAATATATCCCAGTGGTGGTGCCCTCAAGATCATTGCTAGTGATGCGAGGTGAAGCAAGGTGCATCAGTAGTAAAATAATCAACAATACATATATATAATACATGAATCTTTACATAAATTTAATTTGAAACAAATCTCTAATAAGATATGACTGGCAGCACGGCATTCAACCGAGGACATGGGATCCCATTATAGAAGTCAGAAAAATTGATAATGAACTTGTGAAAGTGATTACGAGTGAGACCAAAGCTCGTGGGACGAGGATATCTTTGACATTCAGGAGGACGAGGCAGGGGCCATGTAACTGTTGTTACGAGACACTCTGTGACAGCAGGGTGACACCCAACTTGGATGAAGTCGCCTCACATTTAGAAGATCTCCATGTACATCAGGTTTGATACTTATATATTTTGTTGATTTAGTATATATTAGTAAAATCATTAATACTTGAGCTAACACATGAATTGAAATTCAAAGAAAAATTATAGTATTAAAATTTCACACACAATCATGATTCTAATCTGTTATCCCTGGTATGTCGAGTTCTACTATCTGGATAATTAACCTATTGCCCTCACTCTAGTGAATTGAACCTAATATTCGTCTATTATTTTCGATCTCATTATTATGTAAACTTTAAATGAATATCATATTAAAGTACAGATCCCATAATTATTTAGTCATTTCTAAGATCGACCCATAAACCCAATAAACCATAACAAAATAATCCAAATAAGTATGACCAATAAATATATTAAATCTACACTTATGGTCTCAATGCTTTAATAATATAATTCCAGGTGTATGAGCAGATAGCTGGTCACTTCAGTTCAACTCGCCACAAACCCTGGCCGAAGGTGGTGGAATTCCTTCAAGACATACCTCCCGGCTCTATCATACTGGACCTTGGGGCTGGGAATGGGAAGAACATACTCAATAGGAATGATCTATTGCAGGTCAATTCATTATACTATTTATATACAGCCGTTAAGAATTAAAAAAAAATCTATTTTGAATAAACTTCTGTTTCCGAACAGATCGCTTGCGAGTACAGCGTGGGTCTGTTGTCCGAATGCAGTACATTCACGCGCGCGTGCTGCGTGCGGGCGGACGTGCTGCACGTGCCGCTCTGTGACGGCCGCGCCGACGCTGTTTTGTGCGTCGCTGTCATACATCATTTCAGTACTTACGTGAGTTATCTGTAACTAGACATAGTGGAGGGTTTAAGAATTCGTGTACGGTGTGGCCAACATTGTGAAAATTTTCTTCAAAATCCAAGGCTGTATGCAAAAATTTCACGAGGGTAATAATATTAGTCAACTATAAAGTTATTTTATTTTGTATGTAAACTTGATGATTTATGAACGGACATGAGGAATGGTCATTCTTATATTTTATGCATAATAATAATCGAAGGTCTGGTGGTAATTTATCACATTTTTTCTTCTGGTGTCGCTGTTGTGTACATACTGACAGTACCTTATAAGTTATGAAGCATGTTGGCGTAATATGTACTGTTTATAATTAAACCTTTTTTGAGTATTATGTAGAATTTCGTCTAAAACCTATGATATTTTTGCTGATAGTAGAATTTAAAAAACAGGTTATATGATATATCATAGGATATCTTGTATCATATATAATATTTCAGGCTAGAAGACGTCAAGCGATTGCCACAATAGTTCGTCTTTTACGTCCTGGAGGGAGAGCACTTGTCACAGTGTGGGCGAAGGACCAGAGTAAATCGAACTACCTCTGTAAGGACAAAGAAAACACCGAGTCCGATACTTACAAGACGGTCGGCGTTCATCTACCGGTACACCAGAACAGGACGCAGTTCAAACATAACGACGTACTGGTGCCGTGGAAACTCAGGAAGGTCAAAGAAAATAAACTAGAAAATGAATCCAGCCAGACCCTGCTCAGATACTACCACGTGTTCGAGGAACACGAGCTAGAGGAACTTTGTCAAAACCAAGGAGTTATCGTAGAAAAGAGTTTCTATGAGGAAGGAAACTGGTGTGTCATATGTCAAAAGATTTAAATAAAGAATGTTATATGACATAATTCTCGTTTAATTTCAATAAAAAACGATCGTCGAACATGACATGCGTGTTTTATTAATATAAATTCGTTTACAAAACCAAAAAATTGCTATAAAACTCTATACAAAACAATATATGTATCTATATAACGGTGACGTACGCATCAACATAATTTGATCTTTAAGATAAATATATCAATTTGTTAACATTAAAAATGAATTCACTAATATTATAAACATATATTTTTATTTACACCTTGAGAAAACATTAAATCTATTAAAGTTATTGAGGTTGGCTTGTCTATCTTAGGTATTTCTACTAAATATGCTTTTATCAACAATAGTACTGTGTACTAAAACCAAAATTGTCATTAACCAAAAATTATTATATAGAGTAAATAACTCGTTTCTAGAGGCAATTTCAAGAAAATAAAATAACATTTTTTAAATTTACGATTTCATCAAAGCCAATTGTAATAAAGGTACGACCGAGATGGTCGACAGGTCCGCTAGCACAGCATCAACATTTTGTAACGTGTTTACCTGAAAAATATTCTCCTTCCTGAAACTTAATATGGCTACAGCTAATAGAGGTAAGACTTCCAGACAATCATATCCAAGTATCGCGTCCCAGAGAAGTAAGAGTTGGTCGGGCGGCAGATGTCCACTGAAAGCTCGCATTATCCATTTAAACACAACACGGATACTGAAAAATAATGTGTTGCCTTTACATAAATAAGATTATAATATGCCAAAATAAAAATCACGCTTAAAAAATACAATTTATCTATTTAAGTCAAGGAATTATTGCTTCATATAACAAAGATTGGTACTCACGGATTTATATTAATGTTACGGAAATGTATCCACAGCAAAGGTTCGTGAGCTTCAAGTAACCTCTCGTAAAGAAGACACAATGACACTATACCCTAATAAACAGAATTTTAATTATGAAATATGATAAAAACTATTATAATAATAATATTATTTTACCTGTGGATGCGTTGAAATATAATGCAGTCTGTGCCAATAACGAATGTAGAAACCGCGAAATATATAGTAGAGTTGAACCGGGTCGTCGTAAAGATAACAAAATGGTGTCGCTAGAAAAACAGTTATAGATATACATTGACCCAAAACTGTTATAGAAGCTTTTTAAAATACACACTATCAGTGATTTTTAATTCAGTTATTTGTTATATAATTAATTAATTAAAACACAACATACCGTACATGGTGAATCCATGGAACGGCACCACTCCGCTGGGCGGGAAGGCGGTCCTCTCATTTCGTCCCCGCACGGGTACAGTCAGCGCGGACGAGCGAGCACGAGACAACACCTCGCCGTCGCGAGAGAAACACAGCATCACCTAACGTAATAATATTACATATTTTACTCGTTGACTTTGTTCGCGAATTTCGAAATAGGCTTAGAGAAATGTATATGTAAACTGTTTTAAGGCTTTATATTATGACCAACGGACAGCGCCATCTATGGTTTGTGTGACGCCATTTCAAACGCAATACAACTGTTATCCATCTATAACTCGATAACTCCACGGATTTCCGGCATAAGTTATAGCTTTTGCCTTATACGGATGTCGAAGTCTACTGTAAAGGTTAATCAAAATCTGCTAAGTGATTTTGCGTGAGAGAGATCCATATATCCACACTAACTTTTGTATTTAAATTATTTTACATATTAAATTTAAATGTCATTCGTTGTATATTCAACCAGTTTGTCAGTTCTCACCTGATAAAGCAAATCCTCGAACACGAAGTACTGATCATCATTCGAGGCTGTCAATTGTACATCTTTAAATATAAGCTTGTCGATCATCAAGTCGACTTCCAAAACGCTCTTCTGTAACTGATTGAAGTACGCTATTTGCTGAAATTAATCGATATTTTTAGTAGCCCATTTCCTAACACGTTACTTTTATGACGTCATATGATTTACTTGTTGCTTAACTTCCGCTCCCAAAACCTGAGACCAAAGTTTCGCTCGCAAACACTGTGGGCTTCCCTTCTTTAGAAACTCCTGTATGACAGGAGCGTATCCTAGAGCGGAGACTCTCTCTCCTAGACCGATGCGTTCGGCCTCTAGAGTAGCGAAACCTGGCACAGTGCTGGGCATGTTAGGATTCACTCCCAGTAACGGTTCACCATTAGACCACTCCACGTAGATTTTTCTCTAGAAATTTGTCCTCATTTTTCAATTTATGGAATGCAATGATTGCTTTATGATACAAGACGAGGTAGGGTTCTGAAGACATCATAGCACGATTACAGCAAAATGAGGAATCAAAAAAAATATGTTATTAGTGTAGGGCGTATCTATTATGTATCAAATAAATGTTTTCCTACTATTCATCAATAATACTAGGTTACTAAACTTAAATTGCTGGTGATATTAATCGTTATACGAACCAATTGCTCTAAATTTTTTACTTGTAGAGGTAGATGCGAGAATTCCCATTTCGGCTCGTCTCTGAAATCATTTACTTATCTTATGAACGTGTTTCACGAACGTCTATACCTTCTAAATGACTATCATACTTACTCTCTTGTAAACGGAACGTAACCTGATAAGGTTAGTAAAACGTCTAAAAAGTCTTTTGGCGCGTAAACTGGTCTATATTTTGATAAATCTAAAACACAAAATATTTATCAAATAATTACTAGGTATTTCAATAGTATTTAAGCGGAATTGTATAATCGTGGTGCAATAAAAGGATGATTTTTTACAACTGTCATAAATATTACGACCAAATAAAATATTGTAAAGTGTACTCGCAGCCATGGAATAATAGTTATCAAAATTGTTAGTGACGAAACAAAATCAAGATAACAGATTTTTCGATACAAAAATTGAAATAGCTACCTAAACTGTAAGTGCTAAGTTCATTCCATTTTTCCGTAAGTTCTTCTTGTTCGCTCTGAGATCTTATTTTTGCTAGTGACGTCTCAAGATCTGAACACATTGAATTAAGCGACTTGTGTATTCGTTTCTCCCATTGCAAACTTGCTTTTGACAACGACGTTAAAGGATCTAACTTCTGTTAAAAGTATACATTATATATTTACTATCATGAACTTTGAAATTTGTGTAAAAAACAATATTAGCTTATGACTTATACATCATTTATTTATCATTTTTTAAAAGTTTGTCTTAGTAAAATATCTAGTTTTTGACTTAATAAATAAACATATTAGAGTGGAACATGTTTATATCATTTTGTCCCTTTTCAAATAGTTAAATTTATATTAAAACATAGTTCCATGTAATACTTACACTTTGTTTACCCTGTGTTCTAACCCAATGAAAAACTGTGTTTCTTAGCTTTGTATCTAAGCCCTTTTCTTTCATAGCCTGTTGTAAACTTTGTTTAAAATCTTCTTTGTTTACATTTGGCGAGGAAACTAATTTCTGTTAATCAGAAAATTTATCATGACATAAAATAAGTTAAAGTCATTTAATATCGCGTTATTTAAAACGGTCACTACGTAACCTATAGTTCACCTGAACATCACTATAAATCGATTTATATATAGAAAGATTTTTTAATTCCTCTGCTAATTTCATAGCAGTGTTATGTATCGCGTCATCTTTTATACTTTCCATTGTTTTTAAACATACATTTATTTTGATTTTGTAAAAAGTAACATCTACACTACACTATTTACTTTTTGTAAAAAAATATTTTGTCGAAAATGAAAGCACTTAGTAACTTAGGAAACGAATCAACAAGCTACACACTGTAACAATTGTCATAGGTTACATACATGTAGGCAACTATAACATTTATTTTACTAGCTTAAATAAAAATATTTTGCTTGTAAAAACATTTTGTGTCCCCGAGGTATTAGATCATGTTTATCATCACGGTAAAATAGGAATCTGTCTTTAAAATCTACTTCTCATTTATGAAGATAATGCTTAAGGGATCCTCCAGTATTATTTGTGTCTCATCTTATTATAAAACCCTAGGTACATTTCCTGGATAGGCTATTGAGTTAGTCCCATGACTGCGCTAGACTTCTGAAATAGAAAATATGACAATAGTCATAGGGCTCTAATTTTAAAATGTAGCTTTTTTTATCTATTATATAAATATTCATCTGTTATGTAATAAAATAATGAGACGAAATATTTATATCATTTACTAGGATTATACTTTTTTTTTATTGCAACAATGGACATACTGTAAATTATACGATCCTTTATATTATCTGTTTGATCAGCTGACAGATTCAGTCAATAAACCATCAAAACAATATATACAAACTTATAGTAACGTACGAGTCAAAGAGAGACAAAGGAAAACTAGAGAAATGGGCAAAATATTCTTGGACCATATTGGTGGGAACCGATTATTTTCATGTGCAGCATGCGATGTAGTATTAACCAACCGTTCAGAACTTATAAGTACATACTAGATTACAGGTAGTAACGTAATACAATGACCTTTATTTATATTTGTGAACAACATTAACATTTACATACATCGTAATTCATTATAGGACTCACGTATCTTTTCCACAAAGCAGTGAATCTTGTGTACTCAGAGGTTCAGGATCGTGTTATGTTGACGGGAAGGCATATGGTGAGGGATGTGTCTTGTAAAAACTGCGCGACGAAACTTGGTTGGGTTTACGAATTTGCGACAGAAGGGAATGAAAGGTAAACAAAACATCAAGGTCGTACATATAAATTAATATTAACTTTATATATTAAAATACGTTTGTTTCAGATATAAAGAAGGCAGAGTGATTCTAGAGAGAGCTTTAGTGAATGAAACTGAGGGCATTGAAGAAATTCCAGTAAACAATGAGGACTAGCTGTTTATAATGTCATTTAATGAGAGTAAATGAGTTTAATTTTTTATGCCTAGCAATTATTTCACAACTTAAAATGTTTTATAGACTAATTTATTTTGTACTAAATAAATAAATAATAAATGTATTATCTTTCTCAGAGTAAATATTCTTTTAGTTTCATTTCATAATTTCATTGCCTACTTCACTAACACTTCTGCTGCTGTAATTTTTTTATTTTTTAACTGTTATTGTTGTTTGAGGCTGATAACAGAAGAACTTTTACCTTTTTACTGTTAAATGACAATATTTACATTATAAAATTCAACTACAGTTGTCTTTAGTCTTACCAAAACTCAAAAAAGTTAAATATTTGCTTAGTTTTACAGGCTTGTTCTAAAAAAATAAAAAGAACATTTTTAAAGAATCATTGCCTCTGTCTCCAATTATTTTTTCTGTTGAAGGTTCAATACCATTATGTTTTGAATATTGTTTCTATAAAAATATTACCAAAATAGTTTTTATTAAACTACCAATACTAGTCTTGCCACTGAGGTAACAAAATAATATATATTGTACAATATCACATTTTATTAATTATTATTATAACACAACATTTATCTTCAGCAGATAACAATTTGCAATTCTATATTCATGCAATACTCAAGCTCAGCTTTAACATACAGGAATATATAAATAAAATGCCAACAAAACATCTCAAACTATGTACCAATTCTGAATAAACCACAACAGACGCCTTAGTTGATATCAAAATACAGTGTTGTATAATATGTAATTTTGTAAATAAATAATTCATCAAAAACCATGAAATAAAAATAATTAACAAATCGATTTCCAATTGTATTATTACATGTTATGAACGTATTATCCACCATCGCCTAAGACGATTAAGCACGGCACAAAGCACCTCAGAATTCTCACTACTATAAAATAAAAATATATAGAAAATAGAATAAATAAATTTAAGAAAAGTACTTCATTGTTAGAAGCCGATGTCTCTACAATAATTCGGAAATTATATATGTGATGGATGATACAAGATGCTTGTTATAAGCTCCCCACTACAAATATTTTTTAAACAATTAGTAACAAGATTCATAGCAATTTTTTTTGTAGAAAAATATTTTAAATCTATCTCTAACACCGCGGCCTGGATCTGCTCGTCTGAGTCACACATTTTTTTTGTTTTTATTGCTACTGTAAGGCCTATTATGATTAAAAGTAAATAATTTTTTCTCTAATTAAAAATTGATTCGAGATCACTTTGAAGTCAATCTCCTGACTCCATATGGTACATTTTTTTAAAGCAACAATTTGAAACATTTTTCAGGTCTCCATTATATTCTCTATCATTGATTTTTTATGCATTAAAAATTACACAGTGACGTAAGAGTAAGTATGAGGAAAAATAATCATGCCCTGAGTAACAATTAGTGATATAGTATTATTTATAGACTGTTAGCAATAAAGTCTACCTTATCGTGACATACAGATACGGAAAGTACAAAGACAATGTAACATTTACAGTCATTAAAAGACAGTAAGATCACTAATATACTGCGTCTTTTGAAAAAACGTAAATTGTATACTAAATTTATTAATAATTCCGTAATTATTATACATAAATATATTTCCACTTCTATAAAATATTGCAATATCTTCAATAAAACTATGATAAAATCAATAAACGACTTAGCGTAAATTCTTAAGTGATATTACGCGTGTGTGATCGAACGGTATAATATTCTTGTATCTATTCTTCCTTATATTTTCTGGTTTGGAACCCTCCATTCTATCGAATAGTTGTAGATTCTCCATCATTTGTAACGTTTCGAATTCCTCCCAGAAACCTTGTTTATAAGCCATGCTTTCTATGGGACCCTCGTTTTCCTTTTGGAGTTGTTTCACACGTGTATGAAAATGTTGCACTTGTATACGTGTGGCGTTGAAAGGTTGGATCAACCGCAAGACTTCTCCATTGGTCTCCACCATAGGATAGTTCCTGTAGTGTTCTATGAGGCTGACAATATCATCAAACTGCTGGCCTCCACCCACGTCGTATTTATTATCCTGTCGTCTTAATATAACATGAGTAACTCTGTCTCTCGTCCGAACTGATAGTACAAAGTCACCAGGTTGTCTCTGTGATTCTCTTACAAGAAAGGATCCATTTTTTCCATTTTCTAACATCATCCTCTCTGCTTCTTTGGCAGTGAGTTGTCCGTGATACCAACGTTCCGTGGTGGGGTCGGCACAGTTTAATGGTGTCTTAAGTCTGATTATATTTCCATTCTTCTCACGTAACTGACCCTGATTGTCCATATAAAATTGAACGAGTTCAGACAAAGTTGCAAATTTCTCTCCACCATAAAGATCGAGGAATTCACCATTATTCTGAATCTTAATGTGTGTTATCTCCGTCCCTCTTCTCACAGATAGCGTGAAGTCTCCTTTATTGCTCATACTCGGCCTGGCAAGGAAGTAGCCGTCTCTGCCTTTATCTAATAATAACTTTTCTGCATCTATACCATTGAGTGAAGGATGGAACCATCTCCTTGTTATCATCTTACTCTAGTCTGAAGCACCACTCTGACTTACAAATATACTTTATCAAATAAATCTATGATGATTTAGCTTTATATGCCATAAAATTTCATTGTTCATCTGTAAATAAATAAAAAGAATCAATCTTCACAACAATTAAATAGTATTTTCTCATCAGTTCTCACCTGATAAAGCAAATCCTCGAACACGAATTACTGATCATCATTCGAGGCTGTCAATTATACATCTTTAAATATAAGCTTGTCGATCATCAAGTCAACTTCCAAAACGCTCTTCTGTAACTGATTGAAGTACGTGATTTGCTGAAATTAATCGATATTTTTAGTAGCCCATTTCCTAACACGTTACTTTTATGACGTCATATGATTTACTTGTTGCTTAACTTCCGCTCCCAAAACCTGAGACCAAAGTTTCGCTCGCAAACACTGTGGGCTTCCCTTCTTTAGAAACTCCTGTATGACAGGAGCGTATCCTAGAGCGGAGACTCTCTCTCCTAGACCGATGCGTTCGGCCTCTAGAGTAGCGAAACCTGGCACAGTGCTGGGCATGTTAGGATTCACTCCCAGTAACGGTTCACCATTAGACCACTCCACGTAGATTTTTCTCTAGAAATTTGTCCCCACATTTCAACTTATAGAATATAATGATTGCTTTGTAGTATAAGGTAAGATTAACATCTTGAACAACCCGTAAATATGTATATACTTAATAACATATACATATATATATATATATATATATATATATATATATATATATATATATATATATATATATATATATATATATATATATATATATATATATATATATATATCAATATATGTATATAATTTGTGTACGGGGTAATGTGACAAATACTATTATGTTTCTTTACAGTTCATAATAAGCAATACAGTTAAGTGAAAATACAAGTAAAATTACACAGTCGTATTAATCGTTATACGAACCAATTGCTCTAAATTTTTTACTTGTAGAGGTAGATGCGAGAATTCCCATTTCGGCTCGTCTCTGAAACATTTACTTATCTTAGAAACATGTTTCACGAACGTCTATACCTTCTAAATGACTATCATACTTACTCTCTTGTAAACGGAACGTCTAAAAAGTCATTCGGCGCGTAAACTGGTCTAAGTATATTTTGATAAATCTAAAAAACAAAATATCAGCCAAGTTATGTAAATACTATTTCATTACTATTTGCGTAGAATTATATAATCGTAGTATAATAAAAAATACGGCTGTCATTAATATTAGGACAAAAAAATATATTGTAATTTCTACTCGTTGTTATGAATTAATAATCGCCATCACATTATCATAGTCACAAAAAAAATCAACACACAAAAATCAAGACAGGATCATAGATTTTTTGATTCCAAAATCCAAATACCTAAACTGTAAGTGCTAAGTTCATTCCATTTCTCTGTAAGTTCCTCTTGTTAGCTCTGAGATCTTATTTTTGCTAGTGACGTCTCAAGATCTGAACACATTGAATTAAGTGACTTGTGTATTCGTTTCTCCCATTGCATACTTGCTTTTGATAACGACGTCAAAGGATCTAACTTCTGTTAAATTACACATACATTACATATTTACTATTATGAACTTTTAATTTAGTGTGACATGTAATAGTTGTATGTTCATCATATCGAAATATAGCTTAATAAAAGATCTAGTTTTTTACTTTTATAAATAAACATAGTAGAGTGGAACATGTTTACATCATTTTGTCCCTTTTCAAATAGTTAAATTTATATTAAAACATAGTTCCATGTAATACTTACACTTTGTTTACCCTGTGTTCTAACCCAATGAAAGACGGTGTTCCTTAGCTTTGTGTGTAAACCCTTTTCTTTCATAGCCTGTTGTAAACTTTGTTTAAAATCTTCTTTATTTACATTTGGCGAGGAAACTAACTTCTGTTAATCAAAAAAATTATCAAACAAAATAATTAATGATTTAAAACGATTTAATATTACGTTACTTGAAACGGTCACGATGTAACCTATAGTTTACCTGAACATCACTATAAATCGATTTATATATAGAAAGATTTTTTAATTCCTCTGCTAGTTTCATGGCAGTGTTATGTATAGCGTCATCTTTTATAATTTCCATTGTTTTTAAACATACATTTATTTTGATTTTGTAAAAAGTAACATCTACACTACACTATTTACTTTTTGTAAACAAAATCTTTTGTCGAAACTGAAAGCACTTAGTAACTTAGGAAACGAATCAACAAGATATAATCTGTAATAATTGTCATAAGTCACATACATGTAGACAACTAGAACTTTTCTTTTAATACCTTCAATAAAACTGTTTTGCTACTAAAAAAAATTGTGTGCAAGGTATTAATAGATCATGTTTTTCATTACGTAAGGAGCAAAATCTCTCTCTAAAATCTACTTTTCATCTATGAAGTAAATTTTTAAGGCAACTTCCAGTATTACTTGTGTCTCAGCTTACTGTATACCCTACATTTACTAGATAGACTACTGAGATAGTTCTATCACCGCGCTTGACTTCTGTAATAGAAAACACGACAATAGTCATAACTCATAGTGCTCTAATTTTAAAATGTACCTTTTTCATCTATTATAAATATTCATAAATGTTGTTAAGTATTGAAATAATGAGATGAAATATTTGTATCTTACAATGACCATATATATTTTTTTACAACAATGAACATACTGTAAATATACAAGCCTTTATATTATCTGTTTGATCAACTGACAGATTTGTTAGAAAGCGAGTCAGTCAACAAACTATCAAAACAATTTATACGAACATATACAGCATACGAATCAGACGGACAAAGGAAAACAAGAGAAATGGGTAAAATATTCTTGGACCATATTGGTGGGACCCGATTATTTTCATGTGCAGCATGCGATGTAGTATTGACAAACCGTTCAGAACTTATAAGTACTAGATTTACTGGAGCTACAGGTAGTAATGTCTTATAATGACTTATTTATATTCATGAAAAACTTTAACATTTATATCCATCACAATTCACTGTAGGGCGCGCTTATCTTTTCCACAAAGTAGTCAATCTTGTGTACTCAGAGGTTCAGGATCGTGTTATGTTGACGGGAAGGCATATGGTGAGGGATGTGTCTTGTAAAAACTGCGCGACGAAACTTGGTTGGGTTTACGAATTTGCGACAGAAGAGAATCAAAGGTTAACAAAACATCAAGCTTGTACGTATATTTATATTTAACCTTTATTAAAAAACGTTTGTTTCAGGTATAAAGAAGGCAGAGTTATTTTAGAGAGAGCTTTAGTGAATGAAACTGAAGGCATTGAAGAAATTCCAGTAAATAATGACGACTAGCTGTTCATATTATTTAATGAAAATAAAATAATTGACTTAAAAATTTTGTCTAGCAATTACTTGTAGACTAGAATTTTTTTTGTACTAAATATAAATTTTCTATCTTCCTCAAAGTAAATATTGTTTTGGTTTCATTTCATTCTCTGTTTAATATAACGCTCCTGCTACAGTTTTTTTTAATTATTAAACTGTTATAGTTGCTTTAGGCAGATAATAGATGAACCTTTATCTTTTTTTTGCTATTTTACAATACTTACATTAGAAAATTCAACTACAGTTGTGTTAGTTTCACCAAAACTCAAAGAAGTGAAATATGTCTGCAGGCTTGTTCTCAAAAAAAAAAAAAAATTTAAAAAACCTTTTCAGGAATCATTTCCTATTTTTCTAAAATTACTTTTCTATGTCGAGATATTCTCTTCAAGGTTTAATACTATTATGTTTCGAATATTGTTTCCATTGAAATAACACCAAAATAGTTTTTATTCATGATTTCCACAAGGTTCAGGATTTTTATCAATTAAAAATACTAGTCTTGCTACTTACTGAAGTAATGAAATAATAATACATATATTGTACAATATCACATTTTATTAACTATTATAACACAACATTTATCTTCAGCAGATAACAATTTGCTTCATTCTATATTCATGCAATACTCAAGCTCAGCTTTAACATACCGGAATATATAAATAAAATGCAAACAAAACATTCCAATTTATGTACCAATTCTGAATAAACCACAACGGCAGCCTTGGTTGGTATTAAAAACATATTGTTGTATATTAAGTAAATTTTGTAAATAAAGAATTCATCAAAAGAAGAAATAAAACTAATTAACAATTCGTTTTAAAATTCTGTTATTACATGTTATGAAGAAGATAATATCCACCATCGCCTAAGACGATTAAGCACAGGTACAAAGCACCTCAGAATTCTCACTAATATAAAATAAAAAATGTATAGAAAATAGAATAAATATAACAAAGAAAAGGGTTTCATATTTAGACACCAATGTCACTACAAGAATTTGGAAAATATATGTGATCAATGCTACAAAATACTCCTTATAAGCTCTCGACTACAAATATATTTTAAACAATTGGTAACAAGATTCATAACATTTTTTTTTTTTTAGAAAAATATTGTTAGTCTATCACTAAAACAGTGGCCCGGATCTGCTCGTCTGAGTCACACATTTTTTTTGTTTTTATTGCTACTGTAAACATGAGTAAAAGTAAATAATATACTCTCTCTAATTTAAAATTGATTCGAGATCACTTTGAAGTCAATCTTCTGACTTCATATAGTACATTTTTTTAAAGCAAAAATTTGAAACATTTTCAGGTCTCCGTTTCGTGTTCTATTTTACTGTCATTGATTTTTCATACATTAAAATTACACAGTAACGTATTAGAATAAGTATGAGGAAAAATAATCATGTCCTGAGTAACAATTAGTGATATAGTATTATTTATAGTCTACCTTATCGTGGCGTACAGCTACGGAAAGTACGAAGATAAAGTTACATTTATTATCGTCAAAAGACAAAAAATCACTATTATCTGCGTCTTTTGAAAACACGTAACTTATATACTAAAGTTATTATAATTCCGTTATTATACATAAATATATTTCCACTTCTATAAAATATTGCAATATCTTCAATAAAAGTATGATAAAATTAAAAAACGACGTAGTGTAAATTCTTAAGACACATGTTAGATGTGTATTTTGGGGAACACTAGACATCTACTCGCCCCTTTACGATTAATAAAGCATTTTAAATGTTTTTTCATCTTAACGTATTTACATAACATATGGGATCATATGCGGGTGGCGTCCTGCGACGGGATTGGCACGAGACCCACGGCCCTTTGTTTTTCTGTTTCGATGAACTCCAAGAGAGCCATGTATATAAACTTGTATTGCGCCTCGTTCTGGACCATACCGGAGCGTTGGTCGCGGACCATTTGTACCGTACGATGGATATCTATTTCGAAATTAAAACCCTCCTTCCGTATTTGATCCAGAATCATATCAATAACTATGAAGGTGCCCGTCCTCCCGATCCCCGCGGAACAATGGACGCATATCACAGCCTGGTTTGGCGGGTCAGGGCTGGTCATTATCTGCTGAAGTCTGTAGTTCACGTCCAGAAGAATATTCAGAACTCGACCAGGCTCGGACGGAACCCCGTGATCCGGCCAGGCGGTGAAGTGGAAATGATATATCGTCCTCTTCTTTGTTTCTTCTTTCTTTGTAACCAGGAAACGACGTAAAGTGTAATCTTGGGTCGAGGATTCAGATTCGTTGTAAATAGTGTACTTCTTGATAACTTCCGTCTTGTTTAATTCGGGCCAGTAGCGTTCACACTTGACTTTCCCGCGCTCAATCTCCTTCGTTGTCATTATTATAATGCGCACATCTTCTTGCCATATCATTGACCAAAACTGATAGATGGTAGTGGAAAGACAACCCTGAGTCGCAATGTATATCTTGTTGTAAACTTTGTCAGGATCGCATTTATCTAACTTTTCCGTCATTTTCGGTATCGTTGTGTTAACGTAATTCGGATTCGTTCTCAGAACGCACGGTTCGAAGGACGGTATCGTTTTATGTGTTCCGTTGCCGTAACCTTTCATTGTTTCTTTGGGTTTCTCTTCAGTGATGATGACGCCCGTGTGCGTTGGAGACGACTTGTCTTTGGTCTTGGCCATATCCTTAGTATTGGGGCTGTTATTCTCGCTACAGCCGTTCACATCGTGTGATTCAGAATTGGAGTCGATAAAGTCACATCGGATGTAGTTAGCGTTGATATAGTCCGCACCTGGCGGAGCGTCAGGCGGGACATCTTTTAATATTACGCGTGTGTGATCGAACGGTATAATATTCTTGTATCTATTCTTCCTTATATTTTCTGGTTTGGAACCCTCCATTCTATCGAATAGTTGTAGATTCTCCATCATTTGTAACGTTTCGAATTCTTCCCAGAATCCTTGTTTATAAGCCATGCTTTCTATGGGACCCTCGTTTTCCTTTTGGAGTTGCTTCACACGTGTGTGAAAATGTTGCACTTGTATACGTGTGGCGTTGAAAGGTTGGATCAACCGCAAGACTTCTCCATTGGTCTCCACCATAGGATAGTTCCTGTAATGTTCTATGAGGCTGACAATATCATCGAACTGCTGGCCTCCGCCCACGTCGTATTTATTATCCTGTCGTCGTAGTATAACATGAGTAACTCTGTCTCTCGTCCGAACTGATAGTACAAAGTCACCAGGTTGTCTCTGTGATTCTCTTACAAGAAAGGATCCATTTTTTCCATTTTCTAACATCATCCTCTCTGCTTCTTTGGCAGTGAGTTGTCCGTGATACCAACGTTCCGTGGTGGGGTCGGCACAGTTTAATGGTGTCTTAAGTCTGATTATATTTCCATTCTTCTCACGTAACTGACCCTGATTGTCCATATAAAATTGAACGAGTTCAGACAAAGTTGCAAATTTCTCTCCACCATAAAGATCGAGGAATTCACCATTATTCTGAATCTTAATGTGCGTTATCTCCGTCCCTCTTCTCACAGATAGCGTGAAGTCTCCTTTATTGCTCATACTCGGCCTGGCAAGGAAGTAGCCGTCTCTGCCTTTATCTAATAATAACTTTTCTGCATCTATACCATTGAGTGAGGGATGGAACCATCTCCTTGTTATCATCTTACTCTAGTCTGAAGCACCACTCTGACTTATAAATATACTTTATCAAATAAATCTATTATGGTTTAATTTTATACTCCATAAAATTTCATCACTCATCTGTAAATAAAGAGAAAGATTCAATAGTCATACAATTTAAATAGTTGGTTCTGTTGTAAATTGATAAATATGTATGTAATATAAAAGCACTAACAGCTGAAATAATAATGAACAAATTTATTTAATTGTATATATATATATACCTATACATATAATCAAATATATTCTATCGAAAAACCTCTGAAGCTATACTTTCTACTTTAATAATATATATTAAGCCATAACAAAACCATAAGTTGAAAAAATTCCGAAAAAGTACACTACATTAAAAAAATATATATTAAAAAAGACAAGTTTCATATATTAAATTATATTATGTTACAAAAGTATCTATACGAATAGTTAATAGTAACACATTATATGTATTATGGCTGCATACACTATACGCTGTTAACTGAGAAACCACAAAGAGTCAGGGAAGGTCAGGTAAATTAGTGATTTAATTAACAACGTCTCACCTCATAATGGTACCGTTATTATAATTTCTTCCACTAGTCTTAAGTATAACGTTTAATAAGTTCAACTGTTGTTGCTATGCTGACTTAAGACTTTGTATCACTATTTTCAAGGGCGTATTCAGTTAACCAATGCAAGAAAATCACTGGTGTCGTGCAAAAGTTTCTGAGGAGTTTTAAGCACCATCTCTTACACCTAAATTTGAAATAAGTTAATATATTTAAACATTATCTTAGAGGAATAGGCAAATTTATTTCATTTCCGACGGCCTGCGGACATGTCACACAACTTTTTCCGTTTTGATTTTACTTCTATGTCCATTGTCCAGTAATGTCAATACAACGACAGTTATACGCAGACAATTTCTCTACCATATATCATATTCATTTTTTATCTGTTTTTGCATATTGTAAATAATTATATTTTGAATCGGTGCAGAATTATTCATTGGAGTAAGGATTTCAGCAATAAAATAATTAAAAATTAAAAGATTTTTAATAATTCATCATTAAAATTGAAATTGTATTGAATATTGTCGTCTCTAGCGCTAAACAATATACATAAAAATTTACTAGGACCACCGATATATACTAATGGAGTAATGGACATGCCGTACGCGTAAAATCTGCAGTAATTTTTTGGTTTGAAAAGAGTGAGAGAGATGGCCTATGATTTCGGTCTAGCACTATCTCTTTCCTTATAGATGATTGGCGCTCAGTTTTCATGACAAACACGGCATATAAATTTGAGAGAGATAAAGATAGATCGAAACTTCGTTTCCTCTTTCTTTCGGAGTACCACAATTATTCTCATCTCTAAGGCATGCCCATTAGTATATGTCGATGACTAGGACTTTCTAAACTTCTGACAAAATGTAGATTATTGATTAGTAAAGATCCACAAAAGTAATATTTAATTTTCATGTTTATTTTTCACGAAGACTATTCACGGTTTTAGGTATATAAAAATTTATTTTCCAATTTGATTACAGTTACAATTAAAAAACTAGTTTTTCGCGATTTCATCATTTGTTTTGTTTCTTGTTTATTATTTTCAATTACCTAAGTATTCCAACAACATTCTAGCTTAGAATTAGATCGCTTTCCGTGTCCCTTATTAAAATAAATATAGCACTTGAGGATAAGAGAATTTATTAAAATATAGAATTTATTTAACAATTTAGAGCACAATATTAGTTTTCATTTTTCTCGTTTGCAGTTTTCGGAGATTTTCCAAAATAGGTTGACAATACTTTTCTTACAGCTTGACGTTTACTTTGTGATGAACTTTCACCGTGCTGATTAGGAGATTTTTGCCAGTGATCGACAAAGCTTTGACGTCTGAATACTTTGCCAAGGGACTGCCATTTCTGCTCAGGGCTCATATCTTTTTTATCAAAGTTTTCCTTACTGTCAGAAGAGTGATCACCCTGACGAAATTGTGAATATCATATTACTTTTTAATTAAAAAGTATACAATTTATCTAAATTAAATCAGTATAATATGACTGATATTAAATACTTTGTCAAAATTATAAACAATACTTACATCGTGAGATTTTGTAGATCGCAATTGATTTCGAAAAAAGTTTGTTATAGACTTTTTCCAACTCTTAGGATGTTTATAAGAGTTTAATTCCAAGCTACTGGTACCTTCCACTGACATTTTTATATTTTTCTTACTGCTTTCATCTTCTTCTTTAACGACAGTTTCGTTTTTGTATTGTGCGCCTTCAGGACATAGCATTTTCTTAAAATACTTCCAATGTTTTCACATAAAATATTCCAAATTATTTTAACTATTTTACATATATTTGAATGAATGAAGCGTCATTTGTTAATTTGCTATGTCATATTTGTAAAAAGAATTTATTAAAAATAAAAATGTAAAAAGGTTCTATGTGCAATAACAGGTTTTTTTTTCTTGGGATTTTTATATTAAAGTAATTTAGGAAAAAATATTCAAATTAATAAAGTTTAAATACGGTTTTTTATACTTTAAGTCAGACTGACATATGAATATAGATAAAAGTTTATCATAATATTGGATGTATGTGTAAGCCCTTGGGCTTTAATAGAAGTAGAAAAAGTTAATAAAAATTTCCTGGAAAAGTTTGGCGGGAATAAAAAAAAATGACAATTGTTCAGTAAATCGCATTAAAGTTAATAATTAGTTAAATTTAGTGAAAAATGACAGCAACAGCAACGACTGCTTCACAGGTAAGTTTTAATAATTATTATTTTTTAACTCAACCTGACCAATACTAAATGTTAATGATAAACTGGTACGTTTATATTTTGTTAAACAATAATCTCCTACCGCAGGCAGTATCAGAATGGGTGAAAGTTTTTCCTAAGCAGGTAACAGAGAATTATACGAGTTCTGTTACCTTTATGAAACAATTGACAGTGATAGCAGTAAGTACTATAACGTACTTGAAGAACGCGTTCCCAGAGGATAGTTACACAGTGGAAACGTTTGCTGGCGTCAAATTGCGTATTCTGAAGAAAAAATGTAGAAACGAACTAGCGCAGTTCCTAAGCACTGCTTTGATCCAAGCATTTGATGCGTTCGATAAAAAGTTTGTAAGTTATTATGTTTATATTTTTCATGGTCACCTACCTCCCTATATTTTTGTTAATTTTTTTTTTGTTCAACATAATCATTAGTTAGAAAATCCTTTAAATTTACTAATTACTTTAAAATATTTCTATTAATCGACAAATATTATATTATTTTGCACTTAACCAGTTTATTTGAGATTAGTACGAGGTCACCTTTCTAATGATATATCACTGACACTAATATATAAGTTACCTAAAGTTTTGTGTTAGCAAAAATTTTACGTCAGTTAATGATGAAATATAATACTAAGCATGTACAGGCTAACATATTATATGTTAATATTGAAGTCCCAATCCCAGCTTCACCAGCTAGCGCTATGTTTCTACGAGGATGAGTGTAAGCCAGAGAATCTCATAGAGTATCATATATTCGAGTACTCATACAACAAAGAAGGCGTCACTCTCGACTTACACTCTAAGAGTCGCCACAGTCGCCACAGTCGCCACAGTCGCCACACCGAGTACACGTTCGAGAACGTTCGCGACCGGACCGTGCATCTCATACGCGCGTGTATTGTTATCATGCAGTCCTGTCACACACAGCTGCCCGCCTCATACGACGTCAGTCTGAGATTATATTATAATCAAGGTATTCATATATATATATCAAAGATTTTTATTTATACTTATTTCAATGAAACTAAATTTTTCTGATACTATGCATTTTATATCGACTGTCATTTCGTCTGCCCGTGATCACGGTTTGTGTAAAAGGACTAACGTAAGAATTATGTTGTTATCGAAAAACTTAGTCTCATTCATATAGTAAACTGAGTAGTAATGTCTTCTTCTACCTGGCAATATCCCAGCTACAGCCAGGGTCTGCCTTACATGTTGTGAATAGTTTTGGCTAGTTGTTTTTAACCCGGTTGTCTGCCTGACATCAATCCTCTTTGGGAATGCATTAATCAGTAGTGTCTAAATACTCTTAGAAAGTACATATGACTCGTATAAATCACATTGGTACTTGCCAGGATCGAACCCGCGCCCTCATGCATAAGAGGTGGGCCTTTTACCCACTAGGCCACCACATAGTAATGTATGATTCGTATAATTCAGATGCCCCTCCAGACTATCAAGCCCCGGGGTTCCTCAGTACCAACGAGTCCGAAGACCACTTGGAGCCCTACCTAGCGGACGCCATCAAGCTAGGCTGGGTTGAGACTCCGTACCATAAACTAATAGCGAGGTCCTTCATCAAGGAAAACGTCGGAGCAAGCCACGAGGCTAACGTGAGTATTATTGTTAACCGACTTCAAAAAAGGCAACTTCTAAATACAATATTTCGATTTGACAAAGAAATGGCAATATAAAAAAAGTTCATTAAGAAAACAAGTTTATTATTCATAAGTAATTATTTTTATTTATATTTATTTTTTACGTTATATTATTTTGATTGTAACTATTCATATTATAATGATTATATAATTCCCAGCCGTCACAGAACCGTCCAATATTAACCAACGATATTCAAGCTTCTGGTGAGTGTTTTATAGGTCACAATCATTTTTAATATATTAAGGTAAGGAATTGAAGACTTATTGTCCCTTTATAATAGTTGCAGGTAATATTGTTTGTACATATATTATTCTCGATGGACGGCCTCAAAACCGTCCGTTTTATTTTTATAGGCAACAATCCAATTTCTAGAATAATCCAGAACATTCTCGTTTATATTTCTACTTGTTTATAATAAAAGGAATTTTCCAGCGTATGTGTAGTTCATCCACTCGTCACGAAATAGCTCTGAAATATCAATGTCGAGAATATTTTACAATGTTCACTAAGACGACCTTTAAGCCTTATTTATATTGCATGAAAATATGTTATTAAGAATATTATATACATTTAAGGTTCAGCCATCGCACCTGAAGACGATGTCCAAATAGTCTGTCCCTGTAACAGGAATGAAGGCGGATGTGACGTCAGCGAGCTGATCAAGTGTCTGTGAGTAATACATGACTTTCTTCAATCATAATATTATATTATAAACATATTATAATAATTGTTGCTATATATACGTATGTATGTACATATACCAGTAAATATATCCATATTTAAGTCACGTATAGAACATAATATAATCTCTCTCTCTCTCTTTTTCTCTTTCTCTCCAGGTTCTGCGGCAAGTTCCAGCACGCGAGTTGTTTCGGCGTGTATGACGTCACGTCTCACTGCTGCGTGTCCTGTTATATAACAGACACTAACAGGCAACCCACTGATAAGAAACTGGCCGCTCTCACACAGGAGAAGAGAGAGGTCACATTATAAGGATATTGTTCTATATAAAACATTAATTACTTGAAAATTATGCCGAATAATTATAATATACTAGCTTTCCGCCCGCAGCTTTGCCCGCGTGGAGTTCGGTTATATCGCGTTTCCAAGAGATCCTTTCAAAAGTCTGGGATAAAAACTATCCTATGTTCTTTATCAAGGTCAACTCTATCTCTGTACCAAATTTCATTAAAATCAGTTCAGTGGTTTAGGCGTGAAAGCGTAACAGACAGACAGACAGAGTTACTTTCGCCTTTATAATATAAGTAGGGATTATCTGGTTTCTCCCTATAGTGAAATCAAATAGATTTAAATAGATGATATAAATTATACACGTAATAGGTTTGGGTCATAATAGATTCAGGTCAAATATTAGATAATTCGAATAAGAAATTATAGTAACAGGTTCGATTCCAATTGGTTTTCGTAAATATATTTTGTATAATGTATTTCCATGTTTATCTAATAACTGAAGTTTCAAATTATGCAGAGCCTGTGTATATTTCGGCGAGCGTTGGACTGGTGTACTAGAATACCAAGTGTGGATGGTCCAAGTTTATCACAGAGGTTCCGTCTATCAGAGAAGAACGCGCACAAACTGATGAGACTCCTACACTCACACGGAGTGGTGCCCGACGAACCCACAGAGTTAGTTATAATAATAATAATAAATATATATAAAAATGAATTGCTGTTCCTTGGTCTCACTAAAATTCGAGAACGACTGAACGGATTTATCTTATCATAGTCTTGAAATGTTCGTGGAGGTTCAGGGAAAAAATTGTGAATCTAAACAATTCCCAGATCCCCTTGAACAAACACAAAATATTTCATAAAAATCGGTCCAGTCGTTTGATAGAAGTTCAGTGACATACACACTCACAGAAGAATTATATATATAAAGATGTACTATTAGTCTGAAACTTCCAACGACATAGTTAATTTATAAGAAAACCATAAAAGTTATATACATATGTAGTAGTGTATGGAGTTTATAGTTTTCTCATTAAACCAAGTTTCAATATATAATAAGTTTAAAGTGTTGAAAAAATAAATAATAATTATTTCAGTTCGAAGACACCACAAGAAATCATAACAGTAGCGCTTGAATCGGCTATAACCAAGTTCTTTAATGTGAACAAAGATGTGGGGGAGCATCTGCTGGCGGAAACCTTCTTGGAGGAGTCTGACTCACTTTCAGGGGTCATCAGCCCCTTCGAACAGGTGAGCCTGACACCTGATGGCAGTAAGACAGGGGTCACGACCCCTGACAAAAACAGACACACACTGGACCAACAAGCCTCGTCCCCTGAGGATATGATGTTAGATGGGAAAAGTGCTAAGAGGAAGCTGAGTGAGAGGAATCTTAGGAAAGGGGTCCGTACTAAGAGGTCCAGACAACAATAAATATTATTACTCACTTACTTGATGATTATCTACTTTAAAATAATTACATTCTCATGGAAGACTTAATTTTATAATTTCTATTTTTAGTTCAGATATGCTAAGATTATTTTTTCATATGTTGTTTAAGTCAATTTAATTACATTGAAACATAATTAATAAACATTATATAATATGTATGATGATGATTTTATTTAAATTTCATTTCTGTTTGTATTTTTGGGATTGAGTGGAGAATATTCATTATGTTATAGCAATTTAAGAAATACAATTGAAATATAGAAGCATTGAAGGTTTCTTTAAAGATGTAAGAACTGTGACTTTAGAGCATTGGAAGTTGTAAAACGATGGACAGTAACAGAATTGTTAGTCAGGGAGTTAAAGAAAAATAGAGAGATGCAGTAGCTATGGAATTTATACAACACTAGGGTGGAACATTTATACAATACTAGCTTTCCGCCCGCAGCATCGCCCGCGCTGAGTTCGGTTATATCGCGTTTCCAAGAGAACCTTTCAAAAGTCTGCGATAAAACTATCCTATGTTCTTTCTCAAGGTCAACTCTATCTCTGTACCAAATTTCATTAAAATCAGTTCAGTGGTTTAGGCGTGAAAGCGTAACAGACAGACAGACAGAGTTACTTTCGCATTTATAATATTAGTAGGGACAAGGTAAGGGAAACTAACGTTTGTGTATGAGAGGAGTTTGTGTATGAGAAGATCCAGGATATATGAGTAAGGACTGATTAAGGGTGTGACGAACTAAAATTAAGGGGAAAAGGGGATGGGATAGAGAGAATATTTTCAAATAAATAATTCATTGGTGCTTAGATTTAAATTTAATTGGTCTTCAATTGAGTCTATTGTATTTCATTATTACTATAATCACCGAAGTTTGTCATCACGTAGCCCCAATACTTGGGGTCACCTCGAGGGCTCAGGGGCTGGTTGTTCGGAGGGACCGCGGTTTTATTCACTCTGTCTAGCTCCTTTAACATGAGTTGTAAGACGTCTGGATGTCTGAAATAATATACGAACATAGAATTGGGTTTTTGAAAAAAAAAAAGTATTGATTTTTTTTATGTATTTTAAAACTTTATTATTAATTATATTGGATTTTTAATGCAAAAAACTTGAAATATATTTTTTTAATTAATTATAAACAATTAAAAATTGATAAAATTCAAAAATATATCACGTGACTGTAAACGCGCCATGATTGGTCAGCATACTTGTGACGTCATAATGTTAAAGCAATTTCATAATAGTACAGTGTTTATGGCTATTATCTTTAACTTGATAAAAATATCTCAAATTTATTAGTGAAAAACGATTTGAAAAGTTTATTTCGACTATGTGTGATAAAGGATTTATAAAAGCAAAATCGGATAATATTCCTGATGTTAATATATTTTTATGATAACTAATTTTTTAAAAAGTGCGGTTTAATTTTGCTGAAGTTCGAGGTGCTAAGACATCAAGGTAAGTCTGTCAAAAAATACTATTCTAAATGAAAATTAGTATTTATTCTCTATTAAATATAATTAATAATTATTTCATTAAATCATTATTAATAAAATGTTATTATAACATTATAAAAAAACCAAAATAACATATATGTACTTTAAAAATTTAAATGTAGTCTGATACAGAACCTAGAATGTTATAAAATTATGAAAATATCTATTAATTGAAGTCCAATTATTAGACAAACATATATATAGATTTACTATTTAATCGCTTTGAATTATCAATTAAAATTTTTTAATGCTACGATTCTAAAGGTTATGATTTGGAGCCCAGGTAAAAAAATTAATTATTGAACTATACTTATTCGATTTATACACTTAGATAAATAATAATTAATAACAATACTATTATGAAAACTTACAACGAAATGATCTTCACAACAAAAAAAAATGATTTTGTTTTTGAATAATCTCGATGCACTGCTTGAAACCATTTCTTTCGACGTTTTTCGTCTTGTGGAACATTTAAAAACATTTTTTCAGGAGTTGTTTTTGTAGTCTTTGTACATAATGGTACAAAACTTTTGATTATTTAACAATGCCAACAGAATTTACTAGATAAAAACTCAAAACACTGTACTAATTATTATATCTCTGTATGCTACAATGAGCAAAAACTAACATTGTGACGTCACACGCGCTCGGGTTTATTCACGAGCTGTCGGCTTGTCTTCGGTACTGAATTTAAAATTTAATTTTTATTTTGAAATAACTTTTTAAATATTGCAAAAAAAAATAAAATAAAAATAGTTTTGTTATTAAACTTATATATGATCTTTCCATTTATCACAAAAAAAAAAAAATAATTCAAAAACCCAATTAATGGATACAGGTGACAAAAAACTGTGGAATTGAGTTCTTTACAAAATTAGTTATCCCGTAATGTATGAGTAATACAATTTGTATGGTATTAAAAGTAAGCCAGTGAGGTGAGAATTGTTATTTTTGAATCTTTTTGGTACGTACATATCAGCAAGATTCCTTGTTTCACACGGGTCTTCGTCGATGTTAAAGAGGCACGGCGTCTCTAGCGGCCTACACGGAATCGGCTCGTGGTGACCACACTCAACGGTAGCTTCAGATCTGAAATTATTTATTTAGAATATATATTCAGCAAGCAAGCAAGAAACTATTATATATTATATATATGTCCTAGTGTAATTAGTTTACAAAAACTCTACATTTCTTCTTAGGAACATCTCTTCAGTAATAAAACCTAGACAATTCTAGAAGCGTAAAGGTGTACAGATAATTAATTAATCAGTAAGAGATGAAAAACTGTTATTATGAGCTTTCATGTCGCGCGTAATATAAAAAATGAGTTCAATTTATATGTCTACTAGCTGCGCCCCGCGGTGTCACCCGCGTATTTCCGAGATTTTCGGGATTTCCGGGAAATAAAGTAGCCTATATGTTATTCCTGGACGTCAGCTTCCTGTATACAAAATTTTATCAAAATCGGTTCAGCCGTTTGAGCGTGAAGAAGTAACAAACATACACACACACTCACAAACTTTCGCAATTATAATATTAGTAGAAATATCTCCTAAAATCTTTACCTGCTATCTCTTGTATCTCACCTAAGTCTCAGTATATGTTCCGTATCCGGTAACATTCCCATGCCTAGTAAAACGCCGGCCGCCTTACTCTGTAGTAACCTCATAGTGTCGTAAACTCCCTCGCGTCCCGACGGACCGTACCAGCCGTCCCACGATCCGCCGTAGTTAGTACCTAGAGTGAGAAACACGTCACACAAAAGTACTACAACGCTTAAAAGTCTCAACAATTAAACTTATTACGTAGCAGTTTTTGGTTAGGTAGACGAAGGTTTGTTTAAATTATATAATTTTATAAAGGTATAGACGTTGAATAAATACAGATGTCTGATACACAGAGACAGGTAGATGATGTATTTAAACTTTGGATGAGATGGTCAAAATCAGGTTGAAGTTAGAATTAAAGTAGGTGACTATGAGCTAACGTGAAAGAGAGAAGGAAAGATATTTAGATAATAAGAGTGAAAGAGATGTACCTTTATGTACCTTCCACTGTTTGTATGTGATGGAAGCGCTGCCGTACTCATCGTCTATATTATGGACTAGGAAGTCTCTGGCGGATTGACGGTCCTGGGACAGCGCACACCACTGATCAACGCCATCTATATTTTTAATCGAACTGAAAAATACACGAATGTTAATATCTTTTATCTTTTCCTATCTTTCCGTCTTATCTTTTCCTTTCTCGGTCACCTAACATTCATGCCGGCCGCACTTAGTAAAGTCGGCAGCCAGTCCACTAGATGCATCCTCTGTGTAGCGACTCGGGATCTCTTGTCTATGAATGGACTCCACAGCCAGCCAGCCCCACGCACTCCTCCTTCCCATAGAGTATTTTTTACCTTTTGTTTCAAATATACAACTTATATTAATATTAATCTATAACATTATCCTACTAATATTATAATTGCGAAAGTTTGTGAGTGTGTGTGTATGTTTGTTACTTCTTAACGCTCAAACGGCTGAACCGATTTTGATAAAATTTTGTATACAAGAAACTGACGTCCAGGAATAACACATAGGCTACTTTACATCCCGGAAATCTCGGAAATCCGCGGGTAATACCGCGGGGCGCAGCTAGTTATATATATACCACAGTAAGGATTTAGAATTCATATTTTGTATGGAATGAGAAGTTTTGTGTTAGCTTTCGTAAACACCTGGAATGTGATATTCCAAATTCGATTCCCAGTCGTGTCTAAATTCCAACGCTGGAATATCTAATGTATTTATATTCACATAACTACTTACACCTCTGAGAGGATAGTTAGAAGCGGCGTTATCGTTGAACCCAGCCGCGGCGCCGCCGTTGTCTGTCGTGAATATCACGATACTGTTATCCAATATACCCTTTGCTTTCAACGCGGCGACCACTTCTCCCACCGACTCGTCCAGTTTCGTGAGCATGGCTGAAATAATATGTTCAGTAACTTAATAAAAGCTTGAAAAAATAAAGAGGAGCTGTATAGCCAAGGGAAGAGGTTTTATATATTAAGGCTGGCAAGCGAGCTGACGGTCTACCTGATGGAAGGTAGTCACCTCCCATGGACATGTGCAAAACAATGGGTGCAGTAGATGTATTACCGACCTTGATCATCGAGTAAGGAGGAAAGGGTGGGAATAGGGAGAATGGAGGAAAAGGTGGGAAATACTAGGAGCAATCGATCTCTCACTCATCGGACGAAACGCAGCCATTTAAGGCTACTTCACGCCGATCTTCTGTGAGAGGGTGGTACTTCCTCGGTCGAGTCAGCCCATGTTCGAACTGCAGTAACTTACCACAGCTAGGCTCTCTACCACCTCGTTAACTAGGGAGGGAGTGTGATTTACATGAGGGGGAGAAGTGTGGAAAAGCGAGTTCATATAAAGAGTATTTATAGATACAGCTATACATTATCGTGTGAAAATTAAGAATAATGACATTACTTAAGAAGTTGTAGATTTTTGATTATCTTTATATATATAATTCTTCTGTGAGTGTGTATGTATGTCACTGAACTTCTCTCAAACGACTAGACCGATTTTTATGAAATTTTTTGTGTGTGTTCAAGGAATCTGGTAATGGTTTAGATTCACAATTTTGTCTGCTGGACAATGTTTTTTTAATTAATTTTTAATTTATTAGTAGTTGTTGATACAAACTTTTTTTTTTTGACATTAGATTTGACAACTAATTAATATGTCAATCATTCTGTCGCACTTCAAAACACGGAGATTTATGGCTTTAATAGGTAAACTCCAAACACATAAATAAAAAAACGTAACAGATATTTCTTGATTATAGGGCGATACGAAGTTCGCCGGGTCTTGTAGTTCTCTATAAAACAGTTGTCTTGTTACTAAATTAATAATAGCATAGTTTTTTGTCCATCTGAATGCTCGTTATATATTGCTTAAAATATAAGCGTATCTAGGTCAGGGGTCTGCGACTGTCGTTCAGTGTTGTACCAATATTCCACATCCCGTCACAACAGACCCATTCCAATTAAATATTAAAATAAATCCAAATAGATTATCCTGTCTAATAAAATACAAACTCTTCGATTATTATATCTATGTGGAACGTGAATCAGTTCTTCAATCAGATCACGTCAACTTAATTGGTAGAGTAACCGAAATGGAATATTAGGGAGTTAGAATGTTCGATTTTCTTTATATTTATTATTATTTATAGGTACTTTTGATATCTGGTTGTGTGAGTGTCTAACGTTCATTAGATAGGGCCCCCCTTAAATCAACACTTGGGTCGCAAGTCCCAGGCACTGTTGAAGCTCCTCTCCCTGCAACGATGGACCCGGCACCCGCACGGTGAATACATTGAATGCTGAGAGGTTTCGTCTCGTCTCTAATTGAATGTTATTAAAACTAATTATACAATACATAATCGTACCCGCAAATTTTCTCCGCTGAAAGTCCTGTATATGTGTGAAGTTATCGAATAATGGTTCCGGAGCCCGAATCGGCTCAGACGGGTTCCCGGTGTGGACCGCGGAGTGAGACACCATCAGGAACAACGGGGAACTCGTGTTGTGGGTTTTTATTATCTGTGGAAATTTGGATTAGAAGCTTTACACATACATACATACAAGTACATTAAAACTAAGATACTTTGCTAAGTGTTATAAATAAGCTAAAGATTTAATATAGTAAATGTAGAAATAAAGTGAAACATTTATATTGTATGTCTTGACACGGACCTTGACAGCTTCGTTAGTGTAGACATCTGTGGCGTACTGACCGAACAGGTCGTGGGCCGTGGAGAAGTCTAGAACAATCATACACACATTACATAAACTCATAATACATAATCACGAAATATATTCTAACATTTTAGTAATCAAAAATTTTTCATCAATTAGACGAAAAAATTAAGTCACGATTATAAATATTTAAAAGAAATTGTCCTAACATATTAGTCGTACCTAAATATGAACAAAAATATTTTTATCATGTTTTGCTGTTTTAGTAAAATTATAATTAAGTTGGCGAACCGTTAGAACTCCCCGACGATTCGACCTTTTTATAAAGGAATAGACTGATTCTCAACTAATTGTTTATTTTATAAATAATTTAATTGAGATAATTTTGTAAAAGTGGTGTTGCGTCAGGGAGCTGATTTGGCATCTGTGCATGTAATTTAATATGAACGAACTGTGAGCCCTAAAACATCATGTGGGGTAACATTGCACGGTTACAACGTATTGTTAGTAGGAAAAGAAGCTGATTTGTCATTTATGCCTGGAATGTAATATGAACTGTGTAATATTCGACGGTTATCACTGAACGTATAGTAATGTAGAGTTATTTACAGGCAAATAAATATTTAAATATGCGTGACTTACAAAACAAAACATTAAAATAACAGTTTATTTTATAGTTTGTGTCATAAATTGTTCGCATAGCTCCACATTTAAATGGTGACAAAATGTAGTGACGAGAGACAATTACGACACTAAAACAGTTTGACACCCGGCTGGTTTGAAAATAGAACGAAATTTAAATATTTCGTCAGAGAATGTTACAAAAAAATCAACAGAATTGTACCTATACAAAATTAAATTAAGCGAGTTTCAAGAAAAAAATATTTGTTCACATCTTTCCTTTTTTTTTACATACAAACCTCGTCTAAAATCAAAGCCCCAATATCCTCTTTCCTGGTTCGTGTGGTCGTACATGTCTATTTTTCCGTTCCAAAATCCAAGATGACTGTCGAATCTTAAATAAAAAAATAATCCGCTACCTATTATTATACAAAAAAGATGAAAATCTTGTTAAATTAGGAAGTTATTTATATGTATATTTCAGTTTATATAACATATAATACATAATTACCCCCTATTTAAAGGCAAGTATTCCTTTTTGTATGATCCGAGATGCCACTTGCCAACTAGATGTGTTTTATAATCCAGCTCTTTTAAATATTGTGGTAAAATTTTCTCATTAAGCGGAAGCCCTCGAGGTTCAGCAGCGAAAATTACAGTGTGTTGCATACCTTAAATAAAATACACGAAATACAATTTGTAATGTTATAAGTTAGGAAATAAAATTAAAATTTTCAGTCCCAAACTAAATTTAATTCGGTTAATGTAGAACATTTTAAAAAGATCGCGTAATTCAATCGTAAAAATAGTATTTAAAAGATGTTACTATTATTTACTCAATTAAATCAAATAAAAAACAATACTTTCAATCAGTGGCGGCTGGTGGGTTATCGAACTGGTGGTTCACTTTACTAAAATATTGACAAAAACAACAATTGACATAAAATATGTTTATTTTTTGTACATTAAATCAATGCGACGACATTTTTCTGTAGCGAAATGTTCTATCACCTTTTTATTAAAATTTGATTCCAGTTTCTGTCCAAATCGATTCTCCGCCAAAAATAATGCAAGGAAAACAAAAGAATGCATTAAGACGCTCACATCCACACAACCATTTCTTTCTATTATACATTTCACTTTTAAAACTTCGTATAAATGCTTTATTTTTCGATTTACACTCTTGTTTTAAATTTAAAAAGGGCCGTGGCGGCCCGGCCAATTTTATGTTCACTTTACTTTGAAAGATTTTGTTATTTTCTTTAATATAATCAATATTTATACTCATTTTCAACTAATAAAAAACACAGTACAGAATAAAAGTTCTATTATAGAAACGAAATAAAAAAAAAACGAATTACGGAAATAATTATAAACAATAACGAATTAACGCGTCACGCATACAGTGAAAGTTGAAACAATACCAATAACGATTAACGAAATGTCAATCATAGCACCCATCCTTTCGGCCGGCCCCTTGCCGGCCGGCTCAATACGTCATACATCGGGTGCTCTCGGTAACCTTCGGCCGCTTCGTGCGGCGCTCGAGAACCGACTCGTTACTCGGTACATTTCTATGAACTATCTTTTGTCTCACGCGTCAGGCGTATTAATGCGTATCTCATACAAGATGTATTAGCAGTCCTCGTGCACTCGCCGAAGCGCACGATATGAGTTTAGTAAAGCGCTCAAACTTTTTGACCATAATTGGAAATTAAATTTTTTATACCTTTTTGTATATTTAAAAAATAAATATTAAAATGGTAATTTAAAAATTAAGATGACATAATATTTTGTAATTTTTAAATATTTTGAATTGGTGGTTCAGCGCACGGGCGCACTTAAGGTACAGCCGCCACTGCTTTCAATATAATTAAAAGGTAATAAGTATTATTCAATACTAAAAAATAATCATTGAACTATCGCAATGTTTCATGAAAGTAGAAGTTAATTATGTGGGCACACGAACAAATTAATCTGAATAAAGAACGTCTTCACATAAATTCTGTTAAACATAATAAATTTTCTTTAAAAATATATAATAAAATTTACCAGTATGTATCGGATATTTCCCGGTCATCAGAGCAGCTCTAGACGGCGTACATATGGGTGTCACGTAATAATTGTGCAACGAAACACCAGACCAGGCCATAATATCGATATTTGGGGTCGGAATTTGATTCGACCCATGAAATCCGACATCGTTCCAGCCCTACGGCATTTCATAGTTCTAATATTCTGTTTGATATTATTCAGAAATATCGTGAAGTAACTTGAGAAACTCAATTCATCAAGGTAACGAAAAATTTCTTATATAAAAACAAAAAAATGACAAGTATTAAAACTATACTGATGTTTTCGAAAAGGTACTCGAGTATTACATTGAATTTATTAAGTAATTAATTTGCTTCTTTATATCTTAATGTGATGTAGAGGCCATTAATAAATTTTTGACAACCCTTTTGTATAAAGCCCACGCAATGAGTTCCGAGAAACAATAAGTGAAAGCGGAAAGTTCATTTGTGACGGAACAAAAATTATAATCACGCGATGTATTTTTTATAACTGCACATAATTACACTTTTCGTGTTAGCATACTTATAATAAATTATACTATTATTATATTTTCCTAATATATTACTTTATCGTGCCATAAGTTACATTTTTTTAATAAGTATGAGATAAACATTCAAATTATGCAGTTTAAGTAAATATTTGAACCGTTATCTCATACGCAAACATATCGGAGAACCTTTATTTAAAAGTTGTCTTTGAACATAGGTCGTATGAGTCAATAGTTTTAAAAACTGCCAAAATCTACAAATATTTCAATAATATATACTAGAACAATAATATATCTTTCACTAATAAAAACATATGTTTAAACAAATTCATAAAACAGTGTCAGTATTATATAATTAATAAAAAAAAAACAGCTCACTAAACGTAATAAACATTTAAATAAATGATTAAAAAAAATTAATAGTTATAATACACGGACTTACTAAATCGTCAGCTACTATTAACACTATATTAGGTCTTTCGTGACACTGAGACAGACTGGTTACAGTAAACAATAATAAGAAAAACAACATACTGATGAGAGATTCAAATTCAAAAAGTTATTCTTCTGTCACCCGCGGACACTTAATGGAGCTGTCATATGAATTATTCATGTCATTGGTACATTCAGTTCAAGCCGCATTTAAATGTTCGTGCCGTTAAAGAATACATCGAACGAACATTTAAATTTAACTTGTTATTATATAAGACGGAAAAGGCGCTCTCGAATTATTCGCGATTTTATGCAGACGAGATATTTGAGGACAAATAAAACTCCGGATAACAATTTTTCTGAATTAATGTAATGTGTAAGGTTTGATACAATATCTTTACAATCTAAGCCTAAACAAAAATTATTCAGATTTAAAACTTTTCCAAAGAGATTAGCACTATTATTAACTAAAATCAGAGATGTAATTTTCTTTTTAATTGGACTGTTTAAATAAAAAATAGCAAAGATATTCCGACTTCACTATTTAAAATAGCTATTCTATAAGTTTTTATTTGGAAATACAAAGTTAAATATGTAAGTATATTCTATATAAAATACCTTAGTTAAAATAATTTACACTAAATGTTCTATCTATAAAGCCTCAGTTGAAATAATGAATTTGTGTCATAGAAGATTATTCAACTGTACAGGTAAAAACACGAGATGAACTAAATACGTTATTAATTCTATACGTGATACCGTATCACACATTGTAAAAAAAGAGCTTATTTAAATAAAACCAGTTAAACACTTATCACTTATATAAAGAGTCATAAATTCAAAGTGCAAAGTAAATTTGCCAAATATTTTTTTATCAATATTTTCTGATAGCAGTGTTTTTTAACATTTTTATTTGTAAGACTTCGTTGACATTGACAAAATATTCCACGATTCCAGTGTAAATGAAGAAATGGCATAATAAAATTATAATAATCTAGAAGCCCTAACTTTTGAAATGATTGAATTCAAATTATCTCAATTTTCATATTTAATCTCTTTAATAGCAAAGTAGCTTTCCGCCCGCAGCTTTGCCCGCGTGGAGTTCGGTTATATCGCGTTTCCTAGAGAACTATGTTCTTTCTCAAGGTCAACTCTATCTTTGTATCAAATTTCATTAAAATCAGTTCAGTGATTTAGGCGTGAAAGCGTTACAGACGGACAAAGTTCTTTCGCATTTATAATATTAGTAGGGAAGTAGGGATGATTTGTACTCTTTTATATCGTACTTTTGAACAAGCTTTTTATAAATTGTACTAATTAGCTGAACAGGCTCTTAATTATGACATTGAATGGACATTGGCCACAGATGAACATTTTTATTTCTAGATATTAAAAATACATAAATGGAAATCAAATTAAAAGACAGATTATAAATATTTATTTTATTTTCAATGTAAATGACAGTCTATTACCAATACCTCAGTATAATGTAATGCCAGGGAATACAATACATATGTATATCATTAAGACAATTATATAATTAATCTAATATTTAAAGTATTGACCTTAGCTTGATCTAATAAAACGCAAATGTATCACACTGAAACTAACATATTCTTAATAACTTTGACCAATAATTCACAAACTCCTTACATATTTAATGCGTTACATTTATATATACGAATACATTCTTTCATATAATATATAAACAACAGTATATCTGAGAAACAATATTTAGAATCTACATAGTGATACATTCAGTGAAATTAACTAAAAATGGTCCTTTCATACAATATATAAATAAAATTTAAGCCACACCAATACAACTTAATGTTAATAATATATTACTATACTCTCCAAATAACCCGCACAATACTATACAGTAAGTCCGTTAAATAAAATGCATAGAGACCTTACAAAACAAAACCATCTCACAAGTTACAACCTCAACTAGTAACATTTATTATGCTAAAAATGAAATCTAACATAACCAAATACAATTTGTTCAAATAAATATAAAAACTTTCTTTATACTTCTTTGGCAATGCAATAATCGAACATTTTATACTCAAGAGAACACAAGCTTTGAAATGAACATATTCTATGTTTATAAAATTGTAATAATTATGGTCAGAACAGTAATTTTATGTATAAATGAGAAGTTCCTTGACTCCAGCTACATATAGCTGTCTCACTCTAACATTGTGTTGCATCTCACTCACTCCTTGCGTGGTTTCCTCTTCCTCTGTCCATCACCAGCTGCTTCTGAGTCTACCAATGGTGCGGTCTGAAACAAAAAGTTACCACAATTGTTAAAATGAGCAGTATATGTTTATAATATTTTAAAAATATAAAGCAATAAGTTAATAGGGTCTGCAAAAGTATAGTAACATATATCTTTGGTCACACAAACAAGTTTTATTGGAATAACTAGATTAGTCTTTCCCAAAAGTGGGTAACAGAGCCTCTTTGTGGTCATTACAGGCCTTAAGGCGGTAAAAGATTCATTGGGTGTTGTGTATAGCCCTGGGTGATCGGTAGTTCCATTTAACTAGTATAAAGTAGTAATTTTTCAGTAGGTCAAATAAAATTTATTATCAAAGCAGGCAACAGACAAAATAAGCTTGAGAGTCCCTTATCTAGATTAATTTATGATGTTTTTAAATAATTAATTAATATGGACTGCTTGTATTGCCAACATACATCAGTTGTGTCAGCCTCGGGCTCGGGTCCTTCAAGATCAGCTTTGCTCGTCTTCTCACTAGTTCCTTCAACTTCCTCTTGATGAGGATCATCCTCTACAACCGCGTCCGTCTTCTTAACATCCGCTTCCGGATCCTAGTGTTGGATTGAACATTTTAAAATGAACTTTATAATATAATCAACATTATAAGTGTGTGAATTATTTGTATATTTGACTATTATATGAAGAGTACATAATATTAATATTGAAATAATTTCAATTTCAATAAGGACTTAAATTTTTACATTTTACATCTTATTTTATTGGACATTATAAGTTTCCTTTTTAAAAGCTGTTTAAATTGACAATCATTATTATTTCGTTAATTAATTTATCTGTCAGTTACCATCTCGAGTAAATTGGAATAATTTTTTCTAATAATATCAGAATATTTTATTAAACTCTATATGTACGTATATTTGTTATATAATAGTGTTTATGTATGTGTGTATATATACCACTCGAGGTCCACAACACATGTACGCGATGAAGGCCAGTAGAGCGAAGGAGACGAGTAGCGCGGCTGCCCACATCCAGGGCCTGTCACCCACCGAGCGTAGAACAAGCTCCACCACAGACTCCTAGCATCACAACTACTGTACTACTGACTAGCATACTGACACTACACATACGGGGTCAATGAACTTTGAATGGGAAATAATAAGGACTGGCTGGATGGAAGCTTTTCACAATAAAAACCATATACAAATAATAGTATAAATATATCAGTACTACACTTCAGTTCTAGCGTTCTATAATTTATACGACTATTCCAGGCGATACCTTCACATTATCGAATAGCTAAAACCAAGCTGAACATATTACAGCATCTTGTTTGATATTCTGGCATTTAATATAGTGTAGACCTCATAGGATCTCCTTATAAGGTAGGCGACGTATATAACGATAGGTATCGCGCAGTACAGCACGTACAGCGACACCGCGCCCGGACGATACTTCACAGCTATCAGTAGCTTGCCCCACCACGTTTTCTGATTCACCGTTATATTATAACATATCTCTGATAGTTTAAATTTAAATTTATTTATTGAAAAGAAAATTTCAATAAATGTAAAACATGAACACAATGTGAAAATTACATATATCCAGAAGAAATGTAAGTTTATGTTCGAACGCCTTTAATCTTAAAATCTATTATGATTATCCATAACTTAATAGTTTCCAAGGGTTGTCAACTCACCGAGTTGCTGGATATCTTCTGTTTCTTGAGAGCGAAGCCCTGAGCGGCCCAGGCCTCCGCCACGGTGGGGTCGTCTGTGATGATGAGGTTATCGAACAGGAGCATGGGAGACATCGACCACAGCTCAAATCCAACAGCGTGCTGGAAACGAAATATACAAATATTAGAATTTTCACCCAAAAATATGATATTTCAGATCTTAAATAATAATGTAAAAACAACTTTGGTTGGTTGGTTGTTTAAAATATGGCCTTCATTCGTATATAGAAGGTATACGTATATGGTACAAGATATAAGTTGTTATATTGCGACTTGCGATTGCGATTGCCAAATATGGAAAAATGTTCAAGTATTTTTTAAGACTAAGAGGTTCATGACTGTAGTAAATTTTATTATCCTTCCTCAACGAGTTGTGTATTAAATGTCGTCATAATTATAGTTACAATAGGCGTCATTCTGAAGGGATGTTCGTCGTTGAAGTAGTCCGGGTTGGGGATTCGTCTCGGACTCCACTTGCCCTTGTAGTTGGGATTGGGGATGAGAGGTGCTCGCCAGATTCCCTACAAAAAAGAGGAAATTAATAAAACCATAGATATATTCACGAACAGACAGCGACATCTATCGTCTGTATCACAGGACTTCTTAGAAATCTACTTTCATATCTTGTTCCTGCAGGAATCAAACGGTATTATAGAATAAATTATAACCTAGCTCTTATTCTGAGATGTAAACTATATCACTACGAAATTTCAACAACAGTTTTTTAGGTAATTTTTACTTAAAAACTACAGACATCCATACAAATTTTCGCATTACGTCGGATAATTAGCGCAAATCTGCATAACTACCATTGGATAATTCCGCTTATCTACATTGGAAGCAGATAATCAGAAGAAAGTTTAAGGTGAAATATTTTCTAAATTAACGACTTTTAAGGTAATTTCTTCACAATCTATGTATATATATAAAAGAAAGTCGTGTTAGTTACTTCACTTATAACTCAACAACGGCTGAACCGATGTAGCTGAAAATTGGCAGGGAGGTAGTTTAGAGCCAGGAAATTGCAATAGGATACTTTTTATCTAGTTCGACAGCATTCCCGTGGGACTTGACATGAAACTTCAGTCACTATAAAAACGTGGAATAACGAAACACAATTGACAGCTACGCAATTGACGTATAATGACAGATATGTTATGACGTAATGATGACAATTAGATATTTGTAAGAGATCTACTATATAAAAATAAGTCCGGTTTTTCAACATATACTACAAATCAATAATTTAAGTAGATGGCGCCGGTGCATAATACATTGTTCTCTGCTCAGTTAATTTCATGTGACAAACCGGTACTGTGTTTATAGTTTGAACTCTTAAAACCAATTAGTATTTGCGGGATAAATTTAGAAAATCATTGTTTTTAGCATGGGCGTTATATTTTGCGTGTTCACGAGTTTGGAAACCATCCGCTTTATTTGTTTTAAAGTTAGACCTAAAAACAAAAAATGTGGTTAACAAAGGAGCACTTCAATGAAACGGATAATTTGCGGACACGTATAACGCTTCGATTCGGTATCTACTACTACGAATTAATTACTGTTGTGAAATGAAATAAAAATTTTCCTTTACAAATATAAAACAAAAAAAAATTCTTCATCTTTTTATCACCAAATGAAATGTTACATAAAAGCCTTCTGGTGGCGAAACGGAGTTCGCCGGGTTTACTAGTTTTATATAAAAGCATTCTGGTGGCGAAACGGAGTTCGCCGGGTTTACTAGTTAGTAATAAATTAAACAGTAAATAATCAGTAATCCTACAAAAATTATGTTAAAAGTCGTTAATTTAGAAAATATTTCACCTTAAACTTTCTTCTGATAATTTGCTTCCAATGTAGTTACTCGGATTTTCACTATTCCCTAAGATATATAATATTCATGGTATAATATGTGTTTGTTATAGTGGAGTATGTTAAGGCACCTTGTATTTAGGGTTGGGTATCGTTGGTGGCGCCCATGTCCCACAGCCGGGCGCCGCGGCACATCGCGGGTTGTCCACCAGCGGCGCCTCCCACTCGCCGTCCATCTCCTCGTCCCAGTCTGAAGGCTTCTTGGCCTCCGGGTCTGTGGGGCATCGGACACAAGTTCAATATATGTATATTACAAATACAATTATTCATTAAAATGATATCATATTTGTGGTAGGTAAATCATGTTAATAGTCCGCCTTTCTTGAATGAAGTTGCGGGTTGGTAACCTGGGAAGTACCAATTTGATTTTCGAGTCATATGTACTCTAAGAGTATTTAGACATTACTGACGGACGGTGAAGGAAAACATCGTAGGAAAACCGGTACATATAATATAAGTATGAAATCGTGGTGGTAATGCCAAAATCTTCTCCATGTGAGAAGAGGCCTTTGCTCAGCAGCGGGCTCTTTTAGGCTGATGATAATGAAATTTTTATGTAATTATTTACAATTATAGTTCTAAGCCAGTAGAATTAATTTCCCAATGAGTCAAAAACACGATACTATTATTTTATACATGATACTGGCAATGTGATCATATTGCCATATTAAAAAATATATAATTAATGACTTGTGAGTTGTGTATGATATATATATAAGTGGACCTGGTATCATGTCAGGCTCGTCCTCCAGCCAGCCGTCTGGTTTAACAGCATTGAAGTCTATGATCTGCGCCGGCTCACTCTCATCCCAATCATCTGGCTTGCTCGCTGAAGGGTCAACGATCTGAAATCATACAAAATTGTCATTTACTACATGAAATATACGAATTTATTATCTATTAATAAATAACCAGGATATATGTGTCTTATAATCAGGTATTGACGTATATCGTCCCTTAGCTTATAACACCGCTTAAGTCATATTTACCAACTTTATAGGAGACGAAAAAAACTGTCTACTTTAAACTATCTGTGTTTTTTCTATTGCTTTTTAATACTAGTTAGCGGTTAAGAAATAATTATTTATACTTATTTTGACGATGTCGGTTCGACGCGCAATGTGCAGCTTCAGCCAGTTGCATTAAATTGTAAAAACCGCCAATTTTCCACTTGAGCGGTGTTGATAGCTAAGAGACGATATGTCGTTTTTATTGTTAGTCGAGCATTAAGCAATAATATCAGTTCCTGTATTTGTGCAGCAAAATATATGTCAGCTTTGTCTTTATCATAACGTGTGATCGATTGTAAAACCAAATGTGCTAAATAAATTACATATATAACATATTCTTTATTTCATAAAATCCTAGTTTTGTATTGTTGTAATATTTATTTGCAACTAGGTCTATCAATAGTAAAAGTACATACAAGAACTTTCCACAACTATGACATATTATATGTATATAAAACTTGAACAAAATCAATCAGAGTCAAAACCTGATTTCCTCTCATCTTTACATAATTAACCATGAAAAAGTCTTATTGTAATTCGAATAGAAAGCTGCAATGTTTGGACTAAAAGAAAACGCAGAACATGACTCGCTAACGAAAAAACTTGTGTTAGGTAGAGCATAAATAAATTCTTCATCATCAACTCTTGAAATAAATGAAACAAACTACCGAATTCACAGAAATAATGAGGATTTCTCTAACAACTTGCGTATTATATAAATTAACATTAGTTTTAAAGATGCAATGTATTTTAATCGTTTCTTGTCTAATATCAAGTACAAAATAATCTTCAAAACCTACTGAAGTAACCCAAAAATTATGTGTAAATATAAGACAATTTTGTCTTTTAAGGTTTTTTAAGAAACTAAACTAAAAGAAACTAAGTTCGCGTTGCTCCAAAGAAACGACTTTTAAAGTTTATTCCTTTTTCATTTCTCCTTAATTTCATCTATTGCGCTTTCCTGCAATTTTACCATCCTTTTTTCCAAAAACAATTTACACGTCATAAAAAAAAGTCTTTAACTAGCCGATACCATAGTGTTTACAGAAAAGAGTACATATGACAAGGCGAGACATGAGGTAATAATAACAGCATTTAGCTAATAATAACTGCAACTTAAACCTAAATAAAAACAATGCGTTTTTCTTTACATATATATCGCGGGTTCCTTTGCATAAAGGCCAATGTACAAAATGACAATTTTTCAGTAGATGCATTTTAAATTTGATTTCGATGATTTTAAATCTTTGCATAGCAACTGTGACCTACACGTATGTCATTTAAGCTTGATAAACTTTTTTGTAAACCTATTACGTTTTTAAATATATTTATTCTTTATAATATACATTATATAAGCTGTTATACGTTAAAAAGTGTGTTACTTATGCTTTTTTACTGCAATAAAATCTAAGTCTTTCCACCGACAAATACGCATTTTTTTAAATGGATTTTGTAGAATACAGTATTATGAAGAGTTTAAAGCAAAAAATTCAAAATGTCTAAATTACTTCATTGGCCCTTTTATACAGGGTGACTGGTGAATTACTATCGATACTTGAGGACGTGATATTTGACGATCATATATGACAAAATAAAAATTAATATAACATAAATATTAATAAACTTCTAAGTAAAGTTAACCAAAACTTATGTAATTAATTACGCATCGCGTGAACACCCTACAGATTAGGTATACACACACACACACAATCGCGCGCGGCGGCGGGTTGTTGTATCAGCACGCCGCCGCACGCGTCCACACTTGGAACGTGTCCACACTTTATTTATTTATAAAAAATTAAGTAAAAATTATATTTAGTAAAAAATTAAGTACCTATTTTTTTACATAATTCGAATGAGAATCATGTACCGAGTATTCTCCTAAAATATTGATAGTAATTCACCAGTCACCCTGTATAGGATTCATCAATATATGGATTCGGTCCTTTATTATTATGTTCTGTGTTTTATTTAGGTACACATTTCTTGACTATTTCAAATAACTATATATCTGGTATACCGTCACTATAATAATAATCAAACATTACCTTTTCCCTCTCATCCCAGTCTTCTGGCTTCTCATCGTTGGGGTCATCGACCTCTTTGGGAGGGTTGACGGGTGGTGTGAAGTCTTCCAACAGTGAACCAGCATTGAACTCCTTGTTGTCAACGAGGACTGAGAATGTGTTGTCTGGTCTCACTATCAGTGTGTACAGATGAGGCTCCTTGTCTTTATAGATGTCTTCAAGACGTTGACTGGAAAATATAACAATCAGTATAAATCAATGAATATTATAAAACAAAATCTCCCGACTCTGCTGTCTGTCTGTTCGCGATAAACAGAAAAACCACTGCACTGATTAAGTGGTTTCCACCACTCGATAGCGTGATTTTTGATGAGGGTTTTAGTATACATATAATTTGGTAAGTTTTGAATCTATTTGTGTGTACCTTAACGATATTTGTTAAAGATACCGGAAAAATATTAGCGTTCTGGAAGCTTCTAACAAAAAACGCTGCGTAAAGCCCTTGAGATATAGTAAAATAAAGTATGATGGAATTGTGTATCCTATATAGGCCTACAAAAAAGTCCGCGATGGCATATATCTATCTCTTACTAATAAGTATAAGTAATATCTGTTACTTACTATATCTATTTTATTACTTTGTAAAGTTGGCGTGAAGCGTTTATTGGAAAGCTATTTATATAAACACGGTATAAAGTCTTATCAAATTTATTATGCTTCGTGTTCAAGATTACATCAGTATCTGTAAATTACTTTTTGAATTATTGAATTCGTAGCTACCATTTGAAAGTTATCATAAGTTTAATAATTCTCAAAATTAAATCCGCGCGATAGATCTCGCACTTTTTCACATGATCACGTCATGTTCACGTAAAAAACATAACAATTTTATTATATTAAAAAACTATTGTTAACATACAAAATGCAGATTTTCGTAGTCAAGTTTAAAATATGTTTAAGGAAGAATGGTGAAGAAATTTTTGTTTGTCTTGATTGAACTCGAAAAGAAAGTACTCAACGCACTTTACGCAGCATAGGCTATTTTTATATTTTTTGTAAAGTACCAGTGTGAAGCCGGGGCAGGTTCCTAGTTTACAATAAAATGTTTTTAAATACATAGAAATCAATGTTTATATATAAAAATGAATCCCTTTTTCCCTTGGTCACGGCATAACGCGTGAATGGCTGGACCGATTTCAATAATTCATTTTTTTGTTGTATTTGTTATTATTAGGAGAAGATAGTATAAAGCATTAGAATAATAATCACTTTGTTTTTGGAATAATTTTGATTTGTAAATATACTAATTAGAATTCAATAATCACAGTTATACTTAATAAAGAAATTAATTAGTAGAAGAAGATACTTAATAAAGAAATTAACTTCCTTGAGATTACAAAGTTCGCCAGGACAGCTAGTAAATTAATAAATGTGAATATAGTAGTATGGACCACAAATTATACTAAATTTATAAGAAATTTTTTAAATTTCATGAGAATGATACACCAATAAGGTCATAGAATTTCAAAATATTAAAAAAAGTGTTTGCTATACCAGCTTATATCGCAACAATAAACAAATCCAAAAAAATTAAAGAAGTAAATCCCAAATCATTAGTTATCCTACCACACTTGGTACATTTAACTTAACATTATACCCATAACAATAAAGAATTATTTCTTCATAATTTTTAAATTTGTTTGAAAATCTGCAGTTTTTTTACTACATACAAACTATCTTTAGTTATATCAGTGGTGGCCTAGTGGTTAAAGGGCCCGCCTCTCGTTGCCGAGAGCGCGGGTTCGATCCTGGCCCGGGCAAGTACCAATGTGATTTTTCCGAGTCATATGTACTTTCTAAGAGTATATTTAGACATTACTGATTCCCAAAGAGGGTTGATGTCAGGCAGGCGGCCGGTCGTAAAAACAAAAAGCCAAAACTATTCTCAACATGTAAGGCAGACCCTGGCTATAGCTGGGAAATTGCCAGGTAGAAGCAGAACAAACTATGTTTAGTTATAAAATTTATTCTTACGTTGGTTTCTTGCAGTGTTTTTCTTCAATGGTCCCATTCTTGGGGTTTTTGTGTCTGAAGATGAAGTGCAGTTTATTGTCGTTGCCACACTTGTCGGGTCCAAACATGATAGTGTATGGAGTCTGGTCGTGGAACTGTTTGAGGTCTGCTTTATTGTTCACTCCTCGTGATAGAAGCTTTAAGTAAGCACCACCACAATTTTGACCTTCCTGTATAGTGAAGATGGGATTAATTACAAATGCTTAAGACAGAGGCGAAACCTCTCATCATTTAATGGATTCTAAGTGTGGGTGCTGGGTCCATCATTGTAGGGAGAGGAACTTCAACAGTGCCTGGGACTTGCAACCCAGGTGTAGGTTTAAGAGGCCCCTATCTAACGCGCGCTAAATGCTCAGCTCCACCGTACAAGCTCCTCTCTCTACCTAATGCATTATACAAATGACTTTTTCGGTATATATCTTTGATATTACAAAATTTGGTACTCAATTGTATTATTTATATTTTCATAATTAATTATTAATGACTTGTCACAATTAATTTATCAACATTTTCTAAGTAATGCGTTCCTTATGATTTTGTATCTTAATACCTATTAATAACACAAAGAATACAAACCAACTCCTCGTGTGAAATTGGAGAGAAGCCAATTACCCTATAATACTGCTTTTCATTTCTCTTTGTGATAATTTTAGACAATTTTACCAATACATAAAACTTAACATACTATCGGTTTTATATTTTAAATAATAATATGCAAAATAATACAATAAATGTTGTATTTCTTGAAATTCAAGTAATATGTATTACAAGTGAAGAATAGTGAAAGTCACTTGAAACTAATTGGCTTATCTGAGCGACAACATACAAAGTACCGTGAAGTAAAAACAAAGAATATTACATCATGCACTAAAATATAAGTACTAAAAGAAAAAATATCTACAATTATGAGTATGGTTTTTGGTGATAAACATGAATTATATATACTTATTCTGTTTTCCACAATTATAAATGATTTTTACCTGCATAGTCACTTCATACTGTACAATGAGTGGTTTGTCTTTAAACTCAAACGGTCTGTCAAGCAGTGTTGATATCGCGGCATGTTTAGCCTCAGTAATCAGCACTAACCCTGTGTCACTATTAAATATTTTTCTTGTAGGTATTTGAATCTGCATACAAAAATAATAAATGAAAATTAAAAATACACATTTTAGATTGGAAACAACTGATATAAGTAAACTTTTGATTACAAATATATTTCTTTTATTTAATAAATAATATTTGTTATAAAGTACCTCCCATTTTCCATCATATTTTGCTATATCTTCGTCGACACCTTGTTTTTTTGCTTCGGACTTAATCCACTTCTTCTTGAATGTTGCCACATCATCAAAGTTCTCAGCCAGATACACTTTCTTGGGATCCACTTGAGGACTCTGGTAGGTTTCCTCTTCAGTCTAATATGTAAAAAAAACGTAATAAACTCAAAACATTCTATTTTCTTAGACAATACTTACCTTATCTTACATTATTTTAAAAACATTTTGTAACACATTCATATTGAATTTGAAGACAGAAACATTTATATTAACTAGAATGTATTAACAGATCTTGTTATATTGCTATTTGTGTTACGAAAACTTTTGTTATCTGATTATTATTTAGATAATTAAATGGGTCAAAAGATATGGAAATGTTGAAAATAGATTTATAACAATATTTTCACACATTAAAAGTTTTAATGAATAAGCAGATATAAGTTACAATTATTTACATAACATACTAATTTATCCTACTAAAATTATAATTGCGAAAGTTTGTGAGTGTGTGTGTATGTTTGTTACTTCTTCACACTCAAACGGCTGAACCGATTTTGATAAATTTTTGTATACAGGAAGCTGAGGTCCAGGAATCACATAGGCTACTTTACATCCCGGAAATCCGCGGGTAACACCGCTAGTTTATAATAATATTGTTGTAATAGTTTCAATTAGGATATAAATAAATGTTACTTTTGTGGTGTTACTTCTAGTTGCTGTTCCTCACGTAGATAATTGCGATAAGTAAGTAAATTGAATCAACGACAGTTTTTAATAATTAGGACAAGAAAACTAACCTCAACAGTTACTCCATCTTCTGAGTCTTCGACATCTGCGTTAACATGCAGCGAGCCAGAGATTACTAAAAAGCTTAATATAAAGACCCGCATAATACCAGGTGCCATCTGCAATTGTAAAATTTTATAAAAGTCCAACTTAAAATGTAATTATGCACAATGACCGACGCACAGACAAAATATTTGAAATTGAATTAGTTTGTAGTTTACAATTGAATTAATAAAATTTAAGGCATGCTACAGACACCGGACGACGGAAATCCTCAATAAATACAATCATAAGCCTGGCTTAATGCTCACGGACCATACAGAAATCATGATAAGCTTTGATTACTAACCATGCACTTTCAATTTTCAGTTAGCGACGGTCGCTAGTTAAACATCCAATTAGAATAACAGCCTTTATCTGATTTAACACTTAAAGAAAACAAACTGATAGTAGACGCAAGTCACTACCAAGAGCCGCAAAAATATTGAACTAAGCTTTCCTAGTTCATACTTTCAATACTTCAATCATTTACGATCACCGAATTAAATGAACTCTTTTCATTAGACGGATGGTTTTGAATAATCTGTGGAAGCATTTGATTGGTGGCTCAAAATCAAACGTCCAATTGGAAACAAACAGTTGTCATCGGATGTCAGAGTAGCAAATGACATATATATTTGTAGAATAAAAAGATTGAATACACAGATATTCAATGAATAATATATTAAATAAATCTATTATCTTAAAAGAAATGTATCAAAAGAGACTTTTTAAATTATTTTTTTTGTTTTTCTTACTTTTTTTTAAATTGTATAATGCTATAGGAATTAGAATAATTTTATACAATAAAACTCGGTTGTATGGATATTCATATCTAGTGTATAATTTAAATAAACTAGGTTTTTAAACATATTCAATTTTATTAATAGAGAAAATTAATGAACACTGTGATTTTTAATAATTGATTTCTAAAAACACATTTTATTTTTAAAAAATAACAACTTACTTGACAGTATATTCTTATTCTTTAAACATTAGTTTTAAAGTTTCAAAATTCCCTTCAGACAAGGCAACAACCAAAAACCAATTCAACTTAATCTTCTAAATTTTGCATTAAAATTGAAATAAATAAATATTATATTCCAAAATATAATAAAAAAATAATGTTTAAATTTTGTCACCCTTAATTTATTTTCCAAAAAATATTTTTCAGATCGTACCATAATGTAAGTGAAGTATAGTATAGACCATAGTTTGTTAAACTTGGCGCTCTCAATCTTCAAATTGAATCAAATTTATGAAATCAACATGGCGGATAAATGGGAAAGTAAGTTTGTTTGTTTGTATTAATTTAAATTATTCTATTTTATATAGTTTTTTATTCTAATTCCTTTTACAAATTTTATTAACCATAGTTTTTTTTGAAGCCCTCTAGTGTCGCCTACTTTCAAATGGGAAATATTTATCAAGGTTCAAAATTTAAAAAAATTCAAATTTCCAGCCGAATTGTCATTATAAATTATATTTTTTAGCTTCTTGAAACTGAGTGCTGGTTTAAAACCTTACTTTTTGTGTGTTACAATACGGTTTAAAGTATATGAAAATTAATTTTGTTTATATGTTATTGAAACTAAATAACATTTATTTTCAGACGTTCAAAACGATGAAAAACATTCTCTTAGACTACAATATCAGATTAAAGCTGAACCAATGGATATGGATTTACCTGAAGACGATGAAGAGCCACCAGCTTTCGGTCCAGCGGCATTGGGCCTTCATAGAGTTGGGACAAAATTGCCGCCAAAACCAGCACCTAGTGAACCTATGCAAAAATTAAATGCCAGAGGTATGCCAGCCCGAATACGAAAGAAAAATAGATTTATATTTGTTGATGACTTTGTTAATACATCTCCACCAAAACAGTCTCCAAAGAGGACTCCTAAGATATTAACAAAAACACCAAGTAAGCCGGCTAGTGCAAAGAAACAGAAGTCGCCAATGAAAACGCCTAAACACAATGAGAAGATTGAAGAGAAGTGTGTAAATCAATCACCGGACCGTAAGAGTGGACAGAGGATAGGTATGAGGTTAAGAAATCTCTTGAAGTTGCCTAAAGCACACAAATGGGTGTGCTTTGAATATTTCTATAGCAATATTGATAAGGCTCTGTTTGATGGAGAAAACGACTTCATGATTTGTCTTAAAGAATCATTTCCCCAGCTCACTAATAAGAAGCTAACTCAGGTTCAATGGGCCAAAATAAGACGCATGATGGGAAAACCAAGGAGATGTTCACAAGCTTTCTTTGCCGAGGAACGAAAGGAATTAGAAAGGAAAAGAAAACTTATAAGATATATTCAGCAAAGGAAAAACGCTGATATATGTGTCAAAGACTTGCCTAATGAGATACCTATGCAATTAGTTGTAGGAACAAAGGTCACAGCAAGACTGCGCAAACCACAAGATGGCCTGTTCACTGGCTGTATTGATGCAGTGGACACATCAAATAATACATACAGAATAACATTTGAAAGACCTAAATTAGGTACACACTCTGTTCCAGATTATGAAGTCCTTTCAAATGATCCTCCTGATACAATAAGTTTATCAAGTATGACTCAAAAATTCAGGCCACGCTATGTCATGCAAGAAATCTTTAGTCTCTATCAACCAACCATCCCTAATAAAAATACGAGTCAAGGCGATCCCATGATGGGATGTACGGATTTGACAAAACATCTTGATTCACATCTAGGGAGTTATCCTTTCACGTTACTTGAATTGATAGTTAAACTAACAAAGATATTACAGGCAAAGAAATGTAAAATAAACAAGTTGAAAGAGTACAACTGTGAAGCTGAGAAGAGGAAGTCATTTGGTCAAAGAATGCCTGAGGACTTTGAAAGGAAATACGCTTCAGTTGTGATTGACCTCGAACGGATGAACATGGACTTGCAGGAATACATAAATAAAATACAAGTATACTGTCAACAGATTGCTCCAGGGCCTAGTTTAGCGGCGATGTTGGCACCTTCACACTTGAGGGAAAAATGTCGTGAAGAAGCTGCCTTACTAGTGGAGAAAAATAATAACGGCTCCATCAAAGACAATAACATCATTGAACTGATAACTGATCTCACAGCCCTGATGTTGCAAGTTAAAAGCTTATCTGACTCGGACCAGAATGCTTACGAGTTGAGTGTCTTACAAGGAACTATGGATCAGATAAAGACGAAACTGGAGCCGCAATATCAGAAGTTATTCCAAACTCATGTTGAATTACACATGCAGAGGATCCAAATGGGCTTAGGGCAAATGATAACTAGCAGTTATGTCTCCAGTACATAGTCACATACATGAATTTATACATAGATGATACCTATAATTTTATGAAATTTTGCATATATACAATTATGTATATAATATTTGAGCCTAGTGTTGTAATATTTGACCTTATTTAACAAAGAACTATATGTAAACCTGTAAATGTTTTTAAAAAAATTATAATATATTAGGTAAAATAAATAGTTGGTATTTATTATGAATATTTTGTTCCATTTCCCTGTTTCAGCAAATATTCCTCCAGATTTTTTGATTTGAAAATGGTGAAAATTAAAATTGAAACTTACACAGTAGTAATTTCAAGTGGAATATTAAATAGAAAATCCAAATAATACTCTTTTAGAGATGTGGATTCCTTTTCATAATATGGTTTAAATTAATACCTTGATTCAATACTGCAAAATATGGTTGGCTGACAAAAATAGGTTCATTTTAGGTATTACTTATATAACATATAAAGCTATGTATACATGTTACATATTCAAAGAAAAATAACACAACAAAGAATTGTACATTGAATTAAACACTGTTTATTTATTAGAACATTTTCCATAATTACAATTTACATACTTGATAAGTATGATCGATTGGGCACTTCGCATTAATCAGTGACGAATAAATGCCCAGACTTTTTCCAATTACAAATAAATGACAATACATGAGCGTGCAACACAACCGAACCTATCATCAATATTATCTAGGAATGTAAGTTATTTCATTGAAATTAATCTTCAAATATTACCTAAATTGCTTTTTAAATGTTGTTAGTTTTGTAGTCAGTTTGAAAACGGTTCAGACTTTGTATTTGTTTAAAGTTTCTAACAATTCATCGGCTTCTTCTGATGTCTTCACTCGGACCAGTACAGAGGTCGGTGGAGGTTTAGCATCCGGAGTGGGTATGCAGACCAACATCACATTGTTCTTACCCATTCTCTGGGTTGGAACACCCGAAGACAAAATCAAATTGAGTAAAACATTACCAAGAGCTGTGTTAGCTCGGACCAGAAGTTGGTGTTTCTCGCTGTTTTCTACTTTCTTGATATACAGAGTACCAACACCCTTATCAATGAAATTGCCATCTTTTTTGACAAATATTTTACATTTCTTATCATAAACACTGTTCTCTTCTACTATTGGTGTATATTCAACTTTAGGTGGTGCATCTTCATTATCGTTTGCATCATTGGCTGGTTCTTCGGGTTTCGGTGTATTTACATTTGTGCTAAAACTGAAAGGTTTGCCCATGCCAAAAGAGAATGGTGTGTTACCATTGGTAGTTGTAGCTGTGGTTAAGGGAGATGTGTTTAAATTAGATTTAATACCGAAAGAAAATCCAGTACTGGGAGTAGTTGAAGTCGAAAATGTACAGCTGGCGATGCTGGTGCCAGTATTGAAAAGAGACGTCGTGTTAGATGTCTTGGGTGACGATGTTACAGGGGCAAATATGGATGGCTTATTTCCTGAAAATAATGTTGATGTTGCACTCTTACTATCGGACATGGGTTTCTCGAGGCTGGTATTCTGTTTTGGTTCAGGTTCAGACTTGGCACTGTCTTTATTCTCCTGTTCCTTGTTTTTCTCATATTCATCTTGAATATCTTTTAGATATTTTTCATAATCTCTGAAGATTGGAGTTAAAATACATATTGGCATCTCTTCAACATGTTTTTTGATACAGTCTGATACCGACTCATTCAGGCCCTTCAGTTTGTTGTGGTATGTCATTAGACTACTTTTAGTTTCCGGTTTATTTTCAGGTTTCTTAGCATCACTGATTTTGTTTAATGTCTGAGTTGTTTGCTTCTTGAATGTTGCAAAGTTGTTTGATGTGGATGAAAATAATTTGTTACCACTGTTAGCACTGGTCGATGGTGCTCCAAATATAGTTGAGGAGACCTGGGATATAGGTTTATCTGATGCAGGGTTTGTTTTTTTGCCAAAATCACCTGTCAGGGGTGAGGTTACAGTAGACTGGATTTTAAATGGATTATCACTAACAGTTGAATCTGCTTTGGATGTCGTAAACACAGACTGAGAAAATAAAGAGCTGGTAGTAACAGTAGTGTCTGATGTACCACCAAATGGAGAATCTGTTGCAGGTTTGCCAAAAGCTGACTTTGTCGGAGTTGAAGTTCCTGATAAGCTGAATATTCCGCTACTTATAGTATTTGATGGGTTGCTGTTGACGGAACTTGATGAAACAGCTGTCTCACTTGTAGAAGTAAGACTACCATTATTCTTACTGCCGTTGGTTAAATTTGATAAGAAATCAAATGACGAGTGCTGAGTTTTGTTAAATCCACTGAACCCACTAAAAACACTCTTCTTAGCCTATAAACAGAAAAATCAATTATGGCAAAAAACGATTAAGTACAATGAATTAAAAATAATGTGAAAAAACACAGGTTTTCTCGAATATATGGAATGTCTAAAGTAACACGGACGATCATTACCTCACTGCCAATGGCTAGAGAGCGTCTTTTAGCGGTCCTTATCACACGCTTCTCAAGCACCTCCTTAGGAGCTATAGCAAAACCACCAGTCTGGTCCTCTTCTACCGGATCATCGTCATTCCAGTTCTCATGATTTAGTTCTGTTGGAGCCTGTCTTTTAATCGACATAATTACAGTTATATCCTAACATTCAATAATAAAACCTGTCGAAGTTAAAAACTCTGCATTATCATGGAAATCAAGCAGTTTTTGTATTCTCACACATAGCTTGATTTCAACTAGTAATATAGGAACAAAATTATAAACACATCTGTGTTTATTTCAGACGGAAACCTGCGATAATTGATAAAACGCGAAATGAATCTTAGCAGATTACTACCTTGTGGGAAGATGAAATGTCAAATAGAGATTATTTAGTATATTCTATATCGCATTTAAAAAGAAATAAAAATCATTTAACAAAATTCATCACATTTTTATACTCATACATTTTATAATTCATACTTAAATTAATTATATTAATCACTTCATATTTTCGTATCATTTTTATAAAAGGAAATAATCTTGTATCAGCATCCATGTAACAATATTATTATTTTTTTGCAAAAATTATTTTTTGGTATTATTTGTTTTTTAGGATATAAAACATTTTAGATTTTTGATAAGAAGTAGTAACCGAAGTAAATAAGAATCTTAAGAAATTCTAACACCTGCCGTTTTTGTTTACCGTGCCCAAGTAAATTAAAAATTTAAAAAAATGGGCAATTATTCAAGACCATTTTTTTAATAATCTTTTATTCCTCAAAAGGACTCGTATCCAGAGCCGTAAAAACAAAAACATATGTTTATATTTTAACGCTCGATTAGACATTGACACTTTATTGAATTTTGCAAACTCCGTCAATTTCCCGCTGCTTCCAAAAAACAAATTTTGGTTATAAATTTAGATTATTTTATATTATTAAACTGCTATATTAAATTTTGTATATGCCACTTTATTACTATCTTAGTAATTCAAAATGTTTCAAACCTTGCTAAGGGTAAGTTTTAACCCCAAAGTTTTAATTAACGTTATAATTATTTCGTTTCATCTATTAACAATAGTTATAATAACCTAATATAGAATAAAAGGATGTCTCTCTCGCCCTTATTGCAGATTCTACCTCGTCAACCCGCACATATTAAGAAACTACACACAAGTGTGACAAGATTTGATAGCCAAAACTCAGAAAAAAGTACGTATAATTATAAAATAATGCCCGTTACCTTGCTCACAATTAATGAAATATTTAATTATTGTTAACAGCAATCAACCAAGTCACTTTATTGGGTAGAGTCGGTGCTGATCCTCAAAAACGGGGTTCTGTGGAACATCCAGTGATAAATTTCCCATTAGCTACACATTTTAGCTACAAATATGAATCAGGAGATATTCTACAGAAGACAGACTGGCACAGAGTGAGTGTCTTTCGGCCAGGCCTTCGAGACACAGTATACAAATACCTCAAAAAAGGTCAAAGAGTGTATGTTACTGGCAAATTGTCCTACGGTGAAGTTAAACTTGATGATGGTCAAGTAAGAACAGCTTCTACGGTGATCGCCGATGATATTATCTTCTTCCAAAGCCAGCCACAAGAGTCTTAAGCATGTTTCAATGTTAATTTAAATATAAGGACAAGTTTATCAGTAATTAGTAATAAAGTGATAGAATAAATTGCTTTTTTTTATTCTCACTTAATTTTACAGCAATAAATATAAAGTATGTGCTTTCAAATTTTCATAAAAGTAATAAATTGTTTCTCTTTTATCTATGTGCTTACCAATATTAAAGTAAGCTTACTTAACCTAAGACTAAAAATGGCTCCAACCAAATTATTTAGTGTGAATCATCACTAGCCTATTGGTGCTGACTTTTGAGCAAAGGCCTATTCTCGCAAGGAGAAGCTTAGAGCATTAATTACCACACTAGCTCAAGATGGGTCGCAATGTGATGAATATATTATATACATTACATAATATACATTGTATATTTAGCTTATTGCCTTAATTATTCCCAGCCTGCATAATAATGACCACAACAACAAGTTGGCATTATTTAACAAAGATGTTTTAAAATATCATTAAATTTGGTTAATTATAGCACATGATAGTAACAACGTAGGTCTGTAAATGGAAAACTGGAAACTGTATTTAGTTTGAAACTGGGTAGGGGTTCTTATTACAATCTTTAATATGAAATTGAACAAGTTGGTTAAGATTATCTGCAATACTGTAATTTAAAATTATAATCTTTAGTATATCTCTGACTTTGTTTATTTATATATATTATTTGTATAGTCTTAACAAAAAAACATTAAAAAATTATGGTAAAGCCATAGTTTTAATGTATGACAACCTGTTCATATAGATCTCCGATACCATATGCGCCTGTTAATTAAGTCATTGAAATCATGGTGTTCATGCGTGACGTATTTATTTTTATTATAAAAGAGAAATTTAACAAAACGACTGCACAACATTACGAGTTCGTCACAAAAACTAGTCAACTAAAAATACTTATATCATTCCCCTTTCATGTGACTTTGCTATAAAAATGTTTCAGGAGTAATATTTCTATCACAACTATTCATGCTTATAATGAGATTGAATCACTCTTATGATTTAAAATTAACCACTTCTCACTTAAATGCACGTGAAAATATATACGGTACCTATATCAATTTTTAAATTTATTGCCTTTTTGTTCGATCTTGCTGTCTCTAAAACGCCTAAGTTCAAGGCCTTTTAAATTTTTTTTAATCGAAAAGATTTCGTCCTTAAGTGGTTCCATGGTCACAAAGTCAGGTTCTCTTAAAAAGATTCTTGCGAAATCAAAAGGAACCTTATGATGATGATAACGGGCATCTCAAAATTTAAATAAATAACATTAAATGTGATATTAATTTTATGCCCAATAGATTCGTGTTTTATTAACAATGTCCTTATGGCAGTCGAGTCAGTAACAAAGGCTATAGAGAAAAATGTACTGTTCTCTGTATACTATTGTCATCAAGGTGGACTATCTTAATATATATACAAATAAGAGAAATAACAATTTTGGAAATAAATTAGTAGACAGATGTGATAACTGTTTTTTTTAAGTTATAAAGATTGGGATATTTTATTCCATTAACCATAAAAATAATTTTATTATACCTTAAACGTTTTTTCTCATCTATTTCACGTTTGATATGGTACAAATCACACATAGGAACTATTTTATCCAAATTATCCTTTTTCCCTCCAAACATTGACATAGGAAATAAAATAAAATGTGAATATTATTTGCATTTATTTTAAATTATAATTCAGCCACAATATTTAAGATTATATTTATAAACATTGTCTTCAAGTTGGAAATCTTGGCTGATGCCTCATAGAAAAAATACAAAGTCACTTGTAACAATTCTTACCGATACCTAGGTACTATGATAAAGCTCCACATTTTGTTTGACAAATCATACATACACTCTCTTTTGGTACACTTAAACTAACTTAATAATTATCTAATATTTACAAAATCAATATTTTTTGACATCATTTACTTTACTTATATTGTTAAAAAGAGATCACAGAAAATTGTAGCTGGAAATCATGAGTGAGAGTCCTAGCGTAATCTAAAGACTACCACTTTATATATCACAGTGGTTTAAACAATTTGATTTAAAGGCATCGCTGATAATGTTAGTGAGGTTTATCGTCTTTGCTTGTAAAACATAAAATAAAAATTATATTTGAAGATATAAAAATAGAGACAAGTTGCCATATTCGTAATAACGTGGTAGCCTTCAAAATTTTTTACAGACTACAATTGAAATGTTCACGAAACAAAATTAATGGAAGACGAGATAATACACGTTTACTTCAAACGTTTCTTTTTCATCTATGGTTATTATAAAAATAAACATAAAAGTACACAATTAAATTAATTAACAAAATGCATTTCTATCGCGTATCCACTCGGTACAACTTGAAGTATTCAGTTAGTTAATTTGGCAATATTTTTTCTTAACTGCAACCGCGATTTTTCAGTCGGCTTTCCATAAATGGTCCATTGCACGAAATATTAAAATAGTCTCTATGACATAACACAAATAAACTCTTGACCCCTTTAGCTAACTACGTAATTGACGCTTAATATAAAATCACTTGGCACAAAGGCATCTCTAGGTCCATACCCTGTAACTCGTACCATTGATGATCTGATCAAAGTGCTCTCAGCTTCGTATTTATAATAATGTTTTCATATTTCACGGAAGACAATCAATCTGAGAGGAGTTCGACTAGATGTGTGGTAGGAGCGCCCGGTCACACGCACTGTTCACACGCGGATCATTGTTCACATTTTTCACTTTTTAAGTTGAGCGCGTAGTGTTCGGTGTAGTCGGGCTCCCGCTTCATGATGGCGTCTCCTATGAGGGCGCTGATGCGGTGTTTGTCTCTGGCGGGCTCGGTGCGTTGCCGTTTCCTCCACGGCTCGCCGCTCATGCTGAGGTCGGTGGGCATATCCTCATCGTTTTCGTCCTCGCACCGATCGTCCTTGACCTCTGTCTTAACAGCCGGCTGCTGGGTCACTCGCGTAGGACTCATCTGTTGCCGTAGCAACGATATGTTCTTTATGTTCTTCAGCTCCGTTGGGTTTCTTAAGAATCTGTAAAAAAAATATGGTGTTAAGGACCCGTTTTTGGACAAAAGACAAACAAACAAGTATTTACTAGTCTTAAAGTAGTCCAGTTTAATACTCAAACAGAAGAATCTAGAATTTATTTCGCTTAATAAATTCAAAGTTACTTGTATGAAGCCAGGTTGTGAACACTTACTGGTAGCAGTGTCGCTCGCCCTGGACTTTTCGCAGAATATTGACGCGGTAGTAGTACCGGAGGGCACGCGACATTTTATCGTAGTTCATCGATAAATGGTTCTTCTGTATCCCCCACAGCTTGGCCAGTCCAGCTGGGTCCACGATTTTGAATACACCAGTGTCTCTGTTTTTCCAGGCGATGTAGTTCGTGTATCGTTGTGTTGGATCGTTGAGAAGTTGCTGCAGGAAATCCCACAAGAGTCTTCCATCTGGGAATTGATACAATAAATTAGTAAAGAGAAAAAAAACTTCAATAAAAAACGTTTTTTTTTTCTAACAAAATTTATGAACTCACTTGTATTTGATTCGGGCATATCATTAGGGAAGAATTCTCTATGCTGTGCACGGTAGTGAGAGTGTTGTGGGGCTGCATGTGTCTGTGGGGTGACAGTGTTGAGAGGAGCGTCCTTGGGCGACCTCGACTGTGGCGCAAACTGAGCTTCCTCATCGGAGTCCGACTGATTACTGCCGGAACTCACGGTCTGGGTATTGACGGGAACTGGTTGCGCATAGGCGGGCGCGTAGCTCAGGGTTTCTCCTCTCTGCGGACTCCCTGAACTGTCCACTGACGGGGCTGGGCTTAACGTTACAGAGTTCGGTTGGGCCGCGGCCGCCGCGGTATGGAAGTGATGGAACCCGTCCACCGCCCACGTGGGTGTGGGCGGGTGAGAGTGTGGCGAGGGCGGGTACGGAGCGCCTCGAGCTGTGGGCGTCACTGGAGATGAAGGCACGCGCCCTAGAAGAGCGGCGTCACGAACTAACATCTGGAGAACATTGTGAAGCACATCGCCAGCCCCCGGACATCTCTCACCCAAGTCGGTTTTGGTCAGAAGACACAAAGCTTTACCTGCGAACAAAGCAATTCCATAAAGTGAAACAGTTCTAAACGGTATACAACATGATTGGTATAAAAATATACATATATATAATAAAGACTAACCATTCATTTGGAAGAGATCCATGTCGAAGTTGGGTAGATCGAATTCTCTTTCGCACCATTTTAAGAACACGGAGACATCTTCACGAGTCCAGAGCCTAGGTTCTGGGGGTAGACCCGCCGGCAGCTGGGCTTTTGTGTCGCCGAGGGGAGAAGGCGGTGGTGGCGCCCACGGCAATGGATAGCGCCACAATAGTTCGGTCGGACTGAACGGCAGCGGTAACCGCTCCATACTTGGCCCGGACGGCAATTGAAGGCTAACTACTTTCATCACGATGATCTGTAATAAATAATAATAAGTAAATTAAAAAAAAAGAAATTAGTTTGAATTATACCAGAATTTCAGATTTCTTTCGTCTACTCGACAATAGGTGGCGCTACTGGTAACCGATTAACTGTCTGCTCTTATCACCGACAATCTATTGCATCGTTGTATTATGTAAATACCGTAATGAAATAAAAAGGCTATCAAAAAATTAGACACTGCATTTTAAGCAATTCTATTTTTTTTTTCAAAATTAAACAGAAAGAAAAGTTTAGTCAAAAATTCGGCTATGCATTTTTTTAAAAGCGGCTGAATTAGTGTTTCAACTGGTTTATGAAAACTAAAATAGTTACAAATTTAATCGAAATTATTATGTATATTGATAACTTCGTTTCGATTATAAAATGTATTTAAGTATTATTTAAAAAAATTAATGACAAATTCATAGGTCAATAAAACATAACTATAATATGAGAAAGTACTTTTTTAATTTAAACAATGTTTTGTTATGGCGGTAACTTAATTGTAACTTTAACATAGTCATTCATCCAGTTCCTCGAAGTTAAGTCATATCTAAAAATACATATTCAAAAGTATGAAACCGGAATATGAATCGACAACATATCGCTTGTTATCGGGCGGGGTCGGAAATGCGTGAGTTTGTGATAATGCGGCTTGGCGTATAAGATAAAAACCGCTACTTACCGGCTGAACTGATTCCGGAACTAGCGGTGTCGTCAAAAATCCTTTAAAGCGGAGACGGAATTTGTAAACTCAGCATATGTATATATACATGGTCACAGCACTTAGCACAGTATCCAGTGTTCACAGACCACAATAACACACGCGTTGCAGCGTAAGTCCCTCCAAACGTGTCGTGTTACGGCACGCCGTAAACCAGCAGCGTATCTGAGGGAGCTGACTCGCAGACGAGCGTCTCAAGCAACTCTTCGACACGGACTGGCGATGCGGTGGCGGCGCGGGAGGACGCGGGCTCACCTCCTCCCCTCCCCGCGGCCCCGCCACCCCCGCGACCCCCGCCGCCCCCGCCACCAGCCGGCCACATCGCCTCACTTAATGTAGCGGAGAATGAGATAAAACTTCGGAAACTCGTTTGAGCAGAGTCCCATTTTTAAGGAAGGCGCGCTCCTTCACTAAACTTTGAAAGCATATTGTGTTTTCGACTCTCGTACTTAGTTCCTGTTTTATACTATATTTTTATACTTAGGACATGCGGAAGTGCCAGTGTGGTAAAATTACGTCAGCGCGCTAGTTTTTACAAATACCTTACCTACTTGGCAATTTAATATTTCCGTGTTTGCAATATACTCAAGTTGCGATATACGTAGCATTTTGGATATTATTTAATTTCTTAACTATAAATTTATTTTAATTTTATGGATGTATAAAGCTATAGTAAGTATACAAAAAGTTTGAAACGTGATTCCTTTTTTTCTGACATTTAAAGACACTATGACGAGTGTTTTATTTTTAGTTCTGCAATAAATATAATTGTTCATAGAGTATTCTTTTTTTGAATCGGTATCCAGGAAACGACTGCGCGTCTGCAGACGTGGTAATTGGTTTCCTGATACAGAGTATGATAATATTGACAGAACGGGGACCGGTTTTCTTTGTGAGATATTAAAAATAACCATAAGTACACACGTTTTGCTAGTACATTAATATCTCTATATCAAATTTAATATCTGGCGACGTTCAGTGACGTTACATATAATATGTTATACAGAATATGACTCCTGGCCCTCTCTCAACTACCGGTTCGTACAGAAATATTCGGCAGCCAAGGCGGAAGTGGCCTCGGAATCTTTACCTGTTGCTCCCTTCGCCCGCGGACGCCCCTATTGTATTCTCTTTTCCTCTCATCATAACACACATATGTCTGAGCGTGATGGAGTACGAGTCGTGTGTTGTGGGTTCATAAAGAGTAATATTGAAAATAAACCGTCACGTCATTTCTTTAGTTCATATACTTTCATCGTGACCATGACCGCAGAACTCAAAGCAATTCCTTTCGTCAAATTTGATAATAAAAATATTTATATTCAGAGTATTGTCCGTTTCTTGGTTGTAATATGTTGAATATATAAAATTTAAATGAAATGTATGAATTATTCATGCGATCTCCTTCAAAGGTCAACGTACTTGATGTAATAATAATATTACTAAAATGATTATTATACGTCGGAGCTAGTTTGGCGACATGTTTCAGATGAAAGGGTTGGTTTTAAAATGTATTAAATGATTATGAATAGTATTAATAAGAGGTTGCCGTTCGGAATGCGACGCCGGCTGGGGCCGAGTCTCGACACATGCGGAAGTCACCGAAATAAGTCCATTGCGTTAGAAGTTGTGTTCAGCAATCAGCTAATATTTAACGTTTTATTTGTAAACATATCGGTATTTTATTATTATTAATATTTTATCAATTTGAAGTAAAAAATTAAAAATCCTCTAACATTCAATATTAATATTTTATTATAAGAGATACATTAATTATAGACATATTATGTATTGTTACTTTATCTGTGATGTAAAATTTGATTGATTGAATAAAACCGATGTTATTATGATTAAAATAATTCCATGTAAATCTGTGATGGTGTACTGGCGACACATGAAAAGGAAACATTTAATTTATCGGATTCTTTTACCGGAACTTATGGCTGCGGAAGTACAGGATCTTTCGTTTCCTTACTACATATAACTTAGTCTAAGTCATTCAAATACTTAATAATAATAATAATAATAATAATTTATTTCAGATCATATTGTAGATCCATATAGTGTTAGTACAAATTAAACTTAATAAATTAATTGGTTAATATATAGAATGAATGATATAACGTATTGATATAATTTTTTTTTTTAATATTTAAAATTACTTATCGATCATCCTAATTAGCTTGTATTAAATCAATTTCTATCTAGCGTCCGTGGGAGAAGAAAAGAAGTATCTTAAGAAGTTTCTCTGTAGCCAACTATTAAAAACTAAGATGGCTGGTCACAGTTATAAATAGGATATCTACTTGAAGTTGAAGGAAGTCTAGACCGGATGCCCCTACATTGCACTTGCAATCGTATGGAAATGGTAGCACTTCCTGTGCGCGACCCGGATAATGTGGCTTTAAAACATTAACAACACGCGATTATTAATTAAATATAAACGATCTACATAACGTAATTAATAAAAGGTCATCATATCTTTTAACATAAATATCTAAAAACATAATTGTATAATATATAAATTTCTGAACGCACTTCCGAAACGTTTGTAAGGCGTGACCCCGATAAATGCGCGGTACAAGCGTTATATAATTGACAGCACGAAACTAGGCAATGATGTCACACCGAAAAGTTGCACCACATTCGCCTGTGAACATTGTGAACCAACTTGGTAGGCGATACTTGCGTAACTGAAGCCATACTTGTGGAGATCTTTATAAACTGGACGTTATTACGTTCCTGTAATATTAGATGACCTGAAAGGATTCATTTTCAACAATAAATTAATTGTCATCTTAAACAACATTTAGGAAGAAAATAATGAAAACTATTCCCAACATTGTTACTACATATTACTTCATTCTGAATATTATTTTATTGACACGCGATTGAGTTGAAATGTCCCTGTAGAAGTATTAAGCAATCTTGCGCTATAATCACCTACTTATATGTATAGTTTACTTACGTTGCATTAAGTTTTTTTAATGTAATGAGGTCTTATTATACAAAACAATAAAATTGTTTAGTTCCTGTCGTTTGAGATGCTGTGTCTTGAATGTTGTTCTATTTTCAAATTGCTATGCAGTGACATAAATATAATGCCGTCGAAAGCATTCCGACAAAACATAAACAAATTATGCGACTTGTAGCACTTTTAAGGCCTTGAGTAATTTTTTATATATAAATGATCTTATATTTTTCTGTTCGACAAAATAATAGATAATTATAATAAATTCATGGTAACGAGCAGCCCCCAGCAGAGTCTGTTCGTTCCAGTGTCACATGACAAAGCGACCCCTTCGTTGATTTGGGATCAACGTGATCAAAAAAATCGGATCGGGAATGCACCCGTACGGGGGTAGGCACATGCTTATTTAGCGTACTGCGTATCTAAAAAAAAATACACAAATTAAATTTGTCTTTAAATGTGTATTAACCGAGTTATACATACATTACATAAAGACATTTACAATTTTAAACGTGAATAATATTAGAGAATCGTGATGTGCTTTGTTATTATGGATATGAAATACGGTGTGACATATCATATTATATGGGTGTCGTAAAAAATGTATCGTCAAGGGGCTCGCTAGTGAATCCCGATCGGGCCATGTGCGTGCGCTCCCACGCGTAGCCGGCGCGCAAGTGTGCGCCAGCGCCACGACGGCCGGTCGTGTGTACAGGGTGTTGCGCGTGTGTGCGTGCGCCGCTACTTCCTGGTACAAGGCGAGATGCTTTATTTAACTGTGTTACATGTGTGCGTGCGTGTAGTATATTCATCTACAATATTATTACTTTTATGACGTGTGTGTGTCTCGAGTCCTTTTAATCTCTATTGTACTTCCTGATGGCGTGCATGTGTGTGTGAGCCACTTGTTTGAATGTTAGGGCGACTTATCTCAGCGAGGGACATAGTGCAGCGTCCGATTACATTATTGGTTCGGTTGTAGTGTACTTATTGTTTATATTCTTGTATCGATACAGTTACAGAGGTACGTTGAAGTTAAGAACTGTTCCGTTCATTATAATGTATCGGATGGCGCTAACAATGACATTGACAAGAGGAAACATGGACGGTAGCGTATCAAGAGCGTTGTTCTTGGTATAAAACAATAGCAGTTCCGCTATTGTTTGTAGAACTTATATTTTCAGGAAGTTACCATATTCTGATCGATTTGTTTGGATGTCGAACCGAATTATTACTCGTATGTTGTATACTTAAAAATAGCAAGGTGGACGTTAATGTACTTATTGAATACATTTACATATTAATTGAGCATTGCTATGCTATGCTAGAACTATTTGAGACTGTTCATAGGTACCTAGTGTTTATCGTCTGAAAACTTCGATAATCTGACGGCCCGCACTATTTAATTCTAGTGGACAGATGCCAGTCGAAGTTTGCACAATACAGTGGGGTCGTATGAGAGGGACTGAGTATTTGTCGCTCAGCCCTCCCATAGCTCACATCTGTCGCTACCAAGGATTAGATACAAACGTCATTAATTGATTTTAAGGGTTACAGATTACTTTAAAACCCGTCCCACATGTCACCGTTATTGATTTTTTGGACGTACCTAATGCTTTAAAAGAATATTCGTAATATATTGTAACAAAAACTATGTAAAATTGAATGAATTTGCTACAATTTATGACAATGATATGTAATTGAAATAATTAATTATAAAGTGAAATGAGTATGGTGGGTTGAACAATTTAGATAAAAAAAAACCATTTACATGAACAATTGTAGTTACTAGTTATATTATCATAGAACGTCAAGGTAGTGACCCGACTACATACATTATATAATCTACATATTTGCCTGGAATCTAACCTAACAGAATCTATACTAAGAACTTTTATGGAACAAAAACAATAAGGGAATGTGTACATTGCATAAAATTTTAAATGGCCTATAATATTTTTTCTCGAATATTTATTATCGTCATATTATAATGAAAAGGCGTTTTTTTATTTACTTATAGTTTAAACCCTTTAAATAATATTCAAAAAGCGCAAAATATTGGAACGAAATTCAAACGTCCAAAACGTTCATTGGTCGAACGAAATGTGACGTCATTTGATAAAACATTGCATCCATCAGCGTCGAAACTCATCCTATTTTAGAGGATTTTGTGCAAAAAGTAATAATTTAAAGCTATACATATTTCTGTGCTGATTGTATTTTAGAATCATATAATTTAATTTTATTATGTTGTGTTTACTAGAAAGCGGAATATAAAAGAAAATATCCCTTAAAAGTTTTATCAAATGATATAATTGTTTAGCTGATCCTAATAATATTTTTGGCTCTTTTTCAATAGTATATAGTTGGCATGAATTACATTTTTAAACTGTTTCTTATCCTCTGAATCGTTTTGCATTAATTCATAATTAGCAGAGGTCGTATAAGAATTAGATGATACAGAAATAGTATCTACTGTGTTTTCTGTAAACAACTTTCTTTTTACAACAGATAGTTTTACATGTGAATTTCACAATATTTTGTGGTACAAGAGGAAATGGTGACTATGCTACATTTTGTTTTTTAGTACGTATATTTACATTCACACCTTAAGACCCAGTTTCACCAATCAATGTTTATTAAATCTAAACAAGGCATTTTCTAACAAACCATCAAAATTATAAATTTCTGTTAAAATATTTACGTCCCACGGTGACAAATAAATAACTCATTATTGAACGTCATGTTAAATGACCGACTACCAAATTATTTGTTCTTGTTATAAGATGACCAAGTGAAAACTATAGCGTTTAACACGGCACGTTTGTCAAGATGCACCACTAATTTATCCTTTCATCGTATATATGCCTCGATACGTCACTTGCTAGTTAATGCGACCAAATTTTATATACCGTTGGTTGCATACATTTGGCACACAAAAAACTTTCTTTTCAATTTACTAGGTCTAACTTGTCAAAATCGTGTTGTCAATAAATTGTGTTATATATTATTGTTGTGTTATAAATATCGGCATAAATTGTGTTCAAATTATAAGAGATAATAAGAAAATTTATTTTGCAATGTCATAGAAAAGCTGGAGGCAAAATCGTCATAGGAAATGAAATTTTAATTCACTTTATTAATAAGTACAAGGAAATAGTCGAAACTGACAAAACAGATGACGTTACTATGGTTACAAGAAATCAGGACTGTGATTGGACAATTGAGTTTTGACAATGCCATTAACATTCTGTTAGCCATTAGACGGAGCTCCAGAGCAGCGATTAATATTAGTGGCTTGTTAAGACATTTAGACCCAGTTTCACCAATCAATGTTAAATAAGTAACATGTTAAGGCGTTTGATGCTCCGTTAGATTCACCGAGCGTCCCACCACGCACAAATGTCCGTTTAAATGTCTTAACAATGTCAAACGCCTTAACAAGATGTTATTTATTTAACATTGATTGGTGAAACTGGGTGTTACTCTTCTATAGTTCGGTTTAATATTAACTTGCACAGCTTTGTCACACTACAATTTCTCCTCAATGTGAGAAGTGTAAAGCTCTACCTGAGGATCACATGCAGTGCTGGTCCTGGTTGAACACAAACATTTATGTGGAAAGTACTTGGACTTATTCTGTGATCACTTTTTTGTTTAGGTATAGCTACTGAACTTTGCAAATTTCTTATAGGTTAGTTTAATTTTAAATCGAATTTTCTATTGTTAAAAATTTTCTAATGCAAAACTTACTTTATAATTCACACTATGCTGTATATAAATAAAGTATACTTACGTTAGAATTATCTTCACAATAATATCAACAAGATTTAGTTGATACATAATCCCTCATCTCCTTACTTTAATTCTATTTTTTAAAATAGAATTACAGTAAGGCGATAGTCTAGAGTATTTTGAAGCATATTTATATATTTTTTCCATGTTATAAAGTATTAAACTAATAATTCAAGACAAAAAAAACGAATATCCCTTATTACAATCTATACTAATATTATAAAGCTGAAGAGTTTGTTAGTTTGTTTGTTTGTTTGAAAGCGCTAATCTCCGAAACTACTGGTTCGAATTGAATAATTATTTTTGTGTTGGATAGTCCAGTTATCGAGGATGGCTGTGGGCTATATAACATCACGCTACGACCAATAGGAGCAAAGATATAGTGGTAAATGTGTAAAAAACAGGAGAAATGTGTGAAAAACGGGTGAAAACGGTTCAAGATACACAAAAAAATGTATTTAAGAATAATAGCTCTTTTAATGATCTAAAAAACAGTCCGCGACAGTATATGTCTAAGATTAACTCACAAAAACCGTGTTTATGGTACCTAATTTGGTCGAAATAATTTGTTTAAGTTGTATCAACATAATAATATTAATCTTTATTCAAATAAACAATTAAATATGTTGTTGGTTAAGAGTAGTTCATTGTGAATAAAAAAAACATAGGTTTTATCCTGAAAACTCTACGGGAACTCGACCATTCCGAAAACCCCGCAAGAACGGGAACTATGTATGTGGGAAGAAACAAAAATCTGCCGGAAGTCACTATTCCACGCAGACGAAGTCGCTTCAATATCGTATAAAACTATTATAAATTATTAATTATCTATTGTACCTACTTGAAATGGAACACGTTTGGCAATGCCATTATATAATATTAAATATTTACAATAGCGTTGTGCGGTGTTCTAAGTCGTAACGTCAAACGTCACAGTTTGTGTAATTTAATTATTGCCTACGCATGTCTGTTTGTTCTTTGAAGATAAAATACACTTGTAAGGTTTTTGTTATGTGCATCTGATTCGTTCAACTTCCTAGAATAATCGATTAACTGCCAGCGTAAGATAATGTGATAGGTCTATCAGTTTGCACAGGCTTCAAATAGCAATTATTATAACAAATGGATATTAGACATTCAACAGTTGATATATTAAATACGTATGACAATATTGCCATATTATTTTTATATGTTACTTTACCTCATAATTTGTATGGTTCGGATTAAAATTTCTTGAGTAGTAAAACTTGTAGATATGTTTTGGTTACATTTATATCCCCCATCATATTATTGTTTTGAAGAATGTGTTTTTTTTGTGAACCTGCATGCCGTGAGAAGACTTCGGAACCCTTCGTTATGCTACACAGGTGTAAAATCATTTTGAACCACGCCTCGCCCCTCTAACTATTTGAGGATTCGATTTCTTGTCCTTCCCTGATTATCATTATTTGATGTTATCTCGAGGATAGTGCGAGATAATATCTAAACTTGATTCCTGTTTTTAACCCAAATTCATTTTATTACCAACATAATTAAAAGAAATAAAGTGGCAGCAACAACGAACTATGAATAATTTTAACCTACTGATCATTAGATCACGAGGTTCAATTAAATCGGATATACTCATTAAATATCAATATCTACATTATTATTTTCTGTCTAATACCTATGTCATGTTAAGTTTATTGCGTACATTATAAAAATATTTGTATCTGTCAGTGTCCGCGCTATGTTAATAGTATAAACTCGCGAGCGGTTATTTGGACTCGTCTTGTCGATTAACCCCGTGACTTTGTTCTGTCTCTTTCTGACCTACTTGTAATATATATCTCTAGCTCTTTCTTACTATCGCGGCTTCCTATACGCGCCCGCGCTTTGGTCGCATGCAGTACAGCCAACATCCTTATTACATATTACACCTATACTTATGATGCAACTATTATGTCAGAGCGTGATTTATTCACTTAATGTTTTCATTGTATTACTTATTTCGTAACATTAATATTGGATCACACAT